ATATATGCAGCTAAAGATAAAACAGTCATATGATTTGAAGTATGTTCTCGAGGGGCAATCTACAATATTGAAGACAACAGGCTTGCGTGTGATCCAGCGTCTTCTTCCTGATGCAGATTCTTGTGCGTTGCAAATCGATACATCTGATGACTTCCCTACAGAGAAGATCGTTCGGCTAGTGCGACATTTTGATGATTTATCTCGTGGTGAAAATCTAACGAAAAAAGTGCTGTTAGCATTCAGGTATCTGACAAAGTGTTAGAGAGGTTGCAGGAATCCCCTTCGATGCAGTGCACGATGTCCTGTTCATTCCCTGCAAACTTATTCGAGGTCCCGGATCTCGAAGTGTCGCGATTCAGGTTGAGTCAAAGAAACTACATATACATGGATAAACTCACCCAAGATTTAAAGCTTAAGGTCGGAGTATGAACTCGCGTTCAACACTCAAACTTAGAAACGTTCCGCCGCCGTTACTGTTTTGCGTATGGCAGTCTTCGTGTATCCTCTGCGGTTATTCTATGGACCGCTGATTCTCTGCACAGTCGTATCTGCACGTCCAATCTCAATTATCCTTAAGCGAGACCCATATGGCATTGATTCATCGACGTCAACCCCCGAACCGCTGATTACTGCATGTCTTATTTCCTTCATAGTTTTGTTGGTTCTTCTTGCTGTGAAGCTTATTTATATGAAACACCGTCGGCATAGTGTCATCCGTTCTCGAATTCTACAGTCAACTTCCCCTCACGATGTTTCATTGAACTCTCGTTCTTCGCTACTTTCTCTCAAAGCCACTCAACTGAAGGCATTTCGCTCCAAATGCACACCATTTCTTGCGATCTTCGTCGGATGTTTCGGGTCTCCTGCATGGGAGACTGATATCGAATCCAACTTCAACGCGAACTCGACGAAGCAATGCCGAACCGCATCGTTCATGTATCAACTACATCGGCAATCCAAGCAGCATTCTTCAAAATTCTATTCTGCGGCTTATCGTTCGAGCAAGAGTTCGACTTCTCAGGCACCTCTGTCCCAGGCGCAGCTTTTGCGTTCCATGTCTTTCTTTAGTTTTTCCAGCGAGCATAGTACAGAAGATGCGACAAAGAAATCCAGATCCCATCTTTTACCTAGTACCCGAGCCCTCACATATCCTACCAAAGCACGGTCGAGAATAACTGCCACTATCGCTCCCCAGAGATATTCACTATTCGTTGATAGCTCAATGTCTGGACAACTCGGCGACTTCTGCGAGAAATGCGATACCAGTCGTAGCAGTTTCCGCTCTCGTAACTTGTATCAAAGTGGTTGGACGACCTCCGGTGTTGATCTTGGCCCATCTCTAAGGCTTGTTGGGGCCTCAGACGTGACCGCTGTCCCGTACTCGTTCTTATCTGCATTTCCGCCTTCTTCTTATGTTTTATCACCCCTAACTGGCACTCGCGACTCTCTGCAGCTTTCTAGGCGTCATTCAACAAAATCAACTCGGAAACCTGTCCCTCCTCTCCCGCCATTACCATCTCACAGTCTTTTCAGCCAACAGCCATCATGCATATCTTCGGCTGAGTTGCCTGCATCGCTGCCTCCTCCTGCAAGCGTTTCTCGATTTTTGCCTCTTCTCGAGTATCATGCACCCGCCAACATATGGAATGTTCCTGCCATCACCGATCAGGTGCCCGCCCACTCGTCAAATAATACCCCTCTGTCGCCTAGTAATTCTTCAAAACTCGAGACTAGTTTTCTCGTCTCTCCGAACACTGCTGATTCTGTTACTGCGGTCAAATCGCTTCCCTATGTCTTGCATACCGCGGATCCCCTTGTATTTGCTGTTCAAAAGATGAAGCGAAAAACGAAGCACAAGCGCTCATCCACTATTAGGTCACGTAGCGGAATCGCGCCCAGTGCATCACCTCTACGCATCATGGCGCTCCCAGAGGATATACCAGACCGTAAGTCTGTTGGAGATACACCTACCAGCGACAAGGAAAATTATGCTACCGCTGTTCCCACGAGCAAGGCTATCGACGATGACCGAATTCACCGCTTGATGACCGATGCCTCAAATAGGCTTTCTCCAATTCCAGACCTGACTTCTAGCCCAGACGCACAATTCGAGCTACGTTGTCTAAGCCAACCCCTTGATGGAGCATCCTCCGCCAGTTCTGTCAAATCCACAAAGAGCCTGGCCCATTCTGATATCGAGGGATCTTTTAGCGAGGTGTCATCATTGCAAACTCCCAAGTCTGATCGCCTAGATGAGGTAGACATTGGCATGCTGGGGCTCGATCGTTTTCACTGGTCTGAAGAAAGCGAAGAAATGCTCAAGTCGTGCTCTTCTCACATCAAAAACGATAGCGTGGCGTTGATTTCTCTCTGGGAAGAGGGACAGTGGATGCGAGAGAATATTCAGTGGTGAGAATTATACTTTCGATCCGTTCAGAACTGATGAGATACAGTTCAGACGTTGTCGGAACAGCCTGGTAGACGTCGGATGAGTGAATTATCGTATTAATAAAGTTTTTTTTGGTATCGTGTACTGTATTATCTCGGTTTGTCTCATCACCGTGTATGTAGATCAGAATGTCTTGTATGGAAGCTTTCATTAGCAGTAATAACATCGTGGCTCTCTGCCTCACAGCTGGTTGCGACACTAATGACACTGACAATTCAAAATTCTCGCGCGCCCGTGATCGAAACATAACGCATGAGCAACGCTGGGGACGATGTTGAGCGACTGAAAACGTCATTCAGACCCGTTTTATTTCTATACTGATATCAAGTCTTATAACGACACCGCACGCGATGTCATCTTTCAATTCGCTACAAGACATCAACTTCGACTTATGCTTATGATCACCATCAGTGAACCGATAAACAAATCTAATATCATATATATTAAACCATATGATACTGATCATATAACAATCACAACAATCTCCACAAATGTGGAGGAGCCCCGGTCTTGACGAGATGTGATGAAATTCAAAGTGCCAAGGTCGACCAACGTACATTGTGAGACCGCGAGTGCAATTCAATGTCAAATCACATAACGATGATTCAGTGGGCCCAGGTGGGCTCTAGTATATATTCCCACTACCTGGTAGCTATAGCGGATCTTGTAGTGCTACATGATATGTTCCTGCTAAGATTGCAGATTGTCGGTGCCGCACGAGGTACAGTGACTCAAAAAGGAAATGCACAGCATCGACATTTCTCCTATTCCTCCTCGTACTCGAGCAATAGACCATTTTGTGTCGTTCCACTTGTTGCAGTGTAGTGTACTAGGTCTATATTTTCAATACCATATGCTTTTATTGTGATACTTGGCTTTCTGAGAGAGCTGTCCAGATATTTGTGAAGAGAATGCTGTGCATTTCATTTTTAGGTTTAGTGTGACTTTACAGAAAATGTGTTTGTCGGCTCATTGCCGCACAACGTCACACTTGCACCACTTGCAGACTCATTCTACACCCTTGCTGTCACTAGTCATCCATGACAAAATACACAACTCCTACAAAGAAAGCTCGAATTTGCCGAGACAAAGCTGCTGGCATGTCTGATGGAGACCTCGCTGAAAAGTTTCAACTCCACCGCACTACAATTGGCCGCATCGTGAAACGCTTTGCTAAAAGTGAAGCTTACTATGATGTCAAGCCTAAATCAGGTCGTCGTCGCAAATTCACGACCAATGATGCTCGCTTCGCAGTCCGGGCACTGGCACGCACTCATGCACATGATGTTGCCGACCTGCAAAAGAAGTATTTCCCCGATATCAATGCTCAAACCATCCGAACGAGACTTCGGGCATGTGGCCTCAATGCCTACGTACGCCGTACAAAGCCTCTTTTGACAGAAGCTCACAAACAGAAGCAGTTAGCATGGGCGAAAGCTCATGCTGATTGGTCAGCAGAAGACTGGATGTCAGTTGTCTTCTCAGACGAGTCTAAATTCAATTTATTTGGCTCCGACGGCCGTTCGTGGTGTTGGAGGAAGCCTGGGGAAGAGTTTGATGAGCGCTACACAAAGAAGGTTGTGAAGCATGGTGGTGGAAATGTCATCGTTTGGGGGTGTCTAACTGCAGAGGGATTGGGCCGCATTACCCGCATCGAGGGCAACATGGATGCCAAGTTATATGTCGAAATCCTCAATGATGACTTGCTGGGGACCTTCCGCGACCTGGACATCAACAAAAAGAACGTCTATTTTCAGCAAGACAACGATCCGAAGCATACTTCGAAATTGGCGGGAGAATGGTTCCGGAAGAAGAAGATTGATAAGCTGGATTGGCCTGCACAGAGCCCGGATATGAGCATCATCGAGAACATTTGGGACTATTTGAATCGTCGAGTGCGCACTCGGACCCCTTTACCACGCAATCTCACAGAGCTATGGGCCGCTTTAGTGGAGGAATGGGGTAACATCGAGACGGACTACATCAAGAACTTGTATGAAAGCATGCCACGTCGTGTTGAGGCTCTTCTCAATGCTAAAGGGGGTCATACCAAATATTAGAAAGGTTTGTTGCATTATCTTTTGATTTGATCTCTGTATGCTCAATGTTTTCGCAGTGCTGCAACTGTCAAAAATGAATTGCACAGAGGTTTTCACATCAATTGCTTTACTACATTTCAGATGATACATTACACTACATTTCCTTTCCTACTCTAGTACATACGGACTTCTAGCTTTCTCTAGAGCCTACTATCGTGACATGAACTGCGCAGGAGGAGGAGGGAGACGACAATTCGTCAAATTAGTCATGCTGTGCATTTCCTTTTTGAGTCACTGTAGGTGATAAGACGTGTTCTGCGTTTACTGGTTACCGCTGACTTGATACCACTTGGCAATGCTCTTGCCTTTTTCCTCACCCTGTCACTACTTGTGCCAGTATCATAAATGTCATCGAATCTCCTAGGTCATCAAGGTCGAATGTCCCATAGGCCGTCTATAACGAACTCTCTTACATGTGAATCATCGTATTACAGGGGGAATGTCGTAGTCGTTTACATTTCTAGCCGCGTAGCCGAATCTAATAGGTCAACAATGACAGGTTGAAAGCCCAGACCACCGCATGGGATCCTTTGGCCACCCGGTCCAGGTCTAATCGCCTGACGCCCGAGAGGCAGGTTAGCTGCATTCACCATTATCGTCTCTTTCGTTCCCAGAGCGGGTGAGCATTCTGAGTCCGAAAAACATTGGTCTTCATCTGCCTGCAACCAGGAATGCCGCACGGCGCCACGTGCCTGTACGAGCCTGCATGAGACTTTTCTGTGTAAATAGACTTCAAAATCTTACTTCGTGTATATGACCGAAGACATGGAGAAGCGGAGGCTCCCGCATCTTGGAAAGGTGGCCGAGTAGTGTAGGGCATCCGGCATTGACGTTGGTAAAGGTTTTATCTAGGATGTTATGCGGAGGTCCATGAGTGAGACTAGAAATTAAGTTGAGCGCGATTTTGACTACATAACACGATATGGTCAATTACAGAATGTCGACCTCAGGTATTGCGGAAACACGATCTTGTTCAAAATGAGTGCCTTTGAGAAGAGAATTAAAAGATATAACAGTACCATAGGCTTCCTCAGGCAAGTAATTGAAAGCCCAGCCGCCGAAATAGGGTTGCCACTTCATTATGAGAAGGTAAATCGTAAAGCGTCAGGTGGGTTGCGAAGCATAGCGACTTGCCGGAGAGCCATACACAGACCACTCCCTTCCACCTTCCTTGGTGCTGAAAGTATATTGTTGGTCCTGCAAATAAATTAAGCCTCGATCGCGATTTGCATCACTGTCGACAAGACTTTTGATCGCGGTTGATGACTATATATACGCGTAAATAAGCGATTTCCGCTAATTGAGTAAGAAAGCCATACCTCTTTCTTGTCGTGGAAAGCGTAGTAACTGTCCTCGTACCACTCCTCATGAAGAGGTAGGTCATGGTTTCCTGCTATGATGCTGTGTGTAGTTAGACTGCTGGCCTACGCAATAAGGAAGTGTGCGGCATACATTTTGACGCCATGGTCCAGACTACGCAACCACTCTATCGTAACACTAATCTCGTCTTCCCGACCTAGCCGACTGAGATCACCAGAATGAAGCAGGACATCCCCAGAGGGGACACTGAAAGTATGAGAATGAGTGTCGCTGATGCACACGAAACGAGTCCAATTTGCCCCTGGATGGGATGGCGGATTCGCAGGGTCGTACGAAATATAGACGCGAGCGCTAGGTGTGTGAAAGCCTTCTGAACCCTGTAGGTGTGATGCTTGATTCAGTGATTCAGACATGTCGCCCTCGCTGTCTGCGGCAGCTCCTCCGTGTTTTCAACGCTACCGATTTGATTACATAACACACACGTACAGGTCGCTAATCAGAATAACCTCATGCAAACGTTAACGTGGCTATTACTAGTTGACTCTAGTGACTCACAGGCAGACTAGTAGTCAGGCCCCTGTAATTCCTGTGTTTGGAAGTAGTAACCTTTTTCGGACAATTCCTGTGTTGGTGCATTATTGCCAACTTGAACTCGATAGGCATAGAATGTGACCGGCCTGCTCTTTACATGCTCCTTCGCCGACATCTCAATTTTTTCATATCAACTCGACTTCAGACACGACTCCGACCTTTCATCATGTCCTTGAAGACGATCGCAGTTTGCGATGAATCTGAGCTACAGGATGGTCAAATGTATGTCAGGGAATTGGAAGTTTACACGATTGTTATAATTTCAACTCCTCAGGAAACAAGTGGACTTTGAGGAAGTGGGAAAGGTGGTCTTGTATCGTCTGAACGATACCATTCATGCAACTAGTGCCTTTTGTACTCATTATGGCGCGCCCCTAGCCAAGGGCGTGCTAACTGCGGATGGTAGGGTCGTCTGGTACGCCTTTCCACCTCTGTAACTCTTATATCACTAAGTTCATGATAGTCCTTGGCACGGAGGTAAGTTCACGTGGATGTATGCGCACCATGCCTGAGGCTCACAGCGTAATAGCTTGCTTCAGTGTTTGCACTGGCGACATTGGTCTGTGCTTTCTCCAAGTGGGGTCTCGTTGTAATGAATTTAAATTACTATCCAGAGGACGCACCAGCTCCTGCTGCAATTCACTCTTTCAAGGCGAGAGTCGTGGACGGCAAGATCAACGTGACCGCTGATCCCTCGCTGACCCTCAAGAGCAACATGAGTCGTTCGCCTAAGCTCCTATCGACTGGCGTCGCTGGATCAGGGAAAAGCGTTGTCATTATCGGTGGAGGATCCGCTACGTTCCACGCCATAGAGAGTCTTAGAGAGGTTCAAACAGTTGTTTGATATCCTCATCAATGATTCTAACCACCTCACAGCATGGTTATTCTGGAAATATCACAATCCTTTCCCAAGAGAAACATCCCCCGATCGACCGGTATGAGATTTGGAAAATCAGTGATCACTGTTGACACATGTCCACAGAACCAAGCTAAGCAAAGCTTTGATCACAGATTCGTCAAAACTTGAATGGAGGACGGCCGCTGACCTCAAGATCAAGTATGGTACCACCCTCCGCACTGGCGTCGTGGGTATTTATCTTTCTGGAGAATTCATATCCTGAACTGCCATTAAGACTGTAACCTCCGTGGATACATCTTCCAAATTTGTTGTCTTTGATGGAGGAAAGGAATCCATATCCTACGAAACTCTGATTCTCGCTATGGGGGGTACTCCTCGTCGATTACCTATTTCTGGATCAGACCTCGGGAATGTATACACGTTCCGTAGCATCGAGGACTCGAAATGCGTTGATGCAGGTAATATTGGTTCATCGACGCTTGTGAAGCCTTCTCAATTATCTTGAAATTTTCTAGCGGCTCAAGAAGGAAAGCGAATGATTGTTATTGGAAGTTCCTTCATCGGCATGGAACTCGTTGTTGCCGTCGCCAAGCGGGGACTTGCATCCATCGATGTCATCGGCATGGAAGAGCACCCTTTCCAGAATTTGCTGGGCAAAGAAGTGGGCCAAAGCCTTCAGAAGGTTGGGACGTCGATTCTTTGATTTTTGTTGGCCTCAACTTCAATTTTTCTATATCATAGTATCACGAATCTCAAGGTGTCAAGTTTCACCTGGGGACACAGGTCGAGAAGATAATACCATCGGAGAGCGACCCTTCGCTGGCTGCTGGTGTTGTTGTCAATGGACAGACTCTTCCCGCCGACTTCATCATCATGGGCGTCGGCGTGGCTCCAGCGACCGAATTCTTGAAGCAAAGCGGCTTCCAGCTCGAGAAGGACGGCGGAATCAAGGTTGACCAATATTTGAAAGTCCAAGGGCAAGATAACGTTTATGCAGTCGGTAGGCTTGGTTGTTTGGTGTACCGTTCCCCGTGCCGACCTTTGATCCAGGAGATATCGCTTGGTACCCACAACAAAATACAGGAGAGAGTCGTAGGATAGAACACTGGAACGTCAGCAAATACTCACTCTCTGCAGGACTGCCGAATTCCAGCGCTCATTTTTATTTTTCACAGGTTGCAGGTAACCATGGCCGTGCTGTTGGTAAGACGATTGCGGGTAGTAACCCACAGCCGTTTGTGAAAGTGCCAGTTTTTTGGAGCGCCCGTGCGTTTCGGAAATTGAATCAGGGATATCACTGACCACGTTCCGTCAGAGGGACAGCAACTTCGTTACTGTGGTCTTGGAGCTGATTATGATGATGTTATTATACATGGCAACACGGACGAAATGAAGGTAAAGTAATGTGTGCGGAAAACTCTGACACCACGGTCTGCTTACTTATCTCAAGTTCATTGCATACTATGTCCATCGCGGCGAAGTTGTTGCTGTATCTAGGTAAGACATTTTCTCTTTGAATTACATGTCATGTGCTTACAAGGCTTGCGACGATAGCATGCAAAATGATCCGGTCGTCAGTAAAGCATCTGAGCTCTTGAGACTTGGACTCATGCCATCCCCTGCCGAGCTCAAGGCAGGAAAGGTGCGGCACATTTTTCCACGGGGTAGTTCTCCTTGATGTCGTGTGTTCTTCAGAGCCTTCTCAGTATCGATATCTCCACGGCTTCCGCAAAGCGTCAGGTCGAATCTGTTTGAGTGATCACTAGGAAAAATGTTTGTTCTTCAGGATACGTAAGACTGAAATTTTTGTACATTATTGCTACGGGAAGGTGCCGCGAATTGAATACTTGTTAAACCTTCATCCTCTGCGTACCGATTTTGTCTATGGACGTTCTGTCTGCATACTATCATAGCCTGGAGTACATGCGATTAGCTATGGTAGCGTCAAAAATCTGATCTGAACTAAGCTAGGTAAGTGTCTTAAACTTCGAAAATCTATCAGTTAGGTGGCTATTATCAGCGATAGAGTCAGTCAAGGTCATCGACAACCTCGACTCTTTCAATGATAATGCCAGTTCTTGCCGTTCGATCGATTGTTTTCGATTGTTTTATGAAGAGTCATAGAATTTCGCATCCAGCCAAAAATCAACGTCTCTTTCAAACCTAAGTAAGAAGCATACGACATGATACATAAATTTACAATCTACAGCCAATTTACAACATTGATGGATCATTGAACGAACGGAAATACAATGCTTGCATGCTTCTAATCACAAGTGATCATCCAAAATTGCGGGAGGAGTCGATCCTTCTTTCTAACCCACTTCCAAGGAATGAAAGCTGATCTAGTTAGGAAGACTCGGAATAGGTCGTGGGTGTCAGGTCGGAGAGATTAATTGAGGTGAAGACGCTAGGATCGCCATTACGGTTGACATGCCACAAATGGAGGTACATTCGAGTGGCGAGTATGGCGTGAACAACGCATTGGAAACTACACGCATACGATTTGGGTTGTAAGTGTGGCTTTCCAGAGCAATTTGACAGAGACGCACTCTTGGAACATGCCACTATACGCGTACTGTACCAAATATTCAAGTAAATGAAATGTTTGAATGGATAGGTGACGCACGTCGAGGAGCAGCGATGTCAGAATGTTCACTATCGAGAAACCTGTGAGAACGATGAGTAACGATGAATCGTCATTCCGCTCTCGTACTTACCCAAACCACATGCATAATAGAACACATTGTGTTTCAATATAATACCATACAGACCGTTGTCAGTAATACGCCACTTTTGTATGGCGCATGTGAGCGTGAGGGAGATAAGCACTGCATCGGTATGAATCAGAGGGTGTTTTTATATATCAACTTTCAATGACGCACTCAGTTCTAATCCGAACAACAGAAGATAAGGCACAAAAAGCATCATGCTTCCCGAGGACTGATAACAACCAGTGATGCCTGGAATTGAGCTGGTCTCAACTGCGAAATGAAGACTCAGTCAAAAATTGCCAAACAGGCGACTTCATACATGGCGCGGTCGCGGTCGTGGAAAAGAGGACAGCGATAGCCGCCGCAGTTGCAGTCTGATACTGTATTTGTATGAGCGAGCTATGACATCTACTGCACATAACTCACTGCAAAAGTCGATAGCATGGCTACCAGAACGACCTTATTGTTATCCCATAGCACGTACGTCCTAAATATGAAGAAAACTGAAGAAATCAAAAATTTGCACTCGCAATACAAATAATGGAGAAATTACATTCCGAGCAGACGAATGATACCAGGATGAGACCTGTAGGAAAGGAGAAAGGTCAGTAACTGAATATCCCGAAACATAATTCGATGCACATGAGCAGATGTTGTTGACAAATTGACACGTCTAGGTTAACCCTCAAATAAGCAGAGCTCTTGTCCATTGCGAGTCTACATACATCAGAAGTCTCGTCTGGGAGGAAGTTCACTGGCAACAGTCTGTCAATGGAGGTTTATATCCATTCAAGCTCAGGACGTACGGTACAAGTGCGCAGCAAAAAGAAGGAAAGGGACATAGCGTGTCACGATGTACAGAAGTTTGACCCTCCTCCAGGGAGAACAAAACAAAAACATCCCCTTGAAACAGTACATGATGAGCATACGATATTTATTTTGGAGTTATTAATTGTGTCACCTCTTCATGGATTGTACAGACATAGTCGTATGTCTGGTAGGAATCGAATGGTCAAGACGAATATTCGAGCAAGAAGGGTGATGATGATCGTACCCAGAATGTGGCCATCGACGCTGGATCATCATCTACGTTAGCAGAAGGTGATCTGAGTTAAATGAGGGAGAACATACTATAAATGTACTAGAAATAATTGCCTTGCATCAGAGGTTGTTTAGATTGCCCAGAGAAAGAATTACCGTAAAGACCTGGAGACTCCTAGCGGCTGCGATAGCGTCGGTAGAGTACTTCGAATCCATTCAATGGAGAAACAAGGAAGTGAATATTTCAACTCAGAATTGATGCAGGTTTAAATTTAAGAATGCACTCTGAGCCGGAATCGTGGACTGAAGTGTAATGAGGGCATAGCATCAAATGAAAGTCATCGTGACTCTAGCTCAAATATCCGTTCCATCATGTAGTTATGATGTGAAACGAGGACTGGACAGATCCCCACATGATGTGCGGCATGTGCGGTGAGGTGTTACGGTTTGAACCTTCTACTACGGACAAGGCTGAAGTACTGACGTTTGACGGCGGCACGTGGCCAGGCACGAACACAGCTAAACGCTAGCGCTGAGCGCTCATCCTGCGGCCCACTTCACGGATCCTTACCTTATTTCTATTCTATAGGCACTGCCGCACTGGTTTGAACGCTTTGTGATGAGCCGAATGACACTGGCGCTCGCCACAGGGCCACAGCTGCCTTATACACAGTCTACTCTTAACCACCACTGATACACGCCAGCCAGGTTTCCTTGGAACTTGTTATTCTCATCAATTTGGTCATCGACAGCGAGCCTCACTTGTTCCCTGTATGTCTTATTGTTCAGCCTTTATTTTGCAATTCTGTTTATTATCACATCCGGCCAACCGCTATCACATATCAGTAGTTGCAAAGGCGAGACCTCGAGAGGGTAATAGGACACCCAATGCCCATCACTCCATCATTTGGCCTACAGAAAGTCATCCAATATTTGCACATGAAAAAGAACTGCATATCGGCCCTAGACGTGCATTTCAATCATAGTTGCAACTTGCACCATGCAGAACGTACCGTGAAATTAAATATCGAAATGTGGGTTCATACCGCGATGATCGATATTTTGGGGTTTGAACAACACGGGCAACTGTGATTCCGTTCTCGAGGCAATCGAGTCCGTACAATAAATACTAGCAGAATCGCACGTTGGAACGTTAACGTTGATGGTACCGTGGTCGTCGGAACTGCATGCTCCGGTAACTCCACGCGTGAATCTCGTGGATAGGTGGGAATGAAATACCAAAATAGGGTAAGTGCGTTGCAGCTGTGGTCGACCTGTGGTTGCTGCCCAGCGCTGCGCGGTGCCAGGTGCATCTTACAGGAAACATACATATAACATTTAGTGACTCCATCGATACATCATGGGTCTCTTGTTTTCTATCCCCCTCGCTGGCCCGCTTGGGACCATCGCAGCATCATTCCTCGGAGGTCTTGCATTTTGCTTTACTTCAACTGCTGGTGAGTCGTCCCGGATTGTGCACATGTAGAACTGCAACTGATACACCTCTTAGCGTCCATGTTTTGCAAGTCTTGTAACTGCAATTCCTCGATAGCGACGAGAGTCGGTTTTGCAGTAAGCGAAATGAGTGGGAATTTGAAAGAGCCCTGACCATATTTGCCTAGATAATCTTCATTTTGAATTCCCTGCTAGCATGGCTCATGAAGACTCCATTCGCAATTCGCAAGATTGAGCATTGGAGTTATGACTACATAAAGATGGACTGCGATGAGGGCAAGTGTTATGGTGTTCTGGCGGTACGTTCAATGCAACTCGCAGTTGACTTGATGTTGACCTGCGTGAACTCAGGTCCATCGTATCTGTTTCGCCTTATCTCTGTTTCATGCGATCCTAAGCTTGTCTCTCATTGGCGTCAAAGAGTCTAGGGATAAACGCGCCGCAATACAGAATGGGTAAGCACCTCTGTCTTGTTGAATATTTTGAATATGTGCTCATCTAAGGTAGCTGGTGGGGCCCAAAGGTTCTATTGTGGATTTTGCTCGTTGTGGTTTCATTCTTCATACCGAATGGATTTTTCATGTTCTGGGGCAACTATGTTTCTCTTATAGGTGCCACCATATTTATACTCCTCGGTTTGGTTCTACTGGTCGACTTCGCCCACTCATGGACAGAAATGTGTCTGGAAAACTGGGAGAACTCAGATTCGACTTTATGGCAATGGATCCTCATAGGCTCCACTGCTGCGATGTATGTGGCGTGTATCACCCTGACCGGCATTCTATACGCCTATTTTGCAAGTTCCGGATGCACTCTCAACCGGTTCTTCATCTCATTAAACCTGGCCCTTTGCATCATTATCACTATTATGTCTATACATCCTGCCATTCAGGAGTCAAATCCTCGATCGGGCCTTGCTCAATCCGGAATGGTTGCTGCATACTGCACCTATCTTATTGTCTCCGCCGTCAGCAATCACGCACACCAATCTTGCAATCCGCTCAGCCGGACTGACAAGACGCGGACTACCACGGTCGTTCTTGGTGCAGTCTTCACTTTCTTGGCTATTGCCTATTCTACCACTCGCGCAGCGACACAGAGCCGTGCATTGGTGGGCAGGGGAAAGAAAGGTGGCGCAGTTCAACTCCCAGTCGACGTTAGTGAGCCTTCGGAAATGGATGTAGTCAGCACTCAACCGGGAAGAACCGAGTCACCAAGATATCAGGCTCTGCTCGCTGCTGTCGAGGCTGGGTATGTGATTGTACTATAGATCTGTATTTGGGTAGTGACAGTTTATCAGAGCAATCCCTGCATCCGCTCTGGATGAAGAGGGTGATGAAGAAGATGAAGAAGATAACTATGGAGATGCCAAAGATGATGAACGGTCCGGCACGAGATACAATGTGAGTATATTGCAACATCTTCCATAACAATCACCTTACATGCACAGTATTCCTGGTTCCATGTTATCTTCGCTATCGGTGCAATGTATGTTGCAATGCTCCTGACTGATTGGTAAGTCGTCATTCAATTGTATACAGAGCTTTCCGCCCATCTTTTTCACCTAGGAATGTGGTGTCCACGGAACAAGGTTCTACTGACTCCGAGGAGGTTGTCCGCATCGGCCGCTCGGAGACCGCGATGTGGATGCGCATAGTAAGCAGTTGGGTGTGCATGTTACTGTACATGTGGAGCTTGCTTGCGCCCGTGTTGATGCCAGATAGGCAAGTGATCTTGATTACAGTCATCGAACTGGTCTCATCATTTCACAGGTTTGGAGATATGTGAAGTCCAGTTTTGCTTACTTCATCTCATTTTGATACGAACTACCATCAAACTTTGGATTAATGACGTGCCCCTTTTAATGTACTATGGTGAGCTTCGTGCTCATAGCTCCATGATTTCGTTATCCACGAGATGGGTTCGTGAGCCTTTTGATGTTTGCAAATCATCCATCAGCTTCGTTCCCGCCATCGGAAACGACTTTTCGGATGACTCCGATGGCTTTTGATACGAAATGGGCCCGGTCAAGTCAGAGATCGACAGACCAACTTCGTCCTTTGAGGCGCCTTCTGAAGGGGTGTGCGCCACAGGGCAACCACAAGTAGTTATATCCGAATGATTGCGGGTGTAGACATACTCCGAGCTGATGTGAATGATTTTGCCAGTGTCGCGAGGGATTTCGGATGGGCAAGTAACTTGTTGAGGTTCACTTTCCAATGTCATGCTTCGCTAGTTCATTGTTGAAGGTAAGCTCAAAGCAGACATTGTAACCACAGCCTTGTTTGACGTGAATTACGCAGTTCCTTGTCAGTATTCCTGGGCAATATACGAATCTGTTGGGATATAAGCTTGGCGACTTGGTACCTTACAAGGCATGTTAAGAGACTGTTATGGTCATGCGGCAGATTACGGTCAACTTAAAGCCGTCGAAAGGTGTTCTACCCCATAATGACGAGCCTTTATGCCAAATGGGCTCAAGGCCTGAAACGAATTGTAAGTTACCGTAAACTTGGAGACATCTATGACTTGAACGACCTGCCGGCCAATGTAATGGAGTTGGGCAACTCCTGTCCGTCTTCGGAGGCGAGGTACTGATACCTAACTTGTCCGTGCATTGAGAATCTTATGTCAGAAGCATATGTACGGCTTACCCCTCGCGGTGCAGATCTTCCAGAAGGGGATGTTGTTGATTACCTTCCACTGTCCTGTCTTCGGATATAGTCGACCAGCGCGCACCGGAAGTATGCAACTCAGGGCGGACGCCCTTCTAGGTGCCATCTTCGTGAGTGAGTGCGCTCGCCATTGATGCAATGGTGTATCTCTAAAGTTGGTTCTCTTTAGTAGGACCATCGTGAGCTGTGTATATGGAGCACTATATAATGCCTGGTGTCTCCGTTGAGAAACCAACACGAGCAGCTCACCCATTATGATTTACTCAGTTACTCGCCTGTTCTTCATTGTTGTTGTTGTCGTTGTCCCTTCTGTTTATGCCCACATTGCCTTCTGGCATCCGAGCATGTGGGGCTTCAACGTCACAGATAAGGACCCAGCGTATTCTTACGACAACCGTCCTGTTGTCCCCCTGGCGCGCATGACGTTTAACGAGTGGTGGTTTCACAACCACCTTCGGTATCCTCCGCACCCAAATGATGTCTTTGAACTGCCCGCCGGGAAAGCTGCCGTTGCAGAACTCGGGTGCAACAAGGGCGCGACGACATGGTGGAATTCGTCCGAAGGGTTAGTCATCTGATTGATTACATCTTCTATCAAAATGTATAATGAGGTCAATGATACAGCGGAGATGTTCGTCAGGGGGACTGGCCTTGCCCCAGATCCACTTCTGTCCAGTTCCATACCACAGGCATCGACGACGTAAAAGGTTGTGCACTTGCCATTGTTTATGAATCGGACGTCAGCAAGATCAAACCAGAGGACTTTACAGTCTTTAGCGTCAACCAGACTTGCGTCTGGCACAGATTCACCACATTCCAGGTACGGTGGCCAAAGATCTTCTGAACCCAGTTTAACAACAACAACGATAGGTTCCCGCTGACATGCCTGCCTGTCCCGGCGGAAAATGCACGTGTGCATGGTTCTGGATCCACTCTCCTGATAGCGGTTCTGAACAGAGTAAGGCGGTTTCCTTTGCTGTCTTGTCATCCTGACTCGGTGCCTTCCAGTGTATATGAATGCCTTCCAGTGCACAGTAGCGGGTTCTAAGCACGATGCACCAGCTCTCATGAAGCCTCAAGTTGCAAGACGCTGCGGAGCAGATCCTGAACACGGAATTACCCACCCCACCCCTAGCAACTGTACGCACGGGGCGAAGCAGCCATTGTACTGGCTGCAAGATGAAGGCAACAACGTGAGCGCTAGAAACTTTTCACGTGATATTAAATCTGAACCGGGTCTGATTAGATGTTTGAGGACTATATGGGTCCTCCTTTTTATAACGACCTTTATGATTTTAAAGATGGAGCTCAGAACGACATATTCATGACAAACACGAAAAATGCTGTTCAGAGTCAAAAGCGGGATATATATCAGCCGTCTCGCTTCTCAAGGTTTTGGGGCAATGAACTTCATGCTTCGAGGGAGACGATGATAGAGGGCATTTAGGAAGGATGCATTGTATGCACTTACCTTGTATTTTGGAATCACTTCGGACTTCATGCGGAAAAATGTGCACTATGACTGTTTCACAATGACACGTAATCTGCTTCTATAATTCAATGAATTCTGTTTGTCGGCGAGCCACTGGATCAAACCGGACATGCGTATTGTGCCAAGAAATGACCTGCGAGAGGCGATAGCTACAAATCTGATGTCGAGGATAAGACGCCATCGCGAATTTGGAAGGTGCACCAAGTCTTTGATCTCTGTAATTCGAATTAATATCACACGAAGAAAAAAACTACTCAATAACTCACTGCTACCCTCGAACGGAATACTTCTGCTACGTGCACCGAAAACGGGCCCTCGGGATCAGGTATATCTTTCATCTTCGATAACCAGAGGGTACAATCTGTCATAAATGTAAACGAAGGGCCCAAAGCAGGTTTTCTAATTGTTGATGCAAATGCAGAACTCTGATTGAATGGTGCAGCTCCTGATGTTCCGTTGATCACCTAGATAAAATAAGAAGCAGGTGCAAATTCGTGTAACAACCTCACCATGATAGTGATCCCGAAAGTCCGAGCAAGCTCGCGTAATCGGCGCATAAACGTTGTCATCATGGCATGTCCTTGAGAAGATACCGCACTTAGGGACGGTAGTAAAAGTGGGGTTATAGAATCGAGGACTATCCACTGGACTGTTGGTCCAACAGTCCTAGAGCTCTGCGATACATAGCATAATTCAGGAACGAATAGGCGCAAAAAGAGATAGAGGCATACAGAAAGCGAAATGCGCAGCGCTTCGAGGACATCGTGCACTCCCTCGATGTTGAAACCCAAGGATACCTGCAATCTCTCTAGCACCTTATCAGATACCTGGCACTTCGTTAGATTCTCATCACGAAATTGACGAAAAATTTACTGCTACATCAAAATGTCGCACTAGCTGAGCAGTCTTCTCTGCAGAGAAGTCACCGGATGTATCTATCCATAAAGCACAAGAGTCCGCATCACAAAGAAGATGCTGGATCACTACTTGCAGCGCAAGTGCCTGCCATCTTCGTTGTAAATGGAATGCCCCTCAAGAACATACTTGAACTCATCTGACCGTTTTACCTGACCCTTTAGCTCCAGATATTTCAAAAACTCGAGAGCCACCAAAACCACCAACAAGTTCATCTAGTTCCTTGACACCACAGCTGACTTGAGGATGTTTCTCATATGTCCGTGCTGTGCCAGCAAGAATCTCGTCTCCCCGATATCCAGGGACCGATGCTTGTCCTGCTACTAATTCGGTAAACTTTTGAAGGTCTGAAAGCGTTACGGTCCCGAGTGGTAATCTTTTGATGATGTCCAAGCTGGAACCAAAGAAGAGAAGATCGGTGTCCGTTCGGATACCACACGAATGGTCGAGCGCTGCTACCAGTTCTGCAGGGATCAAAGGAACCACTGATGCTAAGCGCATAATGTCAATGGCGAGTTAAGAAATGCGAATTGGTATAATATCAAAGAACATGGCAGATCAAATACAAGGAAGATTTAGACGGTTGTTCCTTCTTCAAGGATCATAACAGCGCACAACGTTATTGATCGCATCAACACACAACTTGCTTTCGTTCCACAACCTGCCTTTTGAGGCTACTGTGATCCTTTACCGGCGCACCATTCAAACCAGTCATTCGGACAATATAAACTGATGGCTGAACCTCCCCAGACTGATGTCTCTCGTCCCTCAGCATTGCCTACAGCCAAGTTGCTCCAGCGTCCCACTTTCAATCAAGCTCTTGTCGATCAGAACTCGGATGAATACCTTGATACCATCGAGGAAGAATGGAACAAGAAACTAGACGCCGAGGTAGAAGTATTGGTCGATGGTATGGTCGATATCGTTAGTCTGGCATCGGTAAGCGCTATACGTACCTTCTCGAGCTGTACTTCAACCCTCTGTCAGATCGGAGACAAGGACAAGTTTCGAATCGCACAAGAGTCATTTCAGGCCGAATCTCGTGCCGAGTCTATGGTACGGAAACAAAACCTGTTTACTCCAGATTGCTCATCATCGAAATGATCCAGGTCCGTGCAGCTAATTCGCTGTTGTCCATAACACATTCGTTAAAGTTACTGCTTCTCTTGTCCGACGAGGCTCAAATTGCCCACCGTCGGGATGCAGAACTCAAGCACGTACAGCAGGAAAAGAATGAAGCTCGCCAGAAAGTCGCCGAGCTTCTCGATAGGTTGATGAATCCAAAAGGCGACCCGTCGTAATGAGACATCATTCCCTTATCGTCGAATCCACCCCGGCCTTTTTCAGCCATCCTGAGGGAAAGTTCCGATATAAAGCTCACATCTTGCTCAGTCTTCCCTGTGGAGGGTTATTTATACCTTTCCGGCACCTCTGTACTGACACGGGCCCAACTCTTGTCTCCACATCTTTTAGAATGCAGAATGTGTCACTCGCATACAATTGTCGTAGTGCAGTCAGCACTTCCCGGCGATCGAGTTTGGCTGAAAAAATTATCCTTCTAGGTAGCCGCATGAATATGGCTATTACTCGTGTGGAGCAGTTTCTCAGATCTCCATCTTGGCACCACATCACCATGTAACTTACCCGGACGCATCCATGTAGTTACCCCGATATGAATGTCACATCTTCATTTCTGCTGCGCTCTACTCAAATTTCAGTATCATAACTTTCAATCAGTCTTTCACGGTACAACAACTTCCTCTACCTCATGCAGTGACCTCAATTATACCATGTGCCAGATCTTACATGATTATCGATCGGTCTCACAGCCATTTACTATCTCTATTACAGGTGATAATTGATGCATGACGAGAATTAACTAATGTTCGCACTGTCTACGTATGAAGAACGACATGACTCGCACAAAATTTTGGTACATATTACTGTGCGGTTCTCCGTCACATCACTTTCATTTTCTCATTTTCAGTGACGGATATGATACACTACGTTGTATGAGGTATACAGGAATAAGCTGTAGTTCTAAAGTCGTAAGTAAAGAATGAATATTCGGGCCACTAAGTGTCTACAAATATTCTTGAGAAATACTTCTTTACGCCTTCCGTACCATGAACTATCGCCCCAACCACTCCGTCTGGCCGTATCACAAACACCTTCGTCTGACCAGCTTCCATGAGGTAAGCCGAATAAGCATGGCCCTCCTGATCAACGAGAACGAGATCAGCAGGAGATGCGACAGACGTTACTGATGCCGATGATGGCAGAACGACTGCCGATCGTACGACACTTTTGTCGTATGTCTCCAGTGCACCCAAGATTGGGGTAGCATCAGCGAGACTTGGCGCAAATACAAGGATTGTGTGGTACCAAGGTCTGTACAAACTAAAAAGCGTCGTCGCGCCAGGCTCTGCGCGCCCCACCTGCAGCATATTGGGTGCATCAGGCGCCCTGTCCCCGGCCTCCAGATGCTCCTCGTCAAGCACTCCGTATGCGTTGATCGGTTTCTCCTCGACTGAATTCACAAATTCATCGAGTACGATGGTGCTGAATCGGCAGTTGATGCCGAGCATGAACAGAATGGGACTTCGTTCGAACCGCGCGCCTTTGGATGCTATCGTCTTGTTGAGAATCGAGGTGGTCACGCCGAGCATCTCGGAGATCACAGGCAGACGCTCGGCGCTGTATGTCTCGAGAAGAGATTTGTCGGCGAACCCTTTCTGGACGAGCGCAAGCTTCCATCCTAGATTGAACTGGTGTAGGGCGCGGTCAGTTGCATCGCACATGCTACATCCATCCGACTCACTGCATCTTGTACGCCTGAATTGAGTCCCTGTTCGTAGACAAATGAGCAAGTATCAGCATCAATCGGATCAACCATACCTGACCACCCGTTGGGCTATGGACGCTTGGATATGTGTTAGTGGTAGTTTACGAAGAAGCATTCAAATATAGCATACTGAGCAGCATCTATGATGACATGCATGAGCATAGCCATGCACATCTGGAACAGAACCACATACCGCCTGCAACGAACACTCGACCCTCGCTAAACTTATTCACCATCCGGATATTGGGCCTGGAACGAACCGATGAACGCGCATCAACAGACAGAAACACAAAACGCACCGGAAGTAGCTCATCCAAACCAACTTGTTGACTGAAATCTCTGTTGGTATCAACGACACGATGGTCTCAAAAACGAGCTTTTCGCTCTCGGCTATCTTAGTCAAATCTAGTTCGCGACCAAAGAGGAAAAATTGCCAGCCGTCATCGCCAACTTCGTCTGTTGGACGCAATGAAAGGCTGCATATCGTCAATACACATGTCTCCAAGCCTCAACTGAACAAACATACCCTCGTTCATTCATGTTTCCAAATTGGTGCCAATGCTTCAAGACTACATCAAAAGAGCTTTCCATGAAATATGTAGAAAACGGACGTACCAGTCTATCGAGGCCAACGCCCATCAAGCGGATATCTCCAGTCACCATTTGGCCATCGTCTCTAGTCTCGCCCAAAAATGTGAGACCAAGTTGCTTGCGCACGATGCCTGTAAAGCCACTTTCAGTCTCGTGCATCCTAACAGATTTAGCTGCGTCTCACCTTTAGCGCCATCAGCGCCGATGATCCACTTGGCATCAAAAGTCTCTGATATGCCATTCTTTGCCAGAACAGCGGTGACGCCCTCATCGGACTGCTCGAACGAGCGGAGTTCTGTGCCCATCTCGACGGAACAAGAGAATTTCTCTAGGTGGCGTCGCAGAATGACATCTAGGAGTTGTTGACCCATCGATCTGTGGCCGTTCTAAAAAAACCGAGTCAGCATGAAGGTTTGATCAGGCGACCGTGTTGCACACGAATGGTATTGCTGGAGTAGGTTCGACATGCGGGACCAGCACTAAGTCTTTCAGAGTTTCCAACGTCCCAGGCTTGTAAAAACGGATGGGAGGGGCTGGTTTTGCCAGACTGATGACTTCTGAAACGCCCAGGAAGTTGTAGAGTTCGCGGGAACGTGGCTACATAGAGCATGCCTTCAGTGAGACCGGCAATGTGACAAGTGGATGTACGACAAACCCATATTCCAGTACCACGCTGTCCGATGCGAGGATGGGGGTCTTTATCGATGATGCGAACTGAGATACCATTTTGAAGGAGCGTCAACGCTGCTACCAGACCCACTGGTCCAGCACCTACCTAACATGGAATTCAGCTGAGGTGCAAGTATGTGTCATAGGCAGGTCACTTACGATTAGCACGGGAGGATGAACAAAATTCATTATGATATAGCAGTCACACTGACAGCAGTAGAAGTAATGAGTTCGAATTCCAACGATTTGTAAGTGAAGCAGGTAGTTATAACATGGAGACTGGGCCGATCAGAACAATCAGAGCTGGCGCTATGCCGCATCGAGTCAGGAAATTGGTAAGGATAACAGGAACCAGTTGCAGACAGGCTGCGGACCTTGCTTTTTCCCCATGGAGCCGAGCAAGAGCAGAGTTTGTTTATCTGACACCATGGTATCACATAATTTGTCTATGTCTCACTGGAGGCTAGGTTCACAAGTAAAGAACACTTTATTTTGTATGCTATAGGTTCGAGAATCATCCCTTCGTGGCGGGTGTTCGAAAAGGGCTGATCGAGTCCCAACAAAGCGCGCAGGCGTCGCTACCAGAGTCGATCGTCGGATCCGAAAAGGAGAGGTCTGCCCCCCGTGGGCTCTATTTCGGTGGCCTGCTTGGGTAATTTAAGATATACCCCACAATGTGGGTGCTATGCACCCAGGTGATCGATAAAGAACATGGCAAAGGGAGGCTTGAGCACAGTTGGAGACGACAAAAGATAAAGGCAAGTGCCGAGGAACGCCTGATATAGATTCTTGAAGCTTGAGGGATGAATGTCATTAAATTCACATCATTGTGTTTTCATGATGGATAGTAGGCAAACTTGGACTGCGCCAGCTGGCATGCGATAATCGTAATACAAAAATATGTTATATCTTACAACGTTTTCTCACTGGCAATCAGTTCCTCCAGTTTATCGACATGCGCACCGCTAAGTTGTGCAACAGCCATAAGCGGCCGTCGAACGTGAATTTCTCCATATCCGAAATGCTTCGATATCAAGGCCTTCATAGCACCAACTCCTCCAGCCTTGCGTGTTGCCCAATCTCCCTGACCTAGCTGAGCTTGAATTTTCATAGCCTCCTCGATCTTTCCTGCCTGGTAAAGTGCGTACATCTTCATGTGTAGCTTAGGCACGAGGTTCGGCAGCGCAGCAATTGCGCCAGCACTTCCGGAGAGGAGTCCTTGTAAGAGGACCTCTGATACACCAGCAAGAGTGCAAAATTCGGAAGGCGGCTTGACAGCAGTAATTCGGTGGAGCTTTCCAACGTTTCCGCAAGATAACTTAGTGCCCACAATATTGGGGTGCTCTGAGAGTGTGAGGATGATATCGGAGTCCAGGTCGATACCAGCAGTGACAGTTGGGAAGTTGTACACCATGTACGGCAAAGGTGAATAATCTGCAACCTACAAGTTCGAGGAAGTCAGGGACTCAGTCCAGCCGATTTGATGGAAGGCTTACTTCACGGTGATAACGGATGATGTTCTCTTTCGTCATATCTCCAGGCCAGACGGAAGGTGTCAACACGAGTACAAAGGCAGCACCAGCATCCTTTGCGTCTGCGCAGAGCTTCTTCGTCTCTCGTGCAGATTGGGCACCACAGCCTGCAATGATAACAACGTTCTGGAAGCCGTTTTCATCCAACGTCTTTCGAGTAAGGCTGATCGCCTCTTTACGCTCGTCATGTGACAAATGTTGAGCCTCCCCATTGCTTCCCTGCACGACGATACCTGTAACACCTCCCTGAGCAGATCAAAATGTTATTGACTGACATCAGGGAATCATAAGGTTTGTTTGCACCTGAGCGAGCCGCAAGACATGAGACTTTATAGCAGGGACATCAAAGTCCTCGTTCTCTTTGAAGAACAAGACAGCAGGCACGTAAATTCCGGAAGGGGGTACCGCAGCTGGCATGTTGCAAAAACCAATCGATTGGGTTGATAATCGCTGCTCTAGTAGTTATATGGGATCGAGCTCGCGGCATCATCACCATCACCATCTGGCGGAGCTCCGAGAGCACGGTTGGTGACACGGTCAGCTGGGGAACGGGCCGGTAATGTCAGTCACTGCGGAAACGAGAAAATAGTCAAGCCGGATTAGTGTAGGGACAGAATCCATATGACCCGGGATATCAACAGATGAGTCGTATGATAAGTGTGGAATTAGAACATGAAGTTATGATCATGCGCGTCAGTTACTGTATACTGGCAGCGGGGGGTTACTTGACCCTCCGAATGGAACGCTCCTCAACGAGTCAAGGACTACCAGATTAAGCGTATTTCGATCAATTTTACCGAAATTTAGTGATCACTTCACAAAATCACAATCGATTTTCTAATCATCTTAAACTTTTCCATCATCTACCACGTTCTTACCATCGTATCCAGATTCCAGGCCTTACAACTATGATGATCCGGGTTGTTTCTAAATCACACTTTGATGGGCGCGATCTGAATGTAGTACGCGTGCAGTGGTAGGGCTACTCTACGCGAGCGATGGGACATTGTAGGGCAGGGTTCAACAGATCAATGATATCTGGAAGATTGAAGATGACATGCCAAAATAATCAGCCCTGCGATGTGCGATCTCATTGTGTTCTACCGTTGACTGATCAGCCCAACTGCTTTCCAGGCTAATAGTACTTTATCATGAGTGCTAAGCACTGAGTACTGAAGTACGAGCTGCTGGCTGGTGGGGCACAACGTGACGTGTCATTTAACCCTGACTTATACAACTGTAACGCCACCACAACATCTTGGAATACATCGTTAGCATCACCCACAAGGAAGACCTCAAGAATCCAGGTCATAAATACTGATACAAAAACTACGCACTCGCCAGCACTGCGGCAGCATCAAACCATATAGTAAGAGACATAGTATGCGAATCCACTGACTCCTCCGAGCCGTGCATGCAGAAACTAACGTAAACAACAGTATCGTACAGGGCATCCAAGACTACTGCCGAGGCTCGGAGGCCGGTTGACGGCCAAAACTCGAATCACAAGAAGGTCGCAAAAGAAACTAGAAATTTGTCCCAAGGGTCAAGAGAGCAAGCATGGAGATGCTAGCTGAGAGATGAGCACTCGTCAGGAATCCTGCCAGGATCGCGCCTCACCAATCAAGCAGACGCACTGAGACCCATCGCTCGGGCTCCTGCACCGATACTACCTTCCCATCCAAAGAACCGTTCATTCTTTGGTACAGAGCCCACGCCAATGTAGCTGTCATTGTCCATTCCCATCTCGAACCACTCTTCGTCATCCCATCTCATATGCGCGTTCTTCGTGTGCGCCCAGACGGAGATGAAGACTATTCGCTTTAGCTTAGGGTTGAGGAAGAACCAGTGCGAGGACCACAAGAGTGCACCACAACGCCGCTTTAACCGCACATGCGCGATGTTGTTGCGCTCAGGCGATTCGCCACTACTCGTGCTGCCGCTGTTATACCGGAAAGGTATGCGGTTTTGCAGGGTCACGGAAGCTGGTCTTGAGCTGGTAGGATCCGGGAAGAACTCGTCTACGTCATAGTCATCAAACTCGAAAGGGGGTTCATCGTCTGGGTCGTCGGACGAATCCTCATCTGCAACAGACGCGACATCATCCTCATCGTCAGAGTCGTTGGCGTGGGGATCAGAGTCGATATCTGGGGAGTATGAGAAGACTTGGCAATCTGCGAGACCAATGACATCATCCAATATACGATACAAGGTTGGGTGTGTGCCAGAAACTATCTGGGGAGGTGCATGGGGGCTGGACACCATGTGGTGCAGAGGTGATGATGAGGTAGTTGGGACAGAAGAAGGGAAAAAAGTGGACGACGTGGGAGGATAAGCTGAGTATGTGCGTGGTGCGCTCATACCAGCACGGTGAGGAGAGAGAAGGGTTGTGCTGAGGGAATTTAGCACGCTCGCGCCGTTTTTCTCTTTGTTAAAGTGTGCGGGTCTGACATCTGAGAACTCATAGTCGGGGAATGCGATGTTAAGGGTGGCTATGAGAAGGTAGAGTGTCTTGCGAGATGCCTGCTTGTCCATAGGGCCAAACGGGGTAAGTTCAGGCTCGCGATCAAGCCATGAAGGAAGTGGCGGTGAATGGGAGAGCTCGTCGTTGTAGGCATGTTCAAGGGACTTGAAGAGTTTCTTGTCGCGTTTGATGTTCTTGCAGCTATATGCTTCGATACGAGTGTGTACGGAGCATTCTGGGCCCTCATGAGTGAGCGCTTGGGAAAGGCGTGATAACTCGGGGAATTCTATATATTTCATAGTCGTGAGGAATGATGTTGAACGGTAGTTGGTCGTCGTGAGCCGCAGCGAGGAAAGGAATAGAGCGAGGCGAGTGGCTTGACGAGCGGATGTTTGTCATTTCCGATTCTGGATGCACAGCTTCTCACTTAAAATTCTATTAATATTATGCCTTGATCATGCTGAGGGGAGAGCAATATATATTTGCCGACTTTAGCTTTCTTGAAGCCGGAAGTATACTGAACAGCAACAATTAATGGCCATTTGTCCTTCAGTGCAAGACGACGAAATAAAATTACAAAAGTTAAAACAAAAATTAACAGGATGATAGCAAGTTTACTCTCTTTCTTTCCAATCGGTCAGGTTTCGTCGACTACCACATGGTGATCGCACGTTTCTAAACCATGATCTTTTGATCCACTAGGTTGCTGCCAGGAGTCAAGTTGCATCATGCGAAAACGTTTGTGTGGCGTGACCTATAAGGATTCCACGCTTGACGCCTCGTAATGCTTGTACAATGTGCATGCACGTGAGTGTGAGATATATAACTGGCTGTCCCGTCGTTGTATTCCACAGTCGCACGGTGTTATCCTTCGAACCAGACGCGATGCGAGTACCATCCGGTGAGAACGAGACTGAGTTAACCGCGCCAGCGACATGGAGCGAAGCATGGTCGAGTGAACATCATCTACGAAAGAACTGAATCATCTATGACCACGGGTGCAATCGACATTGCCGCCGTGGCCGGCGCTCACGATAACCATATCTGCAGCCAATGTATGCAGAGCTAATGAGTGAGCCCGAGGAAACGAGATGCACCTTCATTGAGGAATTTATATGGTGCTGGTAGCTCGAGGCTTTCGTGGTATCGAGCACGTTTAGATTTGGCCGCTACAAATATTTCGGGGGGTCAGTGACTCAGAGACTTAATACCCAGGAGGAGGGACGCGTTACTTACATCGAGGTGTCGCTATGCTGCAGTCTGAATGGCTGAAGCAGAACCGTTTCTGGCCTGTTCAGAAGTTCCCAGGAATCCTGCTCTGTTCAGGAAGCGGCCGGGTGTGGCTGCGGCTGTACTTAGTCATCCGGCAACTGCCGGAAGCGGAACAAACAGGCACCCATAAATTTGCTTCCTTTTACCGGACTGCCTAAGGACTGCCCATAACCACCAACCACAAAGTCTTCTTACAGTCTTTGTCTACTTAAACCCAAAGCCCATAACCTAGAAATTTCGCGGTCTTCCCCTAGCCCACGATTGCTTCTCAAACGCAAAATTTTTCTATCTTCTGTCCTACTCGAGGAGAAAACAGAAGACTTTATTTCATGCTTCGACCTCCACTCAATTTATCGGCAAATACGTGTTTGTTTCGGAGAAAGTCCATAAGTACTGTATGTCGTTTCTATCTTCTGCGACATGCTGTCCATTGACTAGGCCATACTCTAGCGTTAAATATATCTGCCCAGCATGGCTTCCGCAGGAATTGTGAATATTCGTCGCGATGTCGATGACAAGTTTTACCGCTACCGCATGCCGCTCCTTCTCACAAAAATTGAAGGCAAAGGCAATGGTATCAAAACCGTCGTTCCCAACATGGCAGATGTCGCTCGTGCCCTATCTCGCCCTCCCACCTATCCTACCAAATTCTTTGGCTGTGAGCTCGGTGCACAGACCTCCTCTGATGACAAGAATGAACGCTACATCGTCAACGGCGCTCATGACGCCTCTCGCCTTCGGGAATTGCTTGACGTCTTCATCGATAAATTTGTTCTTTGTCGTTCATGCAAGAATCCTGAGACAGATCTTATCATCCTCAAGAGCGGTCGCAACGAGGATATCGTCAGGGATTGCAAAGCTTGCGGTGAGAGGACGGACGTCGACATGAAGCACAAGCTCGTCACCTTCATTTTGAAGAACCCGCCTAAGAACCCCAAGAAGAGCAAGAAGGGGGCCAAGGGTGAGACAAATGGAAACGGCGGCGGAGTGCACGCGTCAGCTCCATCTGTTCCTGGTGACGAACATAGTGGCTCTGGTGGCGATAGCGATGATGAGCTTACCAAGAAGATCAAAGCCGATGCCGCTGAGCTTACCACAGAAACCAAGCTTGCAGCTCAAGATTGGTCGGCTGATACCTCTCCCGAGGCTGTCAAGGCTCGCGTTAAGGCGTTGGAGAGTCAGGTTGGCGGACTATCACTTACGCCTGCTGGCGGCTTGGGAGATGATGAGGGCAGTGATGACGATGTCAACAGCCCCTATGCTCAGTTTGGTCGTTGGGTCGAAGAGAACAAGGGCGAAGCAGGCATTAGTGCAGTGCAGATCTACCAGAAGGCTCAAGAGTTTGGCGTCGAGAAGAAACACAAGACTGTCCTAGTTCTTGTTCAAGCGCTGTTCACCGAGGACGTTGTGAAAGAGATTAATACATACAAGGCCCTGCTCGCAAAGGCTTGTTCTCCTCCTACTGATCTGCGGATGTTGCTAACTTAATGTGCAGATGGCCACCTCCGAGAAGCACCAGAAAGCTCTCTTGGGTGGAATTGAGCGCCTCGTTGGGCTCACCCACCCCGAGCTCATCCCTTCCGTACCAAAAGTCCTTATGGCGTTGTACCAGATCGATGTCTTGGAAGAAGACGTGGTGACTCAGTGGGGTACTCATGTCAGCAAGAAGTACGTTGATAAGGAGACGAGCAAGAAAGTGAGGAAGGCCAGCGAGCCGTTCTTAAAGTGGCTTGAGGATGCAGATGATGACGAATCTGAGTGATGTGTAGATATGTAGTCCTCATTTATGTTTCTGTTTTTACTTTTCATATCTTGTCTTTTGTTCGCTAATAATACTATTGGTTACCGCTCGCTCGTGCATCCTCACATTTCGTGCATCCCTCAAAACCACACTTTTCCTACTGCAACTTGTCAAACTACTACGTTCATTTGAAATAATAGTACACATCGTAGCGGCGGCGAGCCGCCAGTCCCCGACTTTGCCTCTCATGCCAAGTCGTCATGATTAGTTCAGCTCATTTTTGTGTGTAGCCTTTCATCCGATGTACTCAAACATCCTTTGCTCAAATTCTCCGGAGTTACTATGTGGTTCTCCGTCACATCACTTTCATTTTCTCATTTTCAGTTGCGGATATGATACACTACATTGCATGATTCAGGTATACAGGAATAAGCTGTACTTCTAAAAGTCGTGAGTAAAGAACGAATATCCGGGCCACTAAGCGTCCACAAATATTTTTGAAAAATACTTTTTCACCCCTTCCGTACCATGAACTATCGCCCCAATCACTCCGTCCGGCCGTATCACAAACACCTTCGTCTGACCAGCTTCCATGAGGTAAGCCGAATAAGCATGGCCCTCCTGATCAACGAGAACGAGATCAGCAGGAGATGCGACAGACGTTACTGATGCCGATGATGGCAGAACGACTGCCGATCGTACGACGCTTTTGTCGTATGTCTCCAGTGCACCCAAGACCGGGGTGGCATCAGCGAGACTCGGCGCAAATACGAGGATTGTGTGGTACCAAGGTCTGTACAAACTAAAAAGCGTCGTCGCGCCAGGCTCTGCGCGCCCCACCTGCAGCATATTGGGTGCATCAGGCGCCCTGTCCCCAGCCTCCAGATGCCCCTCGTCAAGCACTCCGTAAGCGTTAATAGGCTTTCCTGAGGTCACAAATTCATCGAGTACGATGGTGCTGAATCGGCAGTTGATGCCGAGCATGAACAGGATGGGGGTTCGTCCGCTCGACGCATCGCCAGACGCTATTGCCTTGTCCAGAATCGACGTGGTCACGCCGAGCATCTCAGAGATCACAGGCAGACGCTCGGCGCTGTATGTCTCGAGAAGAGATTTGTCGGCGAGTCCTTTCTGGACGAGCGCAAGCTTCCATCCTAGATTGAACTGGTGCAGGGCGCGGTCAGTTGTAACACACATGCTGCATCTACCCGACTCACTGCATCTTGTACGCCTGAATTGAGTCCCTGTTCATAGACGAGTGAGCAAGTATTAGCAATAATCGAATCAACCATACCTGACCACCCGTTGGGCTGTGGACGCTTGGATGTGTGTTAGTGGCAGTTTACGAAGAAGTATTCAAATATAGCATACTGAGCAGCATCTACGACGACATGTGTGAGTACAGCCATACGCATTTGGAACAGAACCACATACCGCCTGCAACGAACACTCGACCCTCGCTAAACTTATTCACCATCCGGATATTAGCTCTGGAACAAACCGATGAACATGGATCAACACAGCCAGGAACACAAACGCACCGGAAGTCGCTCATCCAAACCACCTTGTTGAATGAAATCTCCGTTGGTATTAACAACGCAATAGTCTCGAAAACGAGCTTTTCGCTCTCGGCAATCTTCGCCAAATCTAGTTCATGGCCAAAGAGGAAAAATTGCCAGCCGTCATCGCCAACTTCGTCTGTTGGACGCAATGAAAGGCTGCATATCCGTCAATATACATGTCTCCAAGTCTCAATTGAACATACCCTCGTTCATGAAAGTTTCCAAATCGGTGCCAATGCTTCAAGATTGCATTGGGATAGCTTTCCATGAAATATGTAGAAACCAAAACGCACCAGTCTATCGAGGCCAACGCCCGTCATGCGGATATCTCCGGTCACAATCCGAGTATCGTCTCTAGTCTCGCCCAAAAATGTGAGGCCAAGTTGCTTGCGCACAATGCCTGTAAAGCCACTTTCAGTCTCGTGCATCTCAATAGATTTAGCTGCATCTCACCTTTAGCACCATCAGCGCCGATGATCCACTTGGTATCAAAAGTCTCTGATGTGTCATTCTTTGCTAGAACAGCAGTGACGCCCTCATCGGACTGCTCGAACGAGCGAAGTTCGGTGCCCATCTCGACAGAACAAGAGAATTTTTCTAGATGGCGCCGCAGAATGACATCTAGGAGCTGTTGACCCATCAATTTGGGAACATACTAAAAATTGAATCAGCATGAAGGTTTGATCAGGCGACGGTGTTGCGCACGAATGGTATTGCTGGAGTAGGTTCGATATGAGGGACCATCACTGAGTCTTTCAGAACTTCCAACGTCCCGGACTTGTATCCACGCATGACAGGGGCTGGTGTTCCCAGACTATTGACTTCTGAAATGCCCAGGAAGTTGTAGAGTTCGAGGGAGCGCGGCTACAATATACATAGAGAATGCATTCAATGAGACCATGGGGAGATATGACAAGTGGATGTGGCACAAACCCATATTCCAGCACCACGCTGTCCGATGCGAGGGTGGGGGTCTTTATCGATAATGCGAACTGAGATACCGTTTTGGAGGAGCGTCAACGCTGCTACCAGACCCGCTGGCCCAGCGCCAACCTAACAAGGAATTCAGCTGAGATGTAAACATGTGTCATAGGTCGTCACTTACAACTAGCACGGGGGGATGAACAGTATTCATGGATAACACTGATAGGAGGATTAGTTGGTTCGAATTCTGAGGATTTGGATCAGCATCTCGAGAGAAGCAGGTTGTTATAAGACAGGGGTGAGGCCGATCAGGACGGGCACTATGGTAATGACGCGGCGTTCAGAGTAGTAGTATCCTCAGTCGCCGACGTTACGCATCATCAGATAATCTGTCAAAATGCTACCGGATACTTCACGACGGCTGACTGGATGACTCGCTTAGTGTTATAGTAATGCATCCGAGTCAAACAGGGCAAAGACCTGTGATGCATCCGAGTCATGTGCAAGTGTACAGGCCTGAGGCTGAGTACGCAGACATCTAATGGAGATGTATCAGGCACTTGGACTATATCGTATGTTGCGAGTCGCAAAAATTAACTTGAATAAATTGGGAGGGAGGAAGGGAGAAGGAATGCTTACGCCAGAATACACTTCAAGAACGCTGATTAAAAATCTCGATAGAGTACCGATGTTAGACTCACCATGCAAGTAGTGTTGAAGTGGCGGGGCACAACACTGCATCAGCAAACTACCAATTTTTGATACAGGCGAACGACACAACTGACATAGCCCAACAGCGGCGCAGTGCACAGCCTCAAAGGAAAATGATGGCGCACAGGAATAGAAACTGACCTGAGGCCTGAGGTGCGATGCAAACTAATTGCAACCAATTGATCATCAAGTATCATATATCATATATCATTGTCGATTGCATATGGTGAAATAAGGGCTAAACATACGTTTTCTCGAGCTGCCTGTGAGGGGATTTTGAAACCGTACCGTCATACCCTGCAACGGCCCAGTCACCAGCACATCATAGCAGATTTCTGAACAACTAGAGGCATGTCATCCCTGTCTTTGAAAATCACAGGATACTCCGTGCCATCAGACAGTCAGAGCACTAGAGATATAACAAGGGGTATAGATTCGATTCGAAGACAGAAGATTTTTCAGCATTGATGCCATGTGTGCGTTGGCAATGGGATGTTGACAAGCGGCGCCGGCCCGTTACACGTTAAGGAGCGGAGTTTCTGCTCAGCCTCATATCGATGACACACTTTGGAGTGCCACCACCTTGAATCTGCCACCTGCTAGTGCCACGCTGGCAGAACTGCTTCAAAATAGTTCTGCCACAACACTACTCGCGTTACGCCTTGTCATGCGGCCCGAGGGAGACTCATCTCTCACGTTGTACTTATATTCTTGCAGAAGAAATAAATGTGTCACCATGCTCATCGCTGCAGCAAAATAAGTATTACCTTCTCTGGGACACTTTAATCCCAAGGGCATAAAACCATAATGTGTATGTTTCCACGCCCTAGCTAACTAAACTTGAACACCCTCACAATGCCTCCTCGCATACTCGCCTACTCCGCTACGGCTGGATTCAGACACGACAGCATCGAGGCTTCTATCGAGGCTCTTAAAGCCAAGGAATCCGCCCTCGACGTAAAGTTCGACTTCACGGAGGACAAGTCAAAGTTCACAGATGAAAACTTATCTCAGTATGATGCCATCTTGTTCTTGAACAACTCCGGCATTGGTACAGCCCATATTGAACGACCAGTGTGATGGAAACTAATGGCTCTACATCAGTTCTTGATGATACCGGGAAGGTCGCTCTACAGAATTATTTCAATCTTGGTGGCAACTTCCTTGCTATTCACTGCGCCGCAAGCGCCCTGCGCGATTCTCCTTTCTTCGGGAGACAGATTGGTACGTTGTGATATGAAGGATCGATGTCCTGATGCTTTACATTTGCATAGGTGCCTATTTCGAATACCACCCTGAGATTCAGGAATCAGTAGGTCGTAAGAGGCTTTACAGCCAAATTGCTCACGAATACTGTCATTTCAGGCTGTAGATGTCCTGGACAAGACGCACCCTAGTACCGTCATGCTACCAGATAAATGGCGCTTGCTGGACGAGATGTGTGCTTGTTTATAAGCCCCTTTTAAAGTACACTGACTTCTCCAAGGTACAACTTTGAGTCGGACCCTCGTGCCATCGGGGCCAAGGTCCTCCTGACAGCCGACGAGTCAAGCTACCAAGGTAATGTTGATGAACCGAGCAGATTCGTGTGCTGAGCATAATAAATGATTTTCAAGATCCTCAGGCGAAAGAAAAAACTTTGCGCCACGGATCTCCCCACCCAATTGGTGAGTATTTAACCCGAGCAGTATCAACTTGCCTCGATTCCTCGTAGCTTGGTATCAGGAAAGAGGTGCCGGCGTTGAAAGCCATGGCATTGCTGGTCGCAGCTGGTTCACTGGGCTCGGTCATTGTATCGAAATATGGAGCGTAAGTGTGGTATACTTGTCTTGGATTGAAAGTAATCAAAACCTTCTCAGGACGACCTCTTCTTGGGTCATGTCATGGGTGGTATCAAGTGGGTGCTTCAATCGAAGACCACGAAAGCATTTAATACCAACGGCAATGTCGGCAATGCGTCCTGAGACCTGATCAAGAGCAGTGAGATGAAATGTATACAGCGTGGGAAATGACATGTAAATGCAGAGCGAGGGAATGATTAAGAATGCGGAATGGAATATGCATGTTCTTGTCAGAGGGATAATTATTGAGGTCTGCACTCTGGCTCGCCTCCCATGTTGTCTTCGCCATAGTCGTCACCGTCTTCGTCCTCCCAGTCGTCTTCGTCTCCTTCTCCGAACTGCGATGCAAACCCTTGATCAAAGAAGTCCGAACCAGCCGGGAAAGACCGGGCACGCACGTCCACAATGTCCCCCTCTTCATATGGGACTTCATCGACAATTTCAGGCATTGGGTCCATGTCATCTTTCTTTGGCGGCAAAAGTCTCTCCAAAGCCTCCGAGATCAAGCAATTAGCGAATGCTTTTCATAGTTGGAAATATACATACCGGCTTGTTCACAGATTGTAGCCATTGGGCATCGGGCATTTGTATGTCAAGAACTATGAACAGGTCGCCTTTCTGATCTGGGTGTTTGTGTGTGGGCATGCCTTCTCCACGAAGCTTTATCGAATCCCCGGGACGGATAATCCTGCCTGGTGGACTGGAAACCCGAATGCCCCTTCCGTCGAGGTGCTTTATCAAGATGCGAGAAAAACCTAGAAGTGCTTCGGATAGCGTGATTTTGACATTTGTTAACAAATTGCTGCCTGAGCGCTCAAAAGACTCGTGGTGAGTAGTTTTGAGTTTAAAAATCACATCACCAGCAGGGATACCGGGCTGTTATACATTAATCGACATCCATTCAAGAATTCGTATTACCTACCTGTTGATCGCCTGCGCCTGCGAGGACGATCCGGTGTCCATCTGGCATGCCTTTCTCGATGAAAATTTCTTGGCGGGTCTTTTCCTCTACTGTCTTTTCACCCTTACATTTTTTACACCTACCTATCATGAGTGGCCATAAATGCGCATGTATAGTAGAACGAACCGATCTTTCTCTTTTAGTTTACTGCCTTGACCGCTGCACTCGGTACATTTCGTCCGTGCTGTGCCATACCGCGAAGCGGCAATCTCAAAAGAAATATCTGATAGGATGTTCGAAAAGCAGTAAAGCTTCGCACCTGTGTTTGGATAAAAGTCCAGCCTTTTCCTTCGCAGTTGACGCACTCCTTGGGTTTGGCGCTACCCCGGGCTCCGGAACTACATTATTGGGACCTTGATTAACCGGTGATCTAGAACGAGCTGACACCACATACCCTTGACACGTGCTGCAAATGATCTCTCTTGCCATATTCATCTTCACAGACTTTCCATTGTATAAATCTTCCAGCGTAACATCATAGGGAACCTCTGTATCTTGGCCCTTGTGTCGGTGGGGGCCCCCTCCAGGCCCTCCTCCACCAAAGTCGAAGAAAGTTGCGCCACCACCGAAAAATTGAGCAAAGAGATCTGCAGCATCAGCCATGCCACCTGGTCCCCCTGAACCTGGGCCTAGACCAGCCATCCCACTTTCGTCATATAGTGCTCTGCTCTCTGGATCACCAAGGATCTCGTAGCTAGAAGGTAGGCGTGACTGTCAGATGAGTTCGAGGAAACAAGAGATGAAACGGACGCGGCAGCCATTTCCTGGAATTTCTGAGCAGCTTGAGGGTCATTGGGATTCTGTGGCATAGAAAATTGTGGGCAACGGCCAGCGTAATTGCATGAAAACAAACCTTGTCCTGTCAAACGTAATGGTCAGCTGATTTTGGAGAACAATCACTGAATAACTTACGGGATGATGTTCCTTAGCCTGTGAAGGAGTAAGAGCCTGTTAATGGATCAAGTGTGGACTCGCACCTTTTTCCGATAGGCCTTCTTGATATCATCTTGTGCAAACTGTTCAGGCCAAGCGTATCGGAGCAAGGTGTCTAGGACGTACCTTCGCTGGCGGACGGCGGAACACCTAAAAGATCATAAAGCTCGGTATCTACAGGCACTGCATAACTGTCAGCAGTCAATTGTAGAAAGGACAGCTTAGTTAACCAACTTTTTCTTTCGAGGAAGGAAATCCGACTGAAGACACAGTTAATTTTAACGTCGTGACACGCGTTTTGGAGAGACGCGCTTCGGAGTTTGAATTATCTATTATCAACCCTTGAAAAAAAAGCTGGTTCTCAAAGTCCTGGTCGCGTTCAGTGCTTTGCTTGAGGCTCGGTGCATTCACTAGGATAGGTGAGCTACAGTTCTTGTTCTTCATCTCCAGAATGATGTTCAATCATTATCTACATTGTCTTACTGGGCTCGCCCAGAAATGACGAATATTTCAACCTGATTTTTTCCAAAGTCCCACCTATAGTATCCTCATGCTTATCCGTTCCCTATAGGTTCTTAGTCCAGCACTGATGCCCTTCATACTTGTACATAGTGCCCTGCAATGAACTTCTACTTTGAGGCTTCTGAAGTACTTAATCGTCTCGATGCAAAAGAAGGTTCCATCAAAGGCATTCTGGCCACTTTACCCGAGAACAACAGATCGAGAACAGCTGCGCTTGTCATCGAAACACTCAAATGTAAGTTGCGGCACATCACGTTATTGAATGTGATCATTTACCCAGCGTTCAGACAAATCTGTCCTCTCCGATGTCATCCAGGCATCCAAGCTCCTCACCGAGGAGAGGAAGAAAATCAGTTCTTTGAATCTAGCCCTTGTACTAGTGCATGACACTCTGCTCGCAAATGGTATTCAGGCTGGGGACGGGCCCATCAAACAAGCCATTTTAAGGCACAAGACTAGGCTAAAGAGCGAACTTCAGCGAATCAAAATAAAACGAGGTGTCAAATCTGATCTGGAGTTGACTCAGACCAGTGACGACAGGGCAGGTTAGAGCACATCCAATAGCAAAGTGCACTTGGTGAACCATCTTCACAGCCAAAATCCCTCGTTACGTTCGTGTCAATACTTCGATATGGTCGACAGAGGAGGCCATATCATTTTATACCAAACGTGGTTTTCAACTGCAAGGTCCCTTTGCGTCGAGGTCAGCCATGTGTCCTGGAATGTTCTTGAGTACTGATGTCGTCCGCTTATCTCAGCAAAGGGTTTGGAATTGATGAACACATACCAGATCTGCTGGCATTCAACCCTGCTTTACAGTTTCGCGACGATCCTTCCTACAAAACTGGCAAGATTATTTTACAAGATAAGGCGTCGTGTTTCTCCGCGTTTGTGCTATCGCCTCCTTGTAACGATCCAAATGCTGTGGTGATAGACGCGACAGCTGCTCCCGGAAACAAAACCTCACATCTGAGCGCACTGATGGGTAACAAGGGAAAGGTAATCTGTATACCCCGCTTCCAATTTAAACCTTTTTGACGGTGTGGTAGTTATATGCTTTCGAGAAGGACACGAGGCGCTTCTCGACGTTGAAAATGATGCTCGCCAAGGCTGCTTGCCGCAACGTAGAAGCCATCAACGTTGATTTTCTCACGGTCGACCCTTCCCATCCAAAGTATTCACTGGCAACCCATATGTGTGTCCTACTTCGAACACCCTCGATTTCCACTAACTTCTACTAGCTTGCTTGATCCTTCCTGCAGTGGTTCAGGTATCGTAAATCGTCTAGACTATTTGCTTGAAGATGGCGAGTCTCTTGTATATTGTAGCTCAGCTCAGCTGACGCTTCCATAGAGACAGAAATGGTGGAAGAAGACCGGTTGAACAAACTAGCCGCTTTCCAGCTCATGATGATCAAACATGCTATGAAATGTGAGTAGTTCGGAAAATAGTGGATATAGAAATTAGAATGACTTCTTATTTCGTCTTTAGTTCCATATGTACAGAAAATCGTTTATTCTACCTGTAGCATTCACGCGACAGAAAACGAGCATGTCATTAGCCATGCCCTTCAGTCGGACGAAGCAAAGCGCAGTCATCTCAAGCTTGCACCTCGGAACGACGTCCTGCCCACATGGAACCGCCGAGGCCAGCCAGAAGAGATGAAGGGCACAGGTAAATACTCGTTCCGCCCGACACATGTAAATTAAAGTGAGACGCATTTTCAGGTGACGCGGACAGCCTAGTTCGTTGTTGCCCGGGCGAAGATGGCACAAACGGTTTTTTTGTTTCGTGCTTCATTCGGGAACATAATTCTGTGCTCCCTCAGACTGAATCGTCGAAGAAGCGTAAAGGGGAAATTGAGGAAGTGACTCCGGAGAAGAGGAAGAAAAAACGCAAGAAAAAGATCAAAACAGAATGAGATCTTCGCTAGATTTACTAATACACATCCACGTCGAAATTATAAGCGTGTTTTGAGTTGTCGACTAACCCGCTTGTGCTGTCCCCAGCGCGATGGAATGTTTATTATTAGCAACCTGGAGATACGGACGGAGGTCTGCGGTAATCCCTCACTATTTCCCGCCAGCGCCTGAATTCACCAGAGTAATGACTCTTCCACTTACAATGAACCAGCACGGAGCGTCACGGTGTGTTACCTTCTTGGTTCTCCTTCAGAATCCGTGAAGCAGGTGGCGACAAAGTCGTTCTCTAGACGCTTGGGATGATTCCGGTTTCTTGCTAACATTGTTAGTAATTGAACTAATCAAAGTTGGTGTTTCGGATTGCCAACTATATGCCAACGATGACGATTCAAATATTGCTAGAACCGCTGAATGGCTTCAATAAATCTTTCGGATGCGGCCCATTGAATGACTGAATGCGACTTGGCAGATTTAAATGCATGGCATAAGTCATATGTAACTCGATTCAATTCCGATTGTAGAGTTGGAACGGGTTCGGTCATTTTCGTAGCAAGCGTAGTTCACCTCGAGTTGAACCCCCCTCGACAGCATGAAAAGCATATGTAGACTATCCCTGATGCCTGCCGCTCAGGAAATGGAGTGGAATGACGACAATGATCATTTCTAGGTGGCGGCATGAATAAAACTACCATGAAGTGGGGAAGAAAGGGACACACCAAAATAATACCGTCGAACCGCTGCTTGAACCAAGCCATGGTGTCATCCCTCCTCACTCGGTGCTGGAACCCAATACGTGCCCGTCTCTCTTTTCTTCTGGCAACACGGGCACCAGGGCGACCCATCACGACATAGAAGTCCATTCCAAAGATACCGATTCCAGGATCGTATCTCGCACCAAGGTCGATGTGCTCCTGGATACCGAAACCGAAGTTACCGGTCTCCGAGAAGTTCTTCCGACGTAACTCGTACTCTTTCACTTTGAGACCACGCTCAAGAATCTCCTCTGCCTTAGGCCCACGGATAGTGACGTGGACAGCAATCTTCTCGTTACGACGGATACCGAATGTGCGGACGGTGTAGCGAGCTTTCGAGGTAACGGGTGTTTGACCAGTGAGCTGTTCAAGGACTTTGGATGCACGGGTAAGACGATCACCAGACTCGCCAACACAAATGTCTAGATGAATGCCTTAGCACCATATGAGAACACGAGAAGAGAGGCGCACTGATGACGAGCTTGTCAATCTTCAGCTCCTTCATGGGGTTAGTGGGTGCTGTTTTTTGTTCGGCCTGCAGCATGATCTTCGTTAGGCGAGCTTGAAAAATCATGCATAAATCACTCACCATTGCGTCGTAACTTCTAGTTAACTTCCAGCGTTATTTTGTCGCTGTCGAGGGATGCGCGAGGCTAGGTATGTCCACATTTGGATTCTGGAGGCTGAACTCTAATTGATAAACTAGGTAGCTAACTCGGCAGAGTCCGACTACAATGTTCTTATGCATTACATAATATGTTAATGACAAATACCTATTGCTGACTCATCTTTGAACAGGCACTTGCTAACAAATCATTCATTCGGTGCCGTGAAATTCACTGACCCACCTTGTTCAGTGACTACCACTAGACCGTAGTCTGCACCGAGCTAAAACATGGCTTCAAAGCGCGCGCTTGAAGGTATGTTACTCTCCAAGCATTATTTAAGCATGAAGCACTCATATCTCATCACAGCGCCTGGAGAGGCTGGGCCATCGAAACGGAGGCGGGCTGAGGACAGTAATGACTATGTTGATGAAGAATATCATAGTGATCAAGAGGACAACGCCTCTTTCGTTCCTAGGGGTGCAACAATTAATTTCAGTGCGCTGACGAGAAAACTGGCGGAAGCCCGGAGGGCCAAACCCGTCGACGGTGATGAAACCTCGTTGGACGCGCATCGTCGGCAACAAGACGCACTTGTATCCCACATATTCATGGATCAAGATTTTTCTTTTCTTCATCTTAAACCTGACCATGCTTCGCGGCCATTATGGATTAGTCCTGATGATGGACATATCATCCTCGAGGCCTTTTCGCCCATTGCAGAGCAGGCTCAGGACTTTCTTGTAGCTATAAGTGAACCTGTTAGCAGGTACGCAGATTCCTGCTATGTAATTTACACGTCTAGACACGCCATCAGGCCGGCCTTTATCCACGAATACAAACTCACTTCTTATTCACTGTACGCCGCGGTGTCGGTTGGGTTGCAAACAGAAGATATCATTGAAGTTCGTGTGCACTAAGGTCCTCGTGCTGCTGGAGTATGCTAATACATTTAATCCTGCAAGGTGTTGAACCGGCTTTCTAAGGTGTGTCTCCTGGGGCATGTAGTCCGACTGAGTTTCATAAAGACACAAGGTGCCAGTGCCAGAAACGATCACCAACTTCATCCGGGAGCGGACGTTATCTTACGGGAAAGTGAAGCTTGTACTGAAACACAACAAGTACTTCGTTGAGAGCAGCCACCCGGAAACCCTTCAGCTCCTATTGAAGGACAAAGTGATACGAGAGGCACGAGTGGTTTCTCAACAAACGGACAATAGTATCAAGGCTGCCACCTTTACGACTACAAAAGCCCCTGTGAAGGGTAACCTTGTGATCCCTGGAACCAAGGAGGCTGAGAAGAAGAAGGATGAAACTGCGGGTACCAGGGCCGGAGCATCCATATCCGGAGGAGCCGCGGACGCTGACCTCTTCACCTCAATTGTTGGCGTTGACAACGGTGAGCTTGTACGCTCTGCCGCTGGCCTTTCTCATCGCTCTCGCCTTAGATGAAATCGATGAAGACGACGACAATGTTCATGCATTCGAGATTGATGATGCAAAAATCGACGTCAGTGTCTAGAAAAGATAGCTTCTTGTGGATTTCTCACGGATTCTTTCAGGACGTCAAGAAGCGGTGTAATGAGTTGGAATATCCAATGCTTGAGGAGTATGACTTCAGGAATGACACAGTCAATGCGAATCTGGACATTGACCTTAAACCGGCGACCGTCATTCGACCATATCAAGAGACGAGCTTGAGCAAGATGTTCGGAAATGGGTATGTCGCGGTTTTTAGTTGTCTAGGTACCTTCTGACCTGTGGACTTAGCCGCGCACGTTCTGGGATTATTGTTCTTCCGTGCGGGGCGGGAAAAACCCTCGTCGGCATTACAGCTGCCTGCACGATTAAAAAATCGTGTCTAGTACTGTGCACTTCTTCGTATGTCTGATAGCACTGATGCTGTGCCTAGAAACCTTCTCATAAAATCTTTTTCTTCCAGCGTGTCTGTTATGCAATGGAAGCAACAGTTCATGCAGTGGTCCAATGTGACTGATCGCCAAATCGCCGTTTTTACAGCAGATCAGAAAGAGAGAGTGAGTCTTGGCTATGATTTGTGCCTTTCCTTGGAATCTGATGATAAGGACTTACGTGTAGTTCGCTGGAGAGAGTGGTATCGTCGTATCGACATATTCCATGGTGGCAAACACGCACAATAGGTCCCATGAGTCCAAGAAGATGATGGAGTTTTTGACTTCACGTGAATGGGGGTTCATTCTCTTAGATGAAGTGCATGTTGTGCCGGCTGCCATGTTCCGCCGTGTTGTTACAACAATCAAAGCGCACTCAAAGCTTGGCTTGACCGGTGGGTCGCTTGAGATGAAGAATGCAGACCCAGTCGCTAATTTCACTCTGATCACAGCGACTCTTGTGCGTGAGGACGATAAAATCGCGGATCTCAACTACATGATAGGACCTAAATTATATGAAGCGAACTGGATGGACCTTGCAGCCAAGGGACATATAGCCAACGTTCAGGTAAGTTCTGTATTCTTCTACCTTCCGCGGCTTTTGCTGGACCAATCATTCTTTTGCTAGTGTGCCGAAGTTTGGTGTCCTATGACTCCTGAGTTTTACAAGGAGTATCTTCGGGAACAATCTCGGAAGCGTATGTTGCTTTATTGTATGAACCCGAAGAAATTCCAAGCGTGTCAATTTCTCATCAAATTCCACGAGGCGAGAGGAGACAAAGTTATTGTCTTTTCCGATAATGTCTTTGCACTTGAGGTAAGAACGTATGACATTTTTATGGTTACATGTGCTCAAGTGTTCCAGGCGTACGCCAAGAAACTCGGGAAGCCTTATATCCACGGTGGTACCGGGCAGGTTGAGCGGATGCGGGTGTTGCAATGGTTCCAGCATGATTCTAATGTCAACACCATTTTCCTGTCCAAGGTACATCTTACGACATGAAGCAGAAAGAGACTCTTCATTGACTTCTCTTGCGCAGGTCGGCGATACGTCCATAGATCTGCCGGAAGCTACGTGCCTGATTCAAATTAGTTCACACTTCGGGTCAAGGCGACAAGAAGCTCAGCGCTTGGGTATGTTGATATGGCAATGTTTTACTCTAGAATTTCATAGACAGCGACGGTGATTTCACAGGTCGCATCTTACGAGCGAAGCGGCGTAACGACGAAGGCTTTAACGCTTTCTTCTACTCGCTAGTTTCCAAAGATACCCAAGAGATGTTTTACAGCACCAAACGACAGCAATTTCTCATCGACCAGGGTTATGCGTTCAAGGTCATTACGCACCTGGACGGACTTGAGGACCTGGAAGATTTGGTTTACAAGACCAAGGATGAGCAAATCGAGTTGATTTCATCGGTGCTCTTAGCAAACGAAAGTGAAGCTGATCTAGGGACGGATATACGCGGGAATGAGGGCGACTTGGCAGGAACGGTGACATCCAAAGACTTTGGCCCTACAAGGTTTCCGACAGCGCAACGGACGACAGGGTCTCTCACGGCATTGAGTGGTGCTCAACATATGTCGTATGTCGAGCAGAACAAGTCGGTGAACAAGAAACTGGCGCGGGATGCAGCACCACGCCACAAATTATTTTCCCGTCGCGATAAGGACAAAGCTACCGCACGGAAAGAGCAACGAGCGATGGGGCGCACTTGAGTGCTATCATTGGAAGTCGAGGACTGGACCGCGGTTTCCACCGTTGTCACATTGTTGAAGCTTTGGCAATTTGTCATAGTGTACCTTAACGCCACCGTGTCTTTGAATACATAGTTTTTATTCTATGGCTATACAATGACGTATATATATATCTGGACTGACTACGTAGCAGATCTTATAAAGTGTACCGGTCCCCCTGTGACATTGGGAGTTCTCTTCCAAAAGGGTACTTCCAGATACATAATCGAAGGACAGGTACGACTGCGGTGGTAGTTGTACTCAGAATCGAGGAAGAAGAATGTACAGCAGTCGTATCGAGGTAAACACGGCCTCACAAGATTGTAACCTATAGTCAGTGAATTAATCGACGTGGCTCATGGAATCATGACAAGACTCAGATTACTAAATCCGGGTTGCCGAAAACGGCAAGTGACTGAGTTTGTGCGGAGATCGGTTCGGAGCTAAAAAAAGTAGATCTGGCCCAGGCAAGGTCCAGCCTGTGACTTGATCGAATAGGGATCGAATGCGGACGTGATACACAAAGATCTGGCTTGCCCGATGAAGTGGTCCCTTTTTATATGTTCTCCTGCCTTCCCTCTCTTTAGGTCCTTTCCTCCCCGCCTTCATCTCCTACCGCTTTTTTTCATCCTCAATCACTTTTAAATTTAAATGTCCTCAAAGCGTGGTCGCAAGCGCAATGACAACCTCCCTCCTAATAGAGCTAGGGATGTTCAAAGAGCATTTCGTGCAAGGCGAGCTGCTCATCTACAAGTGCGGCATTTTTATCCAACTTCTATTTCCAATCATCATCTAATTTCACTCCTTTTCCAGGCTCTCGAGTTGCGAGTATCGGAGCTCGAGGAAGAGAATAATTGCTTAAGAGCTGCACTCAATCTACCTGCAGCTAACCGCCCATCTCTCGGTAAAGGTCCGACAGGCAAGGATAAATCAAAGTCTCTTGAGACAACGCCTGTTGCTGCCCAATCCAACTCTTCTAAAAGCCGAGAGTCATCGCCCGTCGCAGAATCACCTTCTCCGGGTCGTTCAGAATCCGCTTCTCCCTCCGTTGTCAGCGGTAACTTGCGTAGCCCCCCTGTAATGGACGGTCATTGGGAAGAAAGTTTTATGATGAGTGATCAGCAGTCGCAGGGCTCTCATGTATCATCTTCGTCGTCCGCTTCCTATAGTCTTCGCCCAGTTCCTCCGGCTATGTCCCAGAAAAGCTCCCATCAATTCACTTTTTCAAATCCGATGCCGCCTCCCCGTTCTATGATTTCAAGTAGCGTCCCTGCGCACTCTATTCAGCCAAACTATGCACATACAGCCGATAGGCCTGTTGCCACTGGATATAATGATATGAACTATCTCCTATGCGACGTCCGAGAAAACGCACATTATCCCTACTCATATCAGCCCTCCCAGTTCAATCAAGATCATGCCATGTCCCCACCGGCTCAGAATCCTATTCATCCAACCCAAAATCATCACCCACAGCGCACGCCCCTGCCACATACATCAATAACGTACCCACAACGACGTTCAGTCAATGAACCTTCTGGGTTCAGACCGTTAGGCACCGATTTGCACCTGCCGAGCCCCCCGCCGCATTCGCAGGCGGTGCGCCTGGCATCGCCAGCGCCGTCTGCGCAAGATCCACGATCTCATTATACCTCTCACGGCAAGCATCCTAATGCTCTTCGGTGACCTTTCAGTTGTTATCATTGTCGTCGTCCTGTACTTCTTAATTCCCGTTTTCGTCGTAACTATTCTCATCCTTTGTACTATCAGTCCCTTCCTCGCACGACCTCGAGATTGTCATTGCTCATTGCTAAATGATTTTAACAACGCCTGTATCGCTATCGCTCGCGAACTTTTCTCTAGGCCACCTAGTCAATTTTACAATAGATGTATACACAGCTATCTGGTAAACTATTCTTTCCATGTAATAGCTTTAATTCTGCCTGTCATGCTGGCAATTCCGATGCTCGGACATGATCCAGCACGACCCATTGCGTTTGAGTCGGTTCGAATCGACGATGAGTCACTCATAACTGAACCAAATTTACCAGATTTCCTCTTTAAGCGATTAAGGTGACAGGCACCGTACAGCCACTGGGCGGGTACGACCATATTTGATAGCCAAATATAGTCCTTACATAAAGATCCCGTGCCAAGGTAACCTTTTCTTGTTTTGTGCATTTGCTGGCGACCGCGCCTCCGACGACCCATCATGGGACTATCGCATGAGTCGTACCGGAACAAAGCACCCTCTGTCACCCTTTCCAGCACTCATCTGATGGTGGCGTTCATTTTTTTTGCCGCCAGTTTATCTGATACAAGGTGACGGGGTATCCATGGGCATGGGCATGTGATTAATATTGTGATCGATTGTGGGAACTCGCGAGATTCTTGAAGATCTGTGCAAACAGATTATGCATAAATATTGTACTCAAACCTAAGACGTGTTGCATCCTAGATTCTCCCGCTATATCGTCGGGACTCACCTTATCCAGTACCCCAACAGATCTAGACCCACTAGCAAAAACTACTCAATGTATACAATGTGTCTAGGCAGTATCCTGTAGGTATTTAACAAAGGTTGGTATATTATGCTTTGCATCCGTTGATTAGTTCAATTAATCCAGATTGCACCAGTCGACTTTGCCTTGAGGTCCATACTTCTTCGCGAGCCAGCCATTCGCAGCCTTGAAATGACCATTGCCCAGAAAACCCTTATGAGCACTAAAGGGCGAAGGGTGCTATTTCGGAAGTCAATCAAGAATGCCACCAAACACAAGCATTCGAGGACGCACGGCACTAGTAAGAATCAAGTGTTTTGTCTGGGCGTTCCTAGTCAGCGCTCGAACGCCACCGATGGGGCCTTGATGAACTTACCTTGCTGAGTTTAGCCACACGCTTTGCGGCCCATGACCCCCAAGCCAAGAATACCACTCCACGCCCAATCCCGTTCATGTCGGAATCACCGCCGGACGAAAGATTGGCACCGCCATACTTATCAACTACGTCCACAACTTTGTCAGTAAATTCTTCCCAGCCCTTGCCGGAATGGGACCCTGCTTTGTTTGCCTTCACAGTAAGACAGGTGTTTAACATGAGGACACCATTATCAGCCCACGCTGCGAGGTTACTGGTTATTATTCACAAGTCCATGTTAGTACATACATAATTCGGACTCATCCACCTTATCTGATGCTTACCCATGCTTAGGAGGTTCGAATTCGGGGTATTCGGCCTTTATCTCAGCATAGATCTAGAAATGCAAGAATGAGGCGTGATGATCAATTACCAGTGAGAGATTGCGCACGTTTTTCAAGGAAGGCGGCACAGTGACGCCCTTGGGGACGGAGAAACAGAGGCCTAAAAGTCGCGTGACGCCCATTAACTTGGGATCAAGAGCGGTATAGGAACGGCTCACCATGAGCTTGATTCGGACCGTGGTAGGGGTCCTGGCCAATGATTACGACCTTCACCTTTCCGAGGGGCGTGTTAGACCACGCATAAATATCTTTTGCTGCTCACGGGCTCAGTTACTCGGCTGGCTAGTTCTCTTCGCGAAAGGAAACATACGTGAAGGATACACTTTGAGATTTTTAGCACTCTCGTCAGGGCCATGGACTCCTTCCTCCCACAGGAACTTCTTCAATGAGATAAAATATGGCTTTTTGATCTCTTCCTTTAGAAGTTTCAACCTGAAGAATGGTTCGGCGTCAGCGGGAAAATGATCAACACGGTGTCTTATCAGAACAGAACATAACACGGCGTTGTTATGTGAACAGCCCGTACGCACCAGCTCTTGCCCATGCATTCGGATTCTAGCTTTAGTAAATGTTTCTGATCCTGCGGAATTGATTCGACGTATTGAGACAGAGAGAAAGGTATCGCATTCAAACGCTGAACTCCGGCGACCGTAATTTTAGCAGAGTCAGGGCCTGACGACGAGGCGCCTAGCTTCAGTTTCTTAGCCGCGGGGTTTGCACCTTTGCAATCCTGTGTTCCAGATAGCATATCCATGAGAGTTCTCTGCCTTTTCAAGGTGCCTGTCGCCTGTGTTGCGGTGACTGTGGCCTTGACTGGGCCATCTTGTGATTTTGAACTAGGTGATTCGGAGTCTTTTTCCGCGTCAGAAGTCGAAACTACTGCGGTGTCGACATCTTCCAGGTAGACGACGCGTTGTTCATCCGACATGACACTGAGAGGTTATGGAAGAGAAGAAAAACGCGAGAGTCTAGTCCCGCGAGCGGTCGCGACATGAACCCCTTCCCGGGGGAGTCCACATTTTAATTGCTAATAATTTATGTAAATGCCATAATGTACAGGTTTCGGGTCTTTTGCTTGTCCTTGTTTTCTTCACTCACGAAGTCGCCTCTATATTCGAAACGTGCCAAATTCATAGTTCTGCCTTAGGATTTCGCCAAACTGCCGCGTTCAAACTCTTCCCCTTCGCCGCCGTCTGCACGAAATGCATCTGGGCGTGCGGACTTGTCGAGAAGACAATTCTTGAGTTCTAGGCCTGCAAAACGTCACTTAGGCCCGTTTGGGGCCACGGCGGCAGCTGTTCAACCAGATCATACTAATGTGGAATTGAGTTCAACCTATCACGCAGGGTCTTCAAGGTAGGAATTATGCCAGCTCACTGAGTATAAGGAAGCTTATGCTGCGTCCTCAATCTAGTGAACAGTCAAGTAGTGAAACAACCGAGGAGGATTCGGATGACGAGCCTCATGATGTTCGAGGACGCCGTCCTTCTCAAAAGGGCTTGCAAAGGGAGGCTCGAGATGCTATCAGGAAAAGGCGGCATGTGACATCTCCATCTCAACAGAGGTCTGGCCCCATCCCTCCTGATCACTCCAACGATGCCAAGCAAATTGGATCCTTGCCACGAAGAATGTCATTCACTCGTTCACGCTCGCCCCATCCACGGACCTTCGACAATGCAACTAATGCAGCACACCTACCTTCTGGAGCTTCTTCATTTCCTCAGCGGCACAAATTGCTTCCGGTTGCGCACACTCTATTGCCAGCAATGATCTCTGGCAGCCTTTCCCTCCCTTACTTTGGAACTTGGACATTCTGCATGGACACTAGATATATGGGAGAATCACTTCTCCTCGTCGGATCTTTAGCTTGTTTCAACAAGAAATTCTCTGATGACACTCATGACATCATTGACTTGTCAATATCCACAGGTGAATATATTTTTCACACATGTGCAAAATTTTATCTCGGTGCTAATTCTCGACTGCAGAGATGTATGTCCTCCTTATCATAGCTATACTCTACATTATACGTGCACACATTATACTACCGCACTTCAACGCCGCTGCACCTACTGCTCAAGAGTCTCGCCATATAGCGTCCCCTCGTACTGAAACTCGTGAAATTAGGCGCAGTGGCTCTCAGTTGAGCCCTGCAATTAAACCACGCTTTAGTTTCATTTGGATGAGTGTCCCAAAGAATTACAGGCATGTCAATTTCCTAGGCGTTCGTGTTCACTGGAATGAACTCCCCACAGGGAGTCTCCGAACGATGGCGTCCTCACAGGGCTCCTACTCCCACCTATGATTGCGCTAGCACTATTATACTCAGCCTTGCGGCAGGTTCACTCCCCTTCCTCTGATCCCAATCTTTCTCCACCTCATTGGTTGATAGAAGCCCCCAGTGTACTCCATAACCCTCGATCACCTGATTCCGCTATCGATGCCCTCGTACAATCTCGTCGTGGCCTAGTGGACTATTCCACAATGTGTTCGTTCATATTACTGGCCCAAGTATGTTCGTCGTGGATCATTGAGACACGCTATCGCGGACGTCCTAGCGTCCCTGAGGGAGAGCGGGGCTCTGTTCCTCGTAGTGAAATGCGTAGAACATGGCTTTACGTGCTCTTCACTTTCGTCATGACCATGTTGGCCATGACTGTTCGATACCTTTTTGCGCTGGTGGAGATTCCTATATGGCGAAGTGAATCAATTTATTTTTTAATTCTCCTGAGATGTTTACACCTTGATTACCCAGATATTAGCTATCTCGATATTGGCATCGGCTCGTTGTTCTACCAACTTTGCTTATATAGTGCCCTTCGCCTAGCGCATGGTGGGTTCACGCTGGGTGAATTGGCTCTTGTCTGCTTTGGCGGGCTGTCCTTGGCTACGGAACTGCTGGGATTGACTAGAGCGAGGGTGTGTTGGGCTTTTGCTTCAAAATATTCATGCTGATTTCTCGCTAAGATATGGCCGAAAACAGCACCATTCATCGAGACCTACCGCCTGCCAACACCCCTGTTGATTTTCCAGATTGCGCTAATCGCAGGTTCTTTCATTACTGGCTTCCTACTTTCTCCTCTTCTCGCCCTATCACGGCATATCGCGCAACGACCGGTGAGGCGTCTTCGACTTCCACAGGAGAAGCAACAGCATCGACGAGCTCTTGCCGCGGGTTTTTACATTGGAACGATAATCATTGTCGTTGGTCTTATTGGTTCGTGGACGTGGTGGAACCTCGGACGTAGAAATCCGTGGTTTTGGGCCATCCTTTGGCTTCTTGAGGGGCGTAAGAAGTGGAGTCGGCCCATGCTTCTTGCCTACTGGGGCCTTCTCGGAAGCATCAGCGTTGCCGGATGGAACCGACAGCTATCGAGGTCAAGGCGGTACAGACATAGAAACACGAGTGGGGGTACGCAAGATAATGTGATCGTTCCATTTGCTGTGAACTCGAATCAGAAACCACAAACGGAGATATCTTCACCCACTCCCACCACTACACTTGGGATTACATTCCCCAACTTGGCTAATCTCTCTAATCTGTCCAATGGTTCGCAAGTCGCCACAGAATTATTGGATGCCGCGGATAAGCACGTTCCTACACTTGGTATCAACGCGAGGCGCAAGTTCTTCCACGCGTTGGCAGTTGTTATGTTTCTACCTGGTGTGGCTGTTGACGTCAGTAACCTTCTACCATCCATACTATCAGTAGTCTCACGAGTATCTCTAGCCCGCATTCACTCACTTGTCCTTCAGTGCAGCATTTGCGCTCTTTATCTTTGCAGAGTACGTTAGATACTTCGCCATTTATCCTTTTGGTGCGGCTGTGCACCTGTTCATGAACGAGTTCCTTGAGCAAAAGGACAGTGGAACTGCCATCCTCAGTCACTTTTATCTGCTCATTGGTTGCGCGGGCCCATTGTGGCTTGAAGAGTACGTCTTTAACATAGATAAAGTCCCAAGCAGGATCTAAATCATTGTAGCCCATCGCAGTTGCTGCAATATACCGGTATCCTCGCTTTGGGTATTGGCGATGCTCTGGTTAGTTTCCTTTCTGTCGGTGCGGATTTTGAAAATTATCAATTGAATTGGACGTTTCTGTCAGGCATCTATTATTGGGAAACGTGTTGGTCGGCACCGTTGGTCTTCATCGTCCTCTAAAACCCTAGAAGGTAGTGCTGCATTTGTGATGTCCCTCGTGGGTTGCGCGTGGCTTTTGAGACTTTGCGGACTTACGGAAGAATTTTCGGTGAGTTCGTCCGCTTCTGGTGCCCCTAATCTAACACAACCCTGAAACCGCAGACATTGCGCTATTCTATCGTGGTCTCTCTCTCATGTGCACTCGAGGCCCTGTCAGACCAGAATGACAACTTGACTCTTCCGTTGTATATGTGGAGTTTACTCGTAGCTGTCGATGTGTAGTGGGGTTGCCATACTAGAATTTTTTTTTTGATCGCGGACATAGCATGGCGCGCTGACGGAAGACACTTGTGCTCCATCCTAATTTTCATTAATGTTTCCACTAAATTCGCAAGAAAAAGAATGTAAACAAAAATGGAAGGCCTGAATTTTGACCTGGTTCCTGACGACAAATGAGGCACGGGGTTGTGTTGGTGGGGCGCTTAGTAAGCATGCCAATAACCCTTCTTCGATGAAGGCGACCGACTTCACAAAGATTCCTCTCTACTCTACCATCACCACCGACGGCACTGGATATTCTGTCCTCAACCTCCCTACTGGTGCTGTAGTTTGTTGATATTATTAATTGCTCCATTTGAATTGTGGTTAACTTCCCATTTCAGCATCCTCCGGGTAATGACCACAGCTCCAATCAGTGATCGTCGCGTAGCTGTACCTAGTAATTGTTTCACGACTACTGAAAGGATACACTGCATTCGTACTGCATAAACACTTCGGACTACTACCATGCAGTCCTCGACAATAACAGATGCAGCTCTAGATTCGCTTCCATCATCTCTATCTCTCGCAAAGCCTTTTTCTTTGCCACCAACGTTTCAAATGCCCATTCCACGTTTGCCCAAGGTGAGGCAGCGAAGTCCTCGACTGCCGCGACCAGCAACTGCCTCTATGGCAGAGGGCACTCAATCATACCTACCCCCTGCGCCCCAGGTGGCATGTTTACATGATAGTCACATCCCCAGGAGCCTGGATCCTCGTGTAAGTCTCTCTTTTGGATACACGTAGGGTCACTGCACCACTATGACAGTTTTCTTCAAAGGATGTAGATGATACTCGAGACACCGATGCTTTATCCATGAAGTCATTCGAAGTACGCCCTGCAGACTTGGGTGTGTGCCTTCCCGTTCTGATCAGCGTAAATTCTGAGTGTCCTCTTTACCCTGTTGGCTCATTCAGCTCCATCTGGTAGTCCTTATGAAGCCACGGCAAGTACTCCTTGTGCTACCCGACCCGACATCGATGCAGCCGAGCACGATTGGGCTACCTTCATGACTGCGTACGCATTGGGTCAGTGGCACCCTCATCAAACACCTCGACATCCGCGTTCAATGATGTCTACTCTTATCATGCGAGAGAGTTCTCCGCGAGACAATTTTGCGTTGAGACATGATCCTGCACCGATCATCATCGAATCACGGCAGCCTTCGCCTCCTGTATCGCCTACTTACCACACTTTTATTTCTTCCTCGGTTTCCAATTGCAGTAGCAATGAGACAGAGTTCAAGCCCGCTGCAGAGAAAGCGGTGATGGTCTCTGATTTTCCCTCATTCATCTATCCTGACCAACTATTGTCAAAGATTACACCAAAGTCATCGTCGCTTAGTGGCCGCAGGTTCCGCAAATCATTCACAGATCTGCGACACGCAACAGGAGGGCAGCCAATGCATCTCCCTTTAGATGGGACACAAAGTTTTAGCATTAGTCCGGAGGCAACTGCTGCGGCTGCAACCATGCGATGGGCAGCAGCACGCGTTAATTTGTCTCCTCTTGCGTTGCCCTCTCCTGAGCATGAGCTAACAGATCCAATGCGAGGTGTACATGCAGCGATACCAGGATCACATCCGGCTACCAGTAGTCCCCCTGCCCATCCGACAACGCCCGGCATGTCTCGCATCCGCGCAGGCAGCTTCTGGGAGGGCACACAAGATGTGGAAGATGAATCAACGGTGCCTACCCTACCCGGATCATTACCCAGAACACCCCTGCGCAACATAGCTGAGGGAGAGTTATATGTGTCTCTTCCCCCGCCAGCATCTGTTCCGTTGCAGCGTAATTATTCACCTGAGCCGACAGAGGAAGGCGATTACTTCACCGCAGTCAGTACATCCGCTTCAGAGCCATTTCCCATGACCCCCGACCCCGCTCAACTTTGGCAGGAGTACGTAACCCACAGACGTGAGTCTGGGCCTATGGAACTCAACGTTTGTACGGCACCACCCCTTCCACGAAGGATTTGTTTAACAAGGCAAACATCTTCGCCCCTACCCGACAGTAACGGCAGAGATCGTGGCTTACCAGGCGGAAGATCAGTATGCGACTCCGTCAATAGCTTTCGTGCTGGTCGGTCTGCGAAGGAGGAGCGGATGTTCCTAGATCTTGGCTATTTAGCGCCACCGAACCCTCCGGACGAGCTCGAGCGAAGGCGCGCTCTATACAAGTATATCCGTTCTTCACATTTGAAGGTCATCTCAGAGAGCGTGTAAAATAGGTTTAACCTCTGGAACACCGGCCCCGACATCAACTTTGATCGCATTGCACATCTGGTCAAACTTGTGTTCAACACGAAATGCGTTTACATATCCCTCATTGATGGCACAGAGCAGTGAGTATTAGTTGGAGTTCAACGCAAATTTGTTGGTAATCACCACTACAGATGGTTCAAATCACAGTGTATGGTGCTTAATTCCTGATATTCCCGTATATCTCCAATCTTTTGCAGGTGGGATGACTCTAAAGCGCAGTGCAAGATTGACGTCCTTCTGTGCACACGCTATATTGCAAAGGTGTGGATATTTTTTCCCTGAGAACTTCAGTCTTACTGTCTGCAGGGGTGATGAACCAACTGTTATCCTGGACACGAAGTTAGATTGGCGGTTTGCTAAGAATGTTAGTGCACCTTGATGTGAAAGTTCATCTGACGAATATACTGAATGGTATAGCCTCTGGTTACCGGATTTCCAAACGTTCGCTTTTATGCTGCGGCTCCTTTGAGAACCTCCGATGGATTCAACATTGGCAGGTAACACGAGTCGCTATCTATGCGACATGCTCAGTTGACATACCGCCTACCTCAGTCTTTCTTTGATCGACGATTCACCCCGGCAGGATTTCGCCCCGCGTCAACGACACACTCTGAAGGAATTTGCGGTACTTGGGTTATAATTTAATCCTCCTCATTCTGTTAACACAAGCTCTAGGCTGTTGTGATGCGTGAGATGGAATTGTGGCGTGATAAAGTGAGCTAGGTTAGCTGTTATACTTTCCCCCATGAACTTACCAACTCAGATCCAACTGCGCATACGAGACAAAATCCAGACCTCCGTGAGCATTGTCCGCCTCAGTACCATCCGCTGTACGTTGACTCACTGCATCTCAGATGGAGCAATTTAGTCGAGAGTGCCTTGAGATCGACCAGAATGATGCAAATATGGATGACGACCCTTACGCTAACGCATCCATGGACAGAGTGTATGATCGTGCAGCCAGACTTGTGAAGCGCACTCTAGATGTCGAGGAGGTGGTGGTAATGGATGTTTCACACTGCGAAGTACTGGAGACTCTCAGTGCCGAAGCAACGATATCTGTTGTCATGCATCGCGGGGATCCACAACCCCGATCAACATCTCGCACACTGACGGCTGATGAATACCACAAGCTAAACGTGTTCTTTGATCAATACCCTGACGGCAAAATATCTGAAGGCATTTTACCAGTCTGCTTCCGTCCCTTCATCCCAACGCACATACAGTATGCACTCAGTATGTCTCTTCTATCTTGACGTTCTTCTATTCCACTGATGATATTTGCTAAGCTGTTCCTGTTTTCAATATCGACAAAAGGCCGTTTGCCTTGATTTGTGCTTACAATGCCACTGATTCATCGCGGCGATTTGTAAGGATTCGGCTAGTTCAGTGAGACACCTCCATCTTAACTTTATTTTCAGCTCGAGGGACATGAACTCTCTTATCTTCGTGCTATAGGTTGGTTCCCCGACTTTCGTCTAAATAATTACTAAGAGAGAATAGGTGTCATCATTCTCTCTGCTGTCCTCAAGAGGAGGATGATGCTAGCCGACCAAGCAAAGAGTTTATTTATATCCAAGTTTGGTGCATGCTTCGCTTTCATGGGTAACATGACTAATTTCTCTCAAAAAAAGCATATCTCACGAGCTCCGTACTCCTTTGCATGGGGTAAGGATTGACGTCTTTGTCGGGATGTCCTCCTCCTAATGGCTTCGTGTAGATTCTCGCTGCGGCTGAATTACTTTCCGATACATCGTTAAGCCATAGCCAGACTTCATTCCTGCACACCGTCCAGGCGTGCGGGACATCACTCGTTGAAACGGTGAACCACGTTCTCGACTTTACGAAACTTAGCGGCAATATGAAATCAGGTGGCGTGGACAATGTCATTACGAGAAGCATGTGAGCTGGGATGGCTTTATGCATGTTGTTGCTTATGGTTGACACAGTGTGGATCTCGAGCAACTTGTTGAAGAGGCAATTGACGGATCGTGGATTGGATATTGTGCTCGTACATCTTCCATCCGCGAGTCGGAAATCGGGAGTGTTTATGCTCCAGCAATGGAACAGCGATCCTCGAGTGTCATGGCTGCTCCAGCCTCTTCGAAGCATGTGGAGATTATTGTCGATATCGACCGACGAGAAGGCGTAAGTTCTTCAAGCCATTCCTTCCTGTTGACCGCTGACTGTCGTATAGGGATGGATTCTGAAGTGCGATAAAGGTGGTATTCGAAGGGTGTTGATGAATCTTTTTGGAAACAGCCTGAAGTTCACGACCGTAAGTATGACTCAATGCTTCTTGCGAGTGGTTCCTAATGACTGCGCAGGATGGTTACGTTCACGTATCTTTACGCCAAGTATCTGCGCCAAATGAAGAGCCTAGCATGGTGGAGTTATGTGTCAGTGATACGGGAAAGGTATTGGACTGGGTGCGGTAGTTCGAACGTTCAAGGCTGACACTTGGTACAGGGAATCAGCCAAAATTTTCTGAAGGTAACTGGTTCGCCAGACCAGTGGTCATCGTTTACTAACAAAGAATTCAGAATCACTTGTTCCATCCCTTTTCTCAAGAGAACCCTCTACAAGCTGGGACAGGTTTAGGCCTTGCGATTGTCAACAGCATCGTCCAGTCTCCGAGCGTGGGCGGAAAAGTGGAAGTATCCAGCGAAGAAAACGTTGGTACTGATATCAAGATCACCTTCCAAGCAGAATCTTTGGAAGATGGCGCAAGTGCTCTTCAAACTCCTTTCATGTTTGATAGTGCTATCCCCACCGTCACCTTCCTCGGGTTCAAGCAGAAGAGCAAAGGTGTTCAGATGCTCAGTGATGTACTTCGCAAGTACCTTCAGGACTGGTGGGGATTCAGAGTGCAGACTGACGGAGGTGAGTTGAGCGACATCGTGATTATAAACGAAGACTCGTCACCTGTTGTTACCGCTCTTGAGAAAATGGACTACCGTCGGTCGTTCATCATCTTGTCTTCAAGTAGAGGTAGTCCGAGGGCCATGGGGATTTGCAGTTCTTACGAGAGCCTTGGTGGTTTCTGTCGCATTGTTCACAAACCAGGAGGGCCTTTCCGATTGCGCGCTGCGCTGAAACAGCTACTTCGAGCCAGGCAAAGACGTCAACAACGTCTACCAAGCTTTGCCAGCTCAGTGACCGGGATCTCAGATGATAGCATCTCTCTGCACTCCTGCATACTTACAGACGACTTAACGAATCCAGACCGGCATCGCCGAACGAGCATTGATTGGGGTTCACACAGTCGCTCAGCTCTCGCATTTCCTAACTCCCCACCTGAAATGCCTGCATCGCCGGATGTCGAGGAAGCGTCATCTTCTCCGGAGAACACTGAGTCTGACAGCACATCCTCGAGCATGTCGAGTTCAACAGTAACCATCGGTACGGATGGAATACTCTTGGAGTCGTCAATCCGGACACTGGATTTGAATCGCCCTCGTCCGAAAATTTTGGTGGTTGAAGACAACAACATTTTGCGAAGCTTACTGTGCGTGAATCAAGCCAGCTATGTTTTCAGTGACTCATGTGCTCGTCTCCCAGTATTAAGTGGTTGATGAAGAAGGTAATGTCACCTATCTGCTAGCTCAATCAACTTATTCATTTTCACAAGGGATTTGAATATCGCGAGGCAGTCGATGGTCGACAAGGAGTCGAAACATTTGAATCTGAAGGACCCTTTGAGTGGGACTATTTTTTACATGGTTACAACTAGCTCATTACTCGAATTTAGCGTCGTTCTTCTTGATCTGTCCATGCCTATCCTCGATGGTGTGCTTAGTACCTGACTCGTTCAAAGACTGTTCTCACATTTTTCATAGGGCTAGGTGCCACCGTCGAGATTCGCCAGCTTGAAAAAGCTCGAGAAAGTCGGCAGCCGAGCGTCATCCTAGCTTTAACTGGGATGTCATCCCTCGAAGACAAACGCAGGGCGTTCGAGGCTGGCATGAGCGGATAGTAAGCATGGTTGAATTTCCAAACCTCCCACTAATTAACATCACCTTCGCACCAGCCTTGTCAAGCCCGTAGCATTCAAAACGCTCGAAGAGATGTTCCGCAAGATAGGGCTCTCGTGACCGCCCATGCAAATCTGTCTGCCCGTCTACAGACTTGCTTCACGTATATACCTTACACCGCCTAAAGGCATAATCACACGATCGCATGATATCCACGTTCCTCTGATGACATCGACAATTGTTTTCGTTCAGCTCTTTTACACAGCACGCCCCGACTTCACATTCTTCCACTTACTGATTGCATGTTTCATTTTTCTTGAATCGGTTATTATCTAGACCATGTATTATATCAAGCCTGGCAGTGTGTTACGATTGAATGCGGTGCATTTAACCCTGTTTTGTATAAATCATGGAGATCAGCGTCGACGATGGTGGGTTGCACATATCCCATGCGTTTTATGCCTCGGTATCTGTCAAACATGTTTAATCATGTGATGCTCAAAGTATGGTGAGGAAGGAGACTTTTCTGGTAGTGTTTCTGATAGCGACCCCCTGACCTAGACGGATGATGCTCTCATATTCTGCGGCATGCAATGGCTATTCTTATGGAACAACCACAACAAGTCGAAGATATGCAAGCAACCAATGAGTTGAACACGCCAATGTGTCCTGCTGCAAATTCTTGTGTGAAGGTATCAAAAGATCCTACCACTACCATTTGCTGTCTTCCGACACTATATCACATCATTGCAAACGCAAAATGAAGAGTGGAAAGCAAGAAATCACTGGTTGACGTCCTTCACAAGTCAGTGAAATGAAGCCCATCAAAGTCAACGGATAACCCTTTGGCATGCTAAATCAATGGAAGAAGTTTCGGTTTTGAGGGCAGCTTGCACCCAAGTTGACCAGTTATATAGACGTTTCATGATGTGGTGGACCCTAGTTTTCCTGCTAATTGAGTTGGAAAAGATATTGCAACGGCAGAGGCAATTCACCTGCGGATGATGGATGCCGACAATATGATTACTATAGAGAGACTCAGATGACGCGACGTTCGCAGCGTGTTTCAGAATGGACGCCCTGGCAGTTTATGTCGCAGTATGGCATAGCGCATTTTTTGCATTTGTATGCGCCCTTGTACCCGCACACGGAGCATAAAAGACGTGGGGGCAATTGAGGGGGAGGAGCAGCAGCTGTTAAATATGTTGGAACGTGACAAGGAAGACTTGCTATACGCTGGAGATGTTTTGGTATGTAGGAAGAGTCTGGGCAAGGAGATGAGCTTACCGATTCCTCGATTAGGGTAGCAAGATTCTTGCGATATAGGAGAGCGGTGCGAACTTTCATGGACGACTTTTTCTTCTTCGCATTAGGGTCATTCAAGTGACGTTTATCTGAAACGATCTGGCGGACGCGGTTCTTTCCGCTGATGGCGCCCTCGTCATTACCGTCGAAGGTGATTGAAGGCTCTGTATAATTTGAACGCTGTGGAATGAATGTTCAGGTCTGACGATGACACGTGAATATGAGCTGTCACCTCAAGCTCTTCTAGGTGGCGTTTAGTCCGTTTTATGATTATATCTGAAGGAAGTGTCTGCTTCGTGGCATTGACGTGTCTCGGAGCTTGAGTGGTATGAAATCTGAATGAACCTCAAAAAGACAGCAAAGGCATACCTTGCTCTCTTGCTCTCTTTGGTGCCATGAAAGTCGGTTGCTGACAAGCAATGCCCGCAAACACTGCGTAACGCTTATATAATCTGATTAGCCACGATACACTGCCAGCGAAACATGTATGGTGTAGTAGAACACATCAACTAAACGGTAAGTACACTACTACATATATAGCAAGCTCGTTTGCAGAATGAGTGAATTGTTTGCAAGTATTAGAGAGTTCTTCGGAAATACTTGCAAACTGAGAAAGCCTCCCCGCTAAGACCCTGGCTGGATGTCGAGGAAATGGATTGTCTGAAAGTATGTCATTTTCCTACTGACAGGGACTAGCTATAGCAACTGGGATAAGCGGTCTCCCTATATCAATTGTGTTGATGTATCATTCTAGAACCGAGAATGTTAGAATGGGAACACTGTCGCGCTGCTGTCTATTTACATCCTCTTTTGGTGGTAACACTTCTGTGCCTCGTCTTGCTCTAGTTCATGCGAGTCGACTGGAACCATAATCCTGATGCCACGACGCATCAGAGAACTCGTGAGTCTCCCCTCGGCGAGAATCCGCAGAGTCTTATTTTAGTTCGGACAGTGTAAAAGAAGCAGAGCACGCTGAATTGAACGGACCAGAGAACACGCCTGATTATCTCGCAATGTTGACTCACCCTGGAGTACCTCCTCCGAATTGCCTAGATCTGAAACCAAATTGCATTTGCGCCGTTCAACGGAACATATCAGACTTCTCTATACACGTGAAAGCCGCTACATCCCACGCATTAACTTCTTGAGACACACCGTTCGTTGTGGACAGTAAGCCGAAAGCAATTTCCGCTGCGTATGCAACCACATTCAATGGTTGCCAAGGACTCACGCTGGCGCGCACAGCACTTGACATGCGGACCGATCCATTTGCTTACGGCCAATTATATACGGCGTTGTCCAGGGTGAGGACGCAATATCTGCAGCTCACCAGTCCTGATGATGTTAAGCACACCAGTGCTATCGTGGGAATGAAATTCAATGCAAGCACGCCATAGTCCTTTTATGGAAAGTATATTCGTCAATATTCATAAAAATGATGAATTCGGGACCGAATAAGGAAAATATGGAGGCACGTGATGAAAGTGGTCTCATAGATCACCTTTGAAGCCATGTTAAGTATAAGTCATCTGCCGATCGTTAGTCACTCACTACCTTTCTCTCTCTGACCATGGATTCGACCAATCCTAAAATGTTCTCACAAGACATTCCAACACCAGAACCAGAAACACCTTTTAGGCCGCGCCAGCCTTACCGGTTCTCGACCCTCTGCGCTACAGTCGAGAATCCTTCTCAAAAGGATCAATATGGTTCTAGCTCTGTACCAATATACCAAACTGCCACCTTCAAGGGTGTTAATGGACAGTATGATTACACTCGCAGTGGAAATCCAACACGCAGTCATCTAGGTTGGTGTCATCTCATTCTATGCTCGCTAATAGCCTTATTGTAGTCTCTAGAACATCATCTTGCCAAGATATCATCTGCTACTCATGCTTTTGTTGTATCTTCTGGCATGGCCGCCCTCGACACGATCTTGCGTATGCTCAAGCCTGGTGATGAAGTCATCGCGGGAGATGACCTTTACGGCGGTACTAACCGCATCCTTGCTTATCTCAAGACACACGGCGGCGTCACCGTACATCATGTAGACACCACCAAACCTGACACTCTTCTTCCTTACATCAATCCTGAAAAGACCGCTATGGTTCTCCTCGAGAGTCCAACTAACCCTCTGCTCAAAATAGTCGATCTTGCCCGCATAGCTGCTGATATCAAGGAACGCGCCCCCAATGCCGTCATCGTCGTCGATAACACCATGATGAGTCCTTACTTGCAACGCCCCCTCGAGCATGGTGCAGATATTGTGTACGACAGCGCTACCAAATATCTCAGTGGGCATCATGACCTTATGGCCGGTGTAATTACCTGCAACAGGGATGACCTTGCTAAGGTATGCGATTCGTCTTTTGCTTACTCCCCTTTTCTCATACCCGAATCAGCAAATGGGATTCGTTATCAATGCTGCTGGCAATGCACTCACTCCGTTCGACTGTTTCCTCCTTCTGCGAGGATCAAAGACCCTTGCCATTCGCATGGATCGTCAGCAAGCTACTTCCATGCTCGTCGCTCAGATGCTCGACCGCCTTGGTTTCAAGGTCCACTACCCCGGTCTCGCAGAGCACCCTAACCGTGATGTACACGAGCGAATTGCAGACGGATATGGTGCCGTCCTCAGCTTCACTACTGGCGATAAGGCTTTAAGTGAGCGCATCGTCGGCGCGACACGTCTATGGGGGATTAGCGTCAGTTTTGGTTGTGTCAACTCGTTAATCAGCATGCCATGCGTCATGTCGTATGTTATGTCTGTCTTATTTTTCTCGATCGTTTTATTGATGTTTCCTTAGACATGCGTCTATTGATCCTGCTACCCGTGCTGCGCGGGGCCTGCCAGAAGACCTGATCCGACTTTGCGTTGGTATCGAAGACCCAGCTGACCTTCTAGACGACCTCGAACGTGCTCTTCTGGAGGCTGGCGCAATCACCCTCACCGCAGGCGGGGACTCGCACCAATGCTATGTTCGGACGATCCCTTCAGAGGGCACTGCGATCTCCCGTGCCGTCCAGAAACTTGCGTTCAACGGGTCTGCAGAATACACGACAGAGCACAATGATGACAGGGAGTGGTTCGTCAGCGCACCCGGAAAAGTAATTCTCTTCGGTGAACATGCTGTCGTGCACGGTGTCGTGAGTTTCCTCTTTTATTATCTACTCTGCGCATTAACAGGTCCTTCCAGACAGCAGTGGCTGCAAGCGTGGATCTCCGGTGCTATGGGGTTACGACACCTCGTCATGATGGTAAAGTCAGCGTGCACTTCATCGATATTGATAGCTTCACGCAAGAGTGGAAAGTGGATGACCTCCCTTGGGATGCAGTCACTCCCGTGCGGGTCGGTGATTTCCACCCTGATACTCTGGACCACAAGCTTGTTGATGCAATTACTACTCGTGCATTGTCTCCCGAGGTTCTTGCAAAGCCGAGTGCACGGCAGGCGTGTATTGCGTTCCTATACATGTACATGATCATGGCGCATGGCGGGAAAAGGTGAGCCCTCCGCTAGATAGACTTTATCCGATGGTTTATCAAAAGTCGTCAGACCATCCTTTGACTTCTCCGCTCGCGCCACACTTCCTGTCGGCGCAGGCCTCGGATCCTCCGCATCATTCTCTGCCTGCGCAGCCACTGCTCTCTTATTGTTGTACTCCCGTATCCAACTCCCAGCACAGCCCGCTCCTACCACTGATGGTCACGTCCACGTCTCTCACGAGGGTCGGCGTGCAATACCGCCAGCACTTGCTGAGGAAGTCAACCGATGGGCATTCGTGAGCGAGAAAATCTTGCACGGTAATCCCAGTGGCGTAGATAACTCTGTTTCGGTTTTTGGTGGCGCACTTTCGTATACCAGACCAGGATTCGGCAGAAAGGCGGGCATGATTCCCATTCAGGGGTATGTTTAGTACCGCCGACGTTTGTTGGTGGATTGCTGATTTGCTTGGCAGTTTTAAGTCTCTCAGATTCCTCTTGACGGACTCGAGGGTACCAAGGAACACAAAGCAGCTTGTGGCTGGTGTGGCTGCGATGAAGGAGCAAGAGCCCGAGTTTGTGAATGGGCTGCTTAGTGCAATACAACACATCAGCGACGAGGCGCAGCGTGCGCTTGCTGATCCCCAATTATCACGGCAAACACTACTGTCAGCTCTATCAGTACGTTCCCCTTCTTTGTCTGTTTCTGGAATACTGAGGAAATATACTCTTCAGGCTCTCATCGATGAGAACCATGGCTACCTCGTGAAACTTGGGGTATCACATCCATCTCTCGAAGCCATCCGCTCCAAGACTGCCTCGCCTCAGTATGCACTCAGTACAAAACTCACTGGTGCAGGGAGGTGGAGGTTGTGCAGTAACTCTCGTCCCTGATGGTAAGTACCCTCTACACATGTTTGATCTTCACTCACTTACTCGCTCTCAAGACCTGTCGGAATCCAGTCTTCGTGAACTGATGGCATCATTGTCCGGGGATAGCTTCGTGCCCTACCTGACGTCAGTCGGCGGAAGCGGTCTCGGCATCCTCTCACCGTACAACCAGCCTCAACTGCTGGCGACGCCCCCCGAATCGCCTTGTGAGAGCGAGGCCCGTGCTGGAGCTGTTGAATCATTGCGCGATACTTTTGCTGGTAAGGCGACAGCAGATCTCACAGCGTGGGCAGATAATCTGGGACGATGGCTTTTTGTTTGAACGTGAATCGAGGTATGCTGTGATTATAAGTATGATGAGTGTATGTATAGAACGTTCTTGTATGATAGATGCTGTAGCAATGGTTTCAATGACGTAGGTGCGTAAAGACGTGCATCGATGTAGGCCGCACTCATTCACAAGAGTAGAGCATAAGATAGTATTGTTTATGACAGACGGATTTTGATTAACCAATGCACTGCGTTCACTTTCTCTCTGAACCTCCGTAGACTGAGATGCGGTCATCCCTATCCAAGTATTGTCTACTCTTCGACAGATCACCCATCTAGAACGGCCGGCGGGAACGGCAGAATGGTAGGGGTACGCCCTACATCATTGCATCTAGGGATTTGAGTCGGAGTCGCGACACAGGGTCGATAGTAATGTCGTGAAGTCTCACTCAACGGACAAAAATGGATACAAAAAAAAGTATTATCCACTTCTGCTGAATCCAAAGGTAAAAACTGTTGTTCATCGAGCAGAGATTTGCCAACGTGAATCATTACAACTGACATGGACAAAGCAGACAGGCAGTTCACTCCGTCATCGAACTATCAAGGGCCTATATAGCGCACTGAAAATATCTGAAAGGTGAATTTTTATCAAATATTACGCGTTCGCTGATGGCTGTCAACAGCGGACTGGTGCCAGTACTCGGATAGTAAACTTACACGGGAGGTGCAAATCTCTGAGGCAGATGGGGAGAAAAATCAGGGCGGACTGGTCAGATGCATTAGGCGCCAGTCGGATTCGTGCACGGATGTGGTGTAGTAGTATGGCAGTGAAGATCGCAGCGCGAGATGGAGACGGGACAGAGCAAACAAGAGTCCTGTATGAGCGCCTACATGAGTTGAGAAATCCAATGACTACTCACCACACAAGCCAACACATTGATGTAGCGAAAAGAGCACAATATATTATGACAGAACGCGCTGCTGCCGCCCCCAACATGGACGATGCAAGTCCACACGGAGAAAGTGCGGGTAGTTGCATTCTTCAAAAACGGTCAACGGGTCATCACTGCTTCGTATGATCAAACCTTGCGAACGTGGAGAAAGCAGCGTAACGTTGATCATAGGAAGAGGGCATTCGGAAAACGGTGCCATATCACCAGACGATAGGCGAAACATTACGCGAGAGGTAGATCGGGACGAAAGTAAGTTTTTTATAATCTGCTATTTATATCTAAGTTAGGTTTCCCCTGAGGCCGCTGAGCGTGATGGTTGCAACTTTGAGATGGCATGTCTGAACAATCTGCTGTTCTGACTGTGCACCTGATTGATCTGATTTTAGATAAGACTAAGACAAAATCTGATGCATCTCAAAGCTTACACTGATTTGTAGAGCAGCGCTTCCGAGTCGCTTCCGAGTCACACTAGTGCAGCATCCAAGGCACGTACCCGACCCGCAACTTAGTATAATGCACCTATCACCTTCCTCCCCGTCTGCCTGATCACGATCTGCACCCTCTGTACAAACGTCTGATCACAGAAAGTAGAGACCTTAAGTACACGTATTGTGTCACAATCAATTGAACGCATAATGGCTGGCCTCATCCCACAGGACAGGAACGAGCGGGTAAGAGGGTAGCCAGAGGACACATCATCTCTGAGGTAGGTTACAGAAGTATCATTGGTGGGTCTCAGACCGACTCTTCACTGTCGCATATCTCGTACACTGCCATGGCAGTGTGGTCCAGGGCCAGCAAAGAACGTGGGGAGAATGTAATTCCCGCTACAGTGTTTATGGTGGGAGGTTAGTGTCGCGTGAAAATGGAGAACAAGAGATACGGGAGGGACAAGTGCAAGTGGAGAAGCTACAGTGGATGACGAAGACGCAGCCATGACATAGAACGCCTCAGAAACAGAAGGCAAAGGTAGAGCGCGAGAAAATATAAACATATCGAGAATCTCCAGCCCCACGGGATAAATTGCAAGCGGGTTGACGGAGGGACATACGGTACTGCGGGTCCAGTAATTCTGGTACGCATATTGCAATGCCTCTCCTTCCACCTATCAATTTCCCGCGCTGGCTCGACGAGAACCAGCACCTGCTCAAACCTCCTGTGAACAACTTCTGCCTATACCGGCAGAAAGACTTTACTGTGATGGCTGTGGGTGGTCCCAATGAGAGAAATGATTATCATGTGAACGAGACCGAAGTGCGTCTCTGCGATCGCTAAGATAAGAAATTGTACCGATTTCATTCTAGGAATGGTTCTATCAGTACAAGGGTGGAATGCTGCTTAAAGTGGTAGACGGGGTTGAGTTCAAGGATATCAGGATCGAGGAGGGAGAGATGTTTTTACTGCCAGGTACGTCGAGGACTCTATCATCGTTGGATGAACCGATCTTATCATAATTACGTTAGCCAACACACCCCACAATCCCGTCCGCTTCGCCGATACAATTGGAATTGTTATCGAAGCCGCTCGTCCGGATGAATCTCATGGTGCGTACAGATTATTACTGCGCCAGACAATGTATCTTGACACTTACCCGCACTCAGACTCCCTGCAGTGGTATTGTCGTGATCCTTCCCATACCAAGCCAACTATTATTCACAAAGAGACCTTCCACGTTACTGACCTTGGGACGCAACTGAAGCCTGTTATCCAGCGCTGGATGTCGACCGAAGAATTGAGAAAGTGCAAGGAATGCGGGAACGTTGCTCCTGCCAAGTAATAGTACCCCCGCGTGAACTGTTTCGCGTTCTGGTGCTAGTATACATGTGAATATGATAATGGAAAAACTATGCAAACCATAACATATTTCTCTAGAAACATATACGATAACTGGCATATCGGCCACTGGTTTCACTAGGACGAGTGATTTTGACGACTTGGCCTCTCCGAAGTCCATAGTATCGTGCCACGGGATCAGCCAGCTGTATTCGAGGAAGCTGGGTCTCCTTCAGCCGACTAGGTGGATCGCAATGTGAGAACACGTAACATCATTTTGAGAATAGAACGCACTATTTTTCAAGAAGTTGTTTTTTCTGCTCGACAGTCAACACCTCATGCCGCGGGACCAATGTGTGATGCGTGATATTGACGAGGAGGTCGGCTTCCGAGAACTCCTCGAGCCGATATTGTTGGGACATCGCCGCAATAACCTGCAAATCAAGCGTAAGATTGCTACCGCAAGAACACAGATTCAAACTCGCACTTTTCGCGCAGATGGAGTCATGTTGCCAGGAAAGATAATGATCCCCCGCATAATCGACTTCTCCTCGAGAATACCCAGAAGCCTATGTGTTCACCCTACATCAGACGAACGGGTACAAGGGGCGTACATAGACGAACTTCCGCATTGTTTTAACGCCAACGCTTTTCTCATCTGAAAAGAATATGAAAATCTGGTCTGTTGGATTTTCTCGAGAGTTCGTGAAGAAATTAAGCTGGTTTCGACTGGAAATGCATGTCAAGTCATTTGCAAGTGCACGTTGCTGCATAAATAACCACAACTGACTCGACGCTGCCTCCACTGTTCGCATAGTGCGACCTGAATGTAGTCAGGTCCATGTTGATCTCATCGTCCGAGACTTGGTACCCCTTCGTCATTGGCTCGTTAAAAATGCACCAATACACCAAGGAACATGATTTCGCACCCTATCTTTTACAAGTTCATGTATTGTCCGATTGACCTTCCATAGTTTCGCAGTTTCGTCCTCAGACATCCTTCAGCTTGAGGGGAGTAGCCGGCAAAAGTAGTATTGAAACTCAGACGCCCAAAGAGATTCTTGACGAACCTCTCAATGCCGCCTCCACCAACGACCTCTAATGGCAATGCAGCAGCACCTCCACCAGCGACGATTCCGCTCTCAAATGCGTTGATGGTAAGCCCAGAATATGGCTCTGTGTGCCTGCGCTGACAGGCCTGTTCCAGACAAAGTTGAAGCCCGCGAAAATCTTCAAGGGAGCAGTTGAGTCAACACCGCCGTCAACGCCTGGTGCTAGACCACATCAAGGGCCACGACATATCACTGCTATCACTTTCGATGACCGGGGAGATCAGGTGTTGACTGCAGCTGAAGATGAGACTTTTCGGTTGTACAGCTGCAAGACGGGCAAGCAAGTTCTTGACACTCTATCTCCTTCTGACCACTAATTTTTGACATTGCGCTCAGACATCTCAAAACACTGTACTCTAAGAAATATGGGGTCGACCTTCCTCGTTTCACACATAGGCATACTACCGTCGTACACGCTTCGACGAAGGAAGACGATACAATTCGGTATCATTCACTCCATGACAATAAATACTTGCAGTATTTCAAGGGGCACAGCGGACGCGTCGTCTCCTTAGAAGTCTCGCCCATCGACGATGGCTTCATGTCCGGCTCAGTAGACAAAACGGTTCGACTATGGGACCTCCGAGCCCCGACATGTCGCGGACTCCTGAACTTACCCGCATCGCCCATCGTCGCGTATGATTCCAGCGGGTTGGTGTTCGCAGTGGGCGTGAATCACTATTCACGGATACTCCTGTATGACCAAGCAAACTACGACAAAGACCCGTTCTTGACCATAACGCTAGAAGATCCCACTCTCACCCTAGTCAGCTACCCACCTCGCCCGATATACATGACGTCTCTCTCATTCTCGTCAAACGCGAAATACATCCTTGTCGGTTGTTCTGGTGATGCACATTACATCTTGGACGCGTTTGAAGGCCATCTATTGGCCAAGTTGGAGGGCCACGTTGGGTTGGAGCGGCGACGCATCGATGCCCCGCAGACTATCGACCCCTCCAAGGGCAACAGCGGCGAGGAGGTATCTTGGACGCCGGATAGCAAGTATGTTGTCAGCGGCAGTTTGAACGGGAAAATAATCATATGGGACGTTCAAAATTTGCCTGTGCGGTCAGGCATCGTTGATCTCAAGGCACATCCAACGCGGCTTCAGCCACTTACTACTCTTGATGGCCATCCCGGTCCGTCTAGATGTGTGAGGTTCAATCCTCGGTTAGCCATGATTGTATCTGCAGGGGCGGAATTGGTAAATATATCGGTCTTTCATCGTCTACGTATCTTGTGCTAACAGCACACTATACAGGCTTTTTGGCTACCAGACCAGTCGGCAGATAATGAGGAAATCGCAAAGGAACTTCTGCGAAAAAAGTAGAGATAAACTTATTGTTGCAGTATTGTGTATGTACGGTATAGGCTTTATTCTTCAGACTTCAAACAATTAATATTTATTGTGTGATGATAGCAATGAATGATGACTAGTGTACAACTTGAAGATAGTTCAATGCCTTTCCCCGAATTGAAGTAAGAATCGATCCCGCGATCCTGCTGGTAGAAAACAATACATACACTACACCCTGTGACCATTCGGTAGTTCACGGGGTAGAAACTAAGAAAGCTTGGCCAAAGAAATTTTGTTATTCTGCGTGTCCACAGAGAAATACGCATTCTTCAAAAACACATCTCCGACCTGCCGAAAGGAGTCAACGACCGATGATACAATTGAAAAGAGCCACATACCAGCCACTCCGTGTTCGTCCCGATAGTGCCAGGCTGAATACCTGCTGTGCAGTCACCAGTCGGATCATTGATGTCGACAGGCAGTACCGCCATGTCTCTGGGGTCAATAGCAAACGAGGCATTTCCAAAGGAAAGCGCAATGCTTGTATTCGACGTGCACGAAATCGTACACTGCTGGGTATCACATTTACCACCAAGCATGGCTATGACTGCCAGGGCGTCCGCCGGAGGGGCGATGATGAGAGTGGTACCAGTATCAAGAATGGCAGTGCGCCCGGTCACGCCTGTGTCTTGTCCATTGACCGTGATTGCGTCTATAGCGCCCTCCCAGAACCCTATCTTGCTGACATTGGGGATAGTAACAAGGGTGTTGGCGACGAATTTAGTGGAGTCCAATCCGCCGAATGTAACTTCACCGTCGTTGAGTTGATCAGCGAGACGTGAGATCTTGAAAGACGAAATGGCCGAGGAGATGAGACCATTGGACGCCAATGATTCGACAGGAGTGGGGACCTTTTCGTTGGAAAGTGTCTGCAAAAAGAATCCGTCAGTACGTGTCGGTGCCTGAACAACAACAAGTCGACTTACTGACTGGGCAAGACCCATTAGCCCATCAAAAGGCACGGTATCTGCAGAGAATTGCACACTCTCCTCGTTTGCTACGCCGAAGGTATGCTTGTTGAGTTGCAAACCCGCCATGTTGACATTATCCTGGCAAAGAACACCAGCGACGGATCCAGACCCGTAAGTCACGTTGAAATTTTGATTGGACTGAACGAAAGAGCTTGACGACTTAGAGCCAAGGAAAGTATGGTTCCCCTTGAACTGCTGTGAGCAATTTATAGCAGCTGCTATTGATAAGAAACTTACACAAGTACCCTGCTGAGATTGGCAAGTTTCACTACCGACCCAGAAGTCGGCGGAACCAGAGTCCATGAGAATATTGAAATTCTGGGGGGGAGTACCAATCTGGATGGTTGCAATATATCCGACATCATCCGCACTGCACAATAATCAATTGACCCATTTCAGTAAAAGAACAGCTAGACTCACTCAATAGCAAGACCAAGAGTGTTGTTAGAAGTAGGAATTTTGGCAGGAGTGAGACCACCAATTTCGGCAGCTTGGATGTCGAGAGCAGAAACTCCACCATCAGTGCCAGTGGAAGAAGCATTGCTTGCTGCCTGTGCAACATGTTTGGAATGACGCCAATAGCGTTTGCTAAAGTTGCTCCCTGTCGCCGTGGTAGCACTACTGGCTTTGACTGAACCGCTTTCAAGAAGGTACATCCTCTTGTGCATCTCTGCACGGAGTTCATGTTCAGCGGGTTCTGAACGTCCAGTCATACGCGCAAGGCGTTTATTGCCACGGTTGATGTGTTGTTGGAGAAGCTGTGTCATCAAAACATCAGGGGCTACACGGAGGTGATGATCATATTGGCTCACCAATTGTGGGTGGACATCGGTTCGTGGAACGTATAACCGTTTCAGCGGCATTGTAATCGTCCTTGGGTTAGCCCGGGCCAGCCTCTGGTGATGCGCCCTCGCAGGGATTGCATCAGATGGGGTACTGTGTAAAATGCATGCCAGTAACACAGCGAAAACGATTGACAGCTGCATCACGCGTGAAGAACTTCAAGTTCGCCAGTACAAAAGAGTGAGAAGAACTTGAAAACAGGAAGAGCAACGTCGACTAGCGACAACTGGAACAGTTAGCAAAGTAGTCGGAACAGAATTTAAGATCGACTGGCGAACTATCAGTGGAAGAATAAAGCCGGAGAAAGACAGTATGGCACCAGGCCAGAGTTCGTATAAGTGGAAGAAAAGATCCTGAGTGGACCGAAAAGTGGGGGACTCGAATGATTTATATGATTCTTATGTACATTGTACACTGATCAAGCTTTTTGTCTTTCTTTCTTGGAAGATCACGATTACATAAGCATATGTATAGCTTAGTATAGCCTAGTACAGCCCGGCAGTCACTTGTTGTTCCGACGGTAGCATCGCGTTGCCAGCAACAAGACAACAAGCAAACAACGAGTGTCCAAAAAAAAAACATGGCTCACAACCTCTGACAGCTCAGCTTTTTATTGGACCAAGAGCTTCATATAACCTCATATAGCTCGGAAGTAAAATAAGCACACATTCCCCTTATCTTCAGGGCCACATCTACATAAAACCCACTAGCAGCACTCAGCCTAGCGCTCAACACCGACCTGCAGCACAGCAACATGGAGTTCCGATCCAAACGTTCACAGGAGATATCACGTATGATGAAATATGCCATATCAGATGTATGTTCGAGCCTCAATATGAAGTACGCTCCTCGACAGCTTCAAATGATGCTGACGAGTCTATGTCACTTTTTACGCCAACGCGACATATCAGGAGTGCATGATGTAGCACAAAGAACCGCATCGTATTGTGAGAGGTGCGAGACCCCGGCACCGACGCGGATGATGCAGTGGATGATGCAAGTGATTAATCGGATCACACCGAACGGCGAATCTGGAACGTAGAGAAAGGGCCATTTGGTAGGACAGCCATTCGAGGGACACACAGTGACAACATGTACTCAGTTGCCCTATCGCCATGGGATGTCGAGTGCAAGCATGAAGTGTTCGACCCGTTGGTGAAGCACACAGACAGAGTGCATACTGTGCTTCTCAGTGGCTCGCCCGATGGCCCGAGACTTGCAATTCTCGTGAATGTGCAAGACACGGCCGGTCTGGGTACATGTCCGGGGTAGACTCCATGTCTGTCTGCGATTAGGTGTGGGTACCCTTAGCTACTCCAAGCGGAGTTGGATGACAAACTGCCTGCCTTACTAACGTGAATGATTACATCTGCCAGTGAGACGGAAAACCAGACATCAAATAGAACCCGTCAAGAGCGAGGACGACATCGTCTCCAGGTCGCTTGAAATATCGTGAAGGCATGTTGCCCCAACTGCGTTTGCTGACAATCATTCTGAGAGACTGTTAGGTCTTGTCCACTCAAGCTGGGCAATCTGGCGCCAGCGAAATGGAAAACACCCCCATGAGGTATAATGTATCGTTATCAGGCAGACGGCCAGGTAAGATAAGCATACACCAATAAGATACATCAGTCGCTGCTTGGATCCTTGCCCCGGATATGGCTTCTCATCGATAACAGAAGCGCGAGGAGCGCCTAGCGATCCTTCCAGGCTTTCTTGATCGCGTGCAGAGTGCCTTACAGATGTAAGAATTTGAGTAGTAGAGAACAGAACAGAAATTAGGTTGCAGAACAGACTGGAGCACATTGATGGCTCGCTGTACATACAGCAGAATGAAGAGATTGTAAAATATGGCGCCCGTTTATTCCCGCTACCACATCATGATATCTGAGCAGTATCAGGGAAGACACATCACACAAACGTTGCAACACCATATGTGATATTCATTAACAAGTACGATGCAAATCTCCAAGTCCATATGATGGCATGGTCACTACTAGTGTGTATACTTACGGTCAACGTGCAACTTGAATGTGCCTCATGCTGTAGTATGTCCTCTGTAGCATGTCCTCACTTGAAATCGTTCAATGTCGTTGATTTGGGCATTTTTGCAATTATGTCTCCTCTACCTCGCGTGGGCGCTGATCTTCTAGCCTAAGGTCAGTCAGCCAATGATAAGCCCGAGATCCTGGCGACAGCGCGAACCCCTTGGCCAGTGGCGGCTATACCTGGGTGCTACATAATAGGAAGTCCTGTGTGACTGATTCTATGTCAACTGATCAGCAACAGCAGGTTCTTGTGGATGGCCATTGTAGGCCTTATTGATTAGCCAGCCAACAAGCCGGTCAGCAACCGCCTCATCGGAAAGACTTCACGTAGTAAAACGAGCTGCATCTTTCATCCGAGCCATTCCCTCGCATCACCATGATTGCCCAGCAGAATGGCGAGGAAACACCTCTTCTGCAACGACCAGAGCAACCAACGGCCAAGACACCTCTTCCATGGGATCAAATTTGGATTCTACTGCTCTTGGAGATGCCAGAAATTGTTTCTGCTCGGACCCTTGCCCCGTTTATTCCTCAAGTGAGAACATCGTGTTTGCTTGGACTTATATCTAACCGCAACTGGACGTTGTCAAGCTCATCAGAGACATTGGAGTCACTCACGGAGACGAAACCCAGGTTGGACATTATGCCGGCATCCTTGTAAGCATGTTTTCATCGTTTTTGCCCTTTCGTTCATCCATGATACTATTCTCTCCAGCAATCATCATACTATGCAGCTCATACCCTGACTATTTTTTATTGGAGTCAACTGTCCGACCACATCGGGCGGAAGCCTGTAATACTGATAGCTCTATTAGCAATCTCTATATCGATGTTTTCGTTTGGGCTGTCGAAGACCTTCTTCGCTCTGGTGGTCAGGTCAGCATGTTCAAAATAGTAGCTGTGACCATCAATTCCTGACATTCTCCACCAGTCGTGTTGTCAGTGGAGCATTTGATGCGAGCGATAGTATGGCCAAGAGCATGCTGATGGACATCACTGACGCAACCAATATGCCCAAGGCATGCAGTTATGTACCAATCCCGTGTGCGATCGCAACCGCAGTTGGGTAGGTATACCGTACATTATCTCTCGCACTTGAGGTTGACGGCATTTAGAGCACTTATCGGGGGATCATTCTCCCGACCAGCAGACAGATTCCCTAACATTTTTGGGCGATCAGAACTCCTGAAAACCTACCCATATCTCCTGCCGTGCTCTATTTCGGCATTGTTTATATCGACAATTTGGCTAGTCACATATACCCATCTTAAAGAGGTGAGCGCGATGCTGAAAACTCATCTCTGAATCACACTAAGTGTGATTACAAGAGCGTTTCTACCAAGACACCACTTTGGGAGCTCATTAAAAAAGGATTCTTCGGACAGTCATACTCAGAGCCCCGCCAGCCATTGAGCAATGTTATAGTTGATCCTGGCGAAGTCAAATCAAAGCCGCTTCCGCTGCGTGCTTTACTAACCTCGAAAGTGTTGAGCGTAACAGCGAGTTATGCCACCACAGGCCTGTTTCTAACGGGGTTCAATTCTATCTTACCTGTTTTCTATGCGACACCGATTGAACTCGGTGGTCTTTCCTTTGACCCTCCTCGCATCGGTGCTTTACTTGCGGCATCAGGTATCATACAAGGCATATTCCAGCTACTTTTCTACACTCGTTTGAATGATCGCTTTGGTGCAAGAGCTGTCCACATCATCGGCATCAGCTCCGGGATACCCATGGTCATTTTATTTCCAGTGACCAATGCTCTGGCTCGAGCCTTTGGAATAGGTACGGCTGTGTGGCTGTGTGTTGCCGTTCAGCTTACGCTGAAGACTAACCTGATCATGTGCTTCCGTATGTTAATCCAGCACTTCCTGCGTTCTGTTGAACTGAGAAGAATCTATAGCTTGTATATCATTATTCGTCAGAGCAGCTGCTCCCAATCGTGCTTCAGTCGGAGCAACCAACGGAATTGCCCAGGTGGCTGTCGCAGTAGCAAGAATCATCGGCCCGGCGTCTACAGCTTCAGTCTTCTCTTATTCATTGCAGGAGGGGCATGATGCGTGGTCGATCTACTACTTCTTTATCGCAATTGCATTTCTCGCTGTAAGTACTGCTCTATTGCTTCCCCGTGATCCTAGTGTATGGGAAGATTCCCAATAATATTATCGCGAATGACCGTGTACATTATGATCTAGTGTAAGAGGCAGGACTATAATTCTCTTGTTGTTAACGCGACGTGAACTATACCTGCAAATTCAATGGACCAATCTTCCATCATCCAAGCCATTCACAATGCTTCTCTTGAGATGCGAACGCTGAGAAGCAAGTTGCGCAAGGATGACATTGCACGCCTTTGAACAGAAAAGATAATCATTAGTTCAGCGATGTCAAGGTGCTAACATAGCACATCATACGGTACTGCAATCATTCTTTTCCTTAGCATGGGTTGTTTGAGCTGCACGGTGCAGAAGACGTCATAGGACCGGTGCCTTGGGTGCAATTGTGTTGTCCATCGTCGAATTAAGATCCCATGTTAAAAGAAACTCCGGAGTGATGATGTCGAGTGCCCCTCGAAGGTCCTCCTTGATGGCATCCATCTCAGTGCTGACAACATCAGAAACATAGTCGATTGCATGAGGGCTGAACCACTTCAATATCCGTCCTCGTGAGTCTGCAAACATGCAGTCAAGCAACTGTTCCAGCTTTCCTGTGAAATTTCCCTTCTCCTGCGTAGAGTAGTTGTATACTACATACCAGAATACAGCTGAATCATTTCGCTCACAAATCTGTCCATAATCTTGTTGAGTTGCTTAGTGTCGGTTCGCAGCGAGCGAACATTGGCTGCACGTACACCATTCAAGCGACATTATGAGAGCTTCCAACAAACTCGACCTTCCTAATTGTCCTGGGCAAGCTGCATTACTGCGAACAGTGCGAAGATGGTGAGTATTGCGGAGAAAGCAGGATGCGATGCACGCCATCGTCGTGAGAGACGACGACGAGCGCCCACGGCATACTGCGAGCGCGTGCCCTGCAGCTGTACTAGGTGAGACTTGGCGATTTTCGAACAGGGAGGACCTCGTTGTATGTCCATATGAGGAATTCGAAGTGATTATTTTCCGGAAACACGCGGCCCTCGTCTACATTCGGTTTATTTTCTGATTACATGAGATTTCCCGTTACCTTTATTTTAGTCGAAATTCCGGTGCATCATCCAACGTCCATATCTAAGAGTATACACCAAGCAACACGATGAGATACGATGGCTACGTCCAACGTGCGATAAGTATATGCAATAAACAGATAAAGGATGCACCAAGCGATAACGAGGAGAGGAAACACACTAAGGAGGGAATTTTCGATGCAAAAGGAGTGCCGATGATATGAAGCGATTCGGCCAAATATATGTCTACGAGCGAAAGAAACGAGTGTTGTGATCATAGAAAAGGCAAAAGTTCGTGAAGAATCGCGGCAAATGCTAGATGATGGCAACAGGAAGTTAGCAGCAGCGATAGATAAAGGCAAAGGGGGACGTACAGTTGTATGCTAGACTATGTCGCATTGCGGGCAGGAACGATATATCCATAGACCAATTTCTTCGGGTCTTGAAGATCAAACTTGCGACGTCCCTTCTTAGCACGGGCCTTGCTATCAAGGAGCGGTCTGCATGTTACTTGATGCCGATCCAAAGAGTCGGACCTGGACCACCGCTTGCCGCAATAGGGGCATTCGTAAGACGTAGTATAGTGGATGCCCTCGATGTGACGACCCAAATTGAGCATTGCCTTTGGTTTTGAGCAACCCTCGAATTTGCAGAGAGTCGTGCCTTTGGATTCGACACCGTGCCAATGCAACAGGTGATCTGCGACGAGGACTTTGTTCATTTCTACAAACAGCCCGCAGGGCTGGTCCGTCCACTCGCATGCTCGTACGCAAGTCATCCCTGCTGGTAGTTCATTCGTAATCTTGACGGACCGCTTGGAGTAGGAATCATCGAGTTCCATCGCCCCAATTCTCCTCGTTCGAAGAAGATTACCGTGGGCGTCGTGGGTCCTGCGACTGCTGATGTCTACCGGCTTCGGGTCGTGAACAGGCACAGCCATGACTACTGCAGTGGCGTCCGCTAGTCTATAAAAACCATACTTTCCCTCTCTCACTTCGTCTTCGTCGTCGTCCAAGCATCTGCGCTTGCGCGTGGTTGGTGCGGGAGACGGACTCGAACTGTCTTCCTCGTATGTGACGGTATGACGAGTTTTACGCTTGGGGCGTTTGGCGCACGTCTGCCCAATGGGAGCTGAAGAAGATGGCTCCAAGCTGCTGTCATCACTCAGATACATTGTCGCGTCAGAGTCAGACGCGGACGGCAAAAAGGTTTCGGTATCCGACATCGTGTCCATGATGACACCAGCGTGTGCGCTGCGGGGTTCCGCTACCCAACGCTCTAGATCGACGACGGTAAGAAGGTGATTTTGAATAAAATTAGGTACATTCGCATACGAACCGCAATTATAGCCAGGGTGGGACCATGCGTGGCCCTCCAGCGATAGTTGAGGGACGACAGTGGCCTGCTGAGAATAGTATTGGTTCTGGTCCATTGGAGGAAACTGGGGGAGACCAGCCACCGGAGCGGTGAACTGGTTCAATGTCGGAAATGACGTCTGATTGTCTCGCAGGACCTGCAAAGCCGCTGAAGACCTGGAAAAAATAAATGAGAAATAGTTGGCACTCGGTTGGTGGCACGTACCACTGATGCGCCTTTAGGTATTCATGTTCAGCACAGGCCTGAGCCCATCTGCCAAAGGCCGTTAGTTCGGGTAGATGTTTTGAAGCAGAAACGCATACTCAGCCTGCATGGCGGCTATATCGTTGGGATGAGCAAACTCTTGGACGTTTTCCGAGACCATGTTGGCATTGGCTTCGGGTTCGATTCTAGGTTCAGAACGCGGATGGATAGACCGGCTAAGAAAATCATGAGGTGAACCGCGTCATCCGACTCGAGAGTGAACACCAACCTATCCAAAGCCATATGAAAATTGTTGTACGAGACACTAAATGCGGAAGGCATCATCAGCATATGGATATACCGAGTCGACGTGGGAGATAGACTTACTTAGACATATCAATGATTTGGACAAGTAATATTAAATGGCTAGGATGAAGTGGCAAAGGAAAGAGAACGAGAGATAGAGAAGTGAAGGAGAGAACGCTAGGTTTTTAACCTCACAATATGTGGATAAGCGCTATACAAAGCGCATCTGTGGACGAGCGTTATGCCCCGACAACATGTCGTAAAAAGGCAAGCGTGAGTGGTCACTCCACCATAGGAAACATATCTGTGGCGTCTATTCAACTGCTTTGAAGCACCATGCGTGCATCAATCCACAAAAATACAAACGTTTCACCACACATCGCTGCTCCTTTGTCAGACCTAGACGTGCGTGGGGCGATGAAGTACTGGCACTTCCTCACTAAAGGATATGACATTACTAGTGCGTGCAACAGTACAACTCCATGAAGGTTCGGAGTATCGCAACAATGAGATTTTCATGAAGGATGGTCACGGCACACTCAACTACAACCGCGAGCTTTGACAATGGTATCAGCTCGAGACAGCAACAAGCGACCTCCAGTACAAGCGGACAGCTGAATATTGCGCGGTAGAGGAACGTAAGATGTGAAGGCGCGTAGCACCCGTACCCCAGGCCAGAAACTTCTGACATATGTAATGTCAGTTGCATGTTTAATTGTAAACGTGCAAAGACACTTTCCTTCGCTGTTCATTGCATTGTGACCTAGCCTAGTCCTTGCCGCTGAGGTGAGAATTGGAGGGCTTGATATCATCTAACCACTTAATGGACACTGAAATAATTTTTTCAGATCGAAACCAGGGTTTGACATTAGCGTCTATGTGAAGATATTAGGAGCTAGATGACAATGAAACAGAGAGAACGCAGCCCATAATACCTTCATTAACATGATACGAGGGTAGCATTCTCTGGACTAGATGTCAACAGCTTCATTTCTAGTTGAAGATACATCACATATTTTGTTCAGCCTGAGATAGGCATATCACCACGGGCAACTTTTGTTATCACAATTCTGTCAGAGGCATGAAGCTGCACGCATAATACAAGGTTTGTAACGTTGATATCAGAATTCACCGTGGTAATTGTAAATCAGTGCTAGACGAAGCGTACGCGTTGTTTTGGTCTGTTGTCCAAAGGCTTCCGAGAGTTTCTTTATTCGGAAGCTGCACATTGCGGTTCTTGACCATGTTTCAATGTGCAACCTCATGCAGGTTTCTTCAGCAGGCCAAAGGACTGGCAGCCACAGGTGATCGAGGATCATATTTCTCCTCTTTCTCCCACTCCCGGCTCACGCCCATGAATTGTCAACTCCGGACAGCATGGACTCTCTAACTTATTTCGAACTTGCGCTTCAGCGCTTCATCACTATTCAAGCGTAAGGTACGGGTGCTCATAATCCCGATCGCACTCTGTCGAATGTTCTGCCGTCCTCGAAGTCTGGCGCGCTCCAAAATAGCATGTGGAACACGCGAGGATGGACTGCCCAGGAGTTCCTCGCTCCTGAAATTGTTCTCTTACCAAGCAGACTGGACTCTCTCGATACTGGTTCTTCCAACTACAAGGAGTATGTCACACAGGGGGTCTGTCACTATCATGCAGGAGTTGGAGGGTTTGACTGGCATAGATGCACGGGCGCTCCCTACCTTCTGCTCGAGAATGAGAGGCGCACGAGAGAAATATAATGGACATTTAGCCGTGTCACCACGTTACGGGTACTAATTATTGGGCATTTTCGGTGTCCATTTACCTGTTATCTACGGAGAGAAGATACGTAACGTGCACAGACGTCTTCATTCAGGTGATCACTGCACTGGACTAGGTGAAACCATTGTCCAACTTCAATTGTTGTCTACCAACCTCTGTACAAAGCTCCGCCATGCTCGTCGCCAGCTCTATCCGAACACAATATCTCCCAGCTGCAACACACTGTGGCTGTGGAGTGCACTTTGAAACTGTATAGCATACCGGGCAAACATCAGTGCTTTTCGTTTCGCAAACTCCAGATTGCAACTCCCTTGCATCGCATTTCCGGTCACCGAACTCAGACAGAGGCGCGGTCACAACTAGGAGACATCGTTCTTCCCTACAACGTCAAGCTATATGGGCTCTAAGTCCTGCTAATCACAACAGAAGACCAGCTGGGCAGCGTTTTGGCGCACTTTCGCTGTGGCAGCCACGTAACAATCACCTAGCTGAATCGCGGTCTCATTCGTGAGCGTTGAGGTTGCTCATTCGTCTTGAACAACCTTTTGCGCAGCATGGTGGGGAGTGCATGAGGATCGCGTCAGATTACAATATCATCACACGAGTTGGGGACATAGCTTCTGTTGATGCCATGATAGACTCCGTCAAGACACCAGTTGTATTATCTCTGACGCAGTTTCATCCATAACTTGAAAGTATCTCTGCTGTACACAACGAAAAAAAAATTGCAGTACTGGTCATTTTCATATCGAACTAGTACTAGACTCATATGTGATGATGAACTAAATAAGATTTCATTCTAGAATCTAGACATCAATTAATTCTTTAGTTCTTTAGCTGTGGCAGTGTTGTGGGAATTCTCGTTGCCCACATGCCACCATCAGAGCAAACCTCCAATATTTGTCACATCGTGACCTAGTACCTACGGATCCAAGGATTGTAATATTCGACCGTGTTCAGATGCTAAACCTCTCAACACTCCAAACCTATCTCACGCAGCTACTCTCACCTATTGACACCATTCACACTGCACTCCTTCTGACACCAGAGGGTGCAATTGTCTCCTTTGCCTGTTCGTCAACGGCCAGTGGAAGTGGGAGCGATCAAAGAAATACAACACACGTAGTTACGCATCCTAGCACCAATGGACATATGACCCCCCCTAATGCTCACGCGTCAAGCGCCAACGGACATACTCCGCCACCATGCCGTACTCCACCATTACGAGGGAGCACAGAATGTAGTACATCCCCGCACGCGCTTGGTAAAGCTGCATCGGGTAGCGGATGTTCCCAGACGACGTGTTTACACCGGTCGAAAGACGAGATATGGATATTGGCCGGGCTAAGTGCTGAAGTGTGGGCTGAGACGAGGGGTGAAGAAGGGGTTGAAAAGGGGATGGGGATGGTTGAGAGTGAGGTGGGTTGTTGCTTCCCTTTTTTTTTCCGATTTCATGCGTACTCCTCTACTTCTTCTTTTTATGCGAGCGTTTACTGACGAGCTGTGTGTAGCTTGGACGAATAGTTGTCGTCCCTGTCGATAATGCTAGTCCGGAATTACAAGATGAAAGAGAACCGCTGCTATTACTTGCTGTAAATGGTGGCGCAGAAGCTGATTGGAAGACTATGTGTGCAAAAGTGGGCCTCTCACATACTAATTCTCTTTAACACTGATGCACTGCCAGGCCAAAAAACTAGGAGCATACCTTGCCCCCTCTGTAAACAAACATCGCAGCGCTATCGAAGCGTCTCCGCTGAATCGGACGTTGGCTACTACGAGCAAGAGTCGGACGAGGAGTACGACTACGTCGCCAGGGGGAGTTTTACGGTAGTCACGCTGAAGCGCACGATTTGATGTGTGCGACTTGATGCTGCACGTCTGCGTCAGTAGCCAATGACAAGACGCGGTTTTGTATGCACACGACCTATGGTTGGTGGTGCCCTCCATGACGATGAACTAAAATAATAATACTACGGGTACCGTACCGCAGGATATCTAGTATCACCTAAGTTGTATTTTAATGGAGTGCTCTGGACAAGCTCTGGAGTTGGATTGATACGTGCGAGTGATCCTCGGCCAGCGCGGGAAAAATAGAAAACGGGAAATTAGCGGCGTTGCATTTCCGTCACTGAGCACATCTTGATCGTTGTCGAGCATGGGGTCATGGTCGTCTGCAGTAACGGCGAGCATGCGTGTAGCGTCTAATGCGCGTAGAATTACACGACCCCGAAGTGCACGACACCACAGTGTACTAGCTCAGCCTCGTCCCGTTCCCTCACAAACGCCAACGTCGGCAAAAACAGACCCATACGTCCTTCTCGCGCCGCACCTCGAACAGATGCGTACTTCCCTGCTCACTCTCCTTGGCAGTTCCCATCCTTCCCTTAATGCCATTGCTCAATACTACTTTCTCCACCCCTCCAAACAACTCCGGCCCCTCCTCGTCCTCCTTTTCGCGCGTGCAACAAACGGACTAGGCGCTGAATTCTCTCAAGTAAACTGGGCAGCAGACAATGCAAGGGCACACCAACAAGAGCTCGACGCGCCACTGACTCGGAAAGATATCCTATGCGACTGGAACCCCAGCATGCCAGATCACACCGCATCATTCCAGAGCGCGTTCGAACTGCGCATACCCCCCGCCCAACCACCACCATATACCCCACAACCCCCACCCCTCCATCAAACACATTCCCAGACACTCACTCATACTTTACTTCCTACGCAGTTGCGCCTAGCACAGATCGTGGAGATGATACATGTTGCTTCTTTACTCCATGATGACGTCCTTGACAAGTCCCCCCTTCGTCGTGGCGCACCTAGTGCACCAGCTGCATTTGGCAATAAGCTAGCGGTCCTTGGTGGCGATTTTCTGCTGGGACGCGCCAGTGCTGCCCTGAGTCGGCTAGGGAGTCATGAAGTGGTAGAGCTCATCGCGAGTGTCATCGCTAATCTTGTAGAGGGTGAGATTTTGCAGATGAAAGGGAGTGGAACCGAAGCTGCCCCCCATCCCTCGTCGTCTGCGACTAGTGCAATTGACCTTAAGGACATTCATGCTTCACCTTCACCCTTACCCTCCGATAAATGGGCTATCTATCTTAAAAAAACTTATTTAAAAACGGCCTCTCTAATGGCTAAAGGCGCACGGGCTGCTGTTGTGCTAGGAGGATGTAGAGAAGGCGAGGTGTGGAAGGAAGTGGCCTATGCATATGGGAGGAACTTGGGTATTGCATTTCAGGTGTGTTCGCACAATTCTTCACGTGTCTGCTTGCGCTTTTGGCACTTCACTTTGTCACTGCACATGTTATTCCTCTTCGCTACTTCATCTCGTCTTGTCACATTGCAATCTATCCTCGTTCGTACTCATTCCTTGCCCAGCTCATAGACGACACTCTCGACTTTTCCTCCTCCACAGCCCAGCTCGGCAAACCCGGCTTTGCAGACCTACGCCTAGGACTCGCAACAGGACCCGCACTCTACGCAGCTGAGGAATTCCCAGAGCTCGAAGCCATGATCGAGCGGCGGTTCGGTAAGGATGGCGATGTTGAGAGGGTGAGCATTGCTTCCCGCCAACTACATTTGGACAAGCACTGACTTTTATATTGCTTTCTTTGCATCGTGCGGTGTGTAGGCCCTGACGCTGATCTCGTCTTCTAATGGTGTAGAGCGCACGCGTGAGCTAGCGCGCGTACATGCTGAGAAAGCACGGGAGGTGTTGACATTATTGCCTAGAAGCGAGGCGAGGGACGCTTTGGAGGCGTTGACGGAGGGTGTTGTGAAGAGGCGGTGGTGAGGCCTGTATAATTCCCATATGGTGTGCCACGACGGGACCGGGCGTCATCCGTTTCTCAATCGATGATTAAGAATAACAACATACGTAGGTCGTCGGGAGGCATCATTAACGTGCCGCAGGCTCTCTGTCGACTTTGCGTGATTGAGAGATATAATTTTATCGGACCTTATTACGATTGAATGAATCGTTAGGAACTTGAATATTATAGGCTCGTGACCATCGGACCTATAAAGCTTTGAAACTAAGTGTATCCCAATCATTGCAAAGGCTATGATCGTAACTTTACAGTATTCTGACGATTTGAGGCTTAGGCATGGTACTTGAGTGAAATTCTATGCTACTACAAATAATACAATTTAAGACAGTGGTTATGGCAAGGTTCAGGAATGACATGAAAATCTTAGGTGTGAAAAGGTTTAGAAATGCGGAGGATTGGGAGGAGACAGTTAACAAAGGTTTCAGCACTTCACAGCAAGCTTTAGCTTATCTCCTCAGTGGCTTTGCTCCCCTTTGCTCCCTATCTACTCCAAGGCAGTTAACTTCAAACTTCCCTACTATCATGAGGTTGATTCGAAGTCTCTGCTCTTGCAGGAGCTGGAACCATCCGATTTCAGCTGCATTCCCTCATTCTACCCGCAACACACCATATAGCGTCCATCTGCACCATATTCACCTGTGGTGCACCTCGTTCCTCCTTTCTTACAAATAACAGAGCTTGTACTCGGAGGTAAAAGTCGTGGCCCTGTTGCTGATTGTGATCGATGATGTCATCACCGAATTCACCGCGCATGTCGACTGCTGTTCCGTATCCGCTCCCCGTAGCGCCACAATATCCAGGGTCTGCGGTAATCGTTAAGGGGTCACAATGGAGGGAACAAAAATAAAGACGTACGCAGGACAGCCGACAACGATTGCCACGACTGCTAAAATAGTATCGCCTTTTCCAAACCCGAGTGCTTTGTACATTGCTGGAGCAAACAAGGGAAATCCAAAGCCTGCTAGTGACCGCAAACAAGAGATAGCGGCAAGAGCTAAATATGAAATATTTGAGATGGTAGGTAACACAGGAACCAAATCTACGCACCAGAAGCGGCATGAAGCGTAAAGCAATCAACGATGTAGGTCTGGATACACTGGAAATTCAGAATGATGCCTGCTCCCACAAGCGCAATGCCCTGTCAAAACTATCAATAGATGAACAACACTAGGAGAATCAAACCAACAATATCTGGAGCTATCCAAAATGTATGAGCTTCAGAGGTCCAGCCTACAATCAAGCACCCAATCGGAAGTAAGAGAGACCCGGGAACCATAGCAGCTGATGGCACACTGAATGAGTACTTAAGAAAGGAGGCGTTAGGACAATATGACGAACGCAATCTGAACTCCGGCTTCGCAACTCCACCGTTCTTGCCCTTGAGATACATGTAAACTTTGTCCATCGTTCTCGCATTTAATTGAGAGGCCGCTGACAATCCTATGCCAAGTGCAGCGTAATGAAGGCCGGAGATTCCTACCGACTGGTGGTATGTGCCCTGGAAGATCGATGGCATCGTCGTCAAAAATACTGAGACGATATAAGATCGACATATATAGAAAATAAAATGCCTTACGATAAAGTGTTCCGTATAGATATGCCATGTAAACGCCGAGAAGCTGCACGATCGGCTCATGCGCAAAGAGTACAAAAGGGCGGCTGAGTGATTTGGCCATTATGGCCTGCCAACTATATACGCATCGTCCTCAGATAATATCTTACAGGGATTATAAAAGGACTTACGAGCGATCTTGACCTTCGAAAACGGTACGGATTTCTCTGTACGGAGCTTTTTCGGCATCCATCGATCTGCGAATCCGCTCTGCCTTCCTTTCCAATAAGACAGGCGCGTAAGCTGGACAATTCATAAGTATCAGCGGATCGCGACCAGTCAATTTCTCACTCTCTTGAAGGGCAAACATTCCAATGATTTGAATGACTGCATCCACAATGCACGTAGACCAGAACTGTCAGAGAAATGAGAACAGTTCTCTATTGGCAGAAGCATTGCATACCACCCATCTCCAGGTCGAGTATTGAGCTATCCTGAGGAAATTTAGATGGTGTCGTTGAACTTGAAATATCCACAAACCAGGCGCCCGTGATAGGTCCCACGACAGGGCCCATTAGCGGAGCTAAGGAGTAAATGGCGACAGCTCTTCCTCGTTGATCTGGCTCCCAGCAGTCCCCAAGAAATCCACCGCCAATCTGAAGAGGGAAGCCATTCAGAAGAGATACTTCCGACTTGAGGAAACTTCAACTTTACCGACAAAGGAGCGCTGCCTCCGAGACCAGCAAGAAATCGGAAAACAAGAAGCTGTGATTCTGACTGTGCGAAACCACAGACGAGATTCCATACTATCATGTCAAAAATGAGAGTGAGATTATTTATGGGTTGGCTTGTAAATGTCACACACCAAGATACCATAAATTTGCCAATTGCAAAACGCGTGACCGTCCGTAAATCTCACTCAATGGACCCAGAAATAACGGCCCCATGGCTATTATTGGTTAGTGGGGTGTCTAGCATCAACCAAATTGGCTTACCGTATGCAAGCACGAAGATCGATGTTGTGAGTGCAAGCATAACATCATTGTCGATCCCGAAGGCAGAAGCCACCTGGCCAGTAGCAGGCGCAATCATAGAGGACGAAACTGGACTGATAAAAGTAAATGATGATATGATGATTGTAGCAGCCCATTTGCGTCTATAGCTCCAACTGTGCAAGAATTATAAGTCCAACGGCCATGCTACTCTGCTAACGCAACGCACTTTTTAGGATTTTGAGGGTCATCTGGGCCGTCCCAGTCAACGATCAAAACATCTGCATTGTTTGTCGTCGCTAGCAGCTCGCCATCGCCAGTGTTATACGACTTCTGAGAATGACTTTGTTCTGGAATATGATGGACTGATTTTGATGCGTGATCACCTTGTAAGGTTGGTGCGGGAGACACCGCGCCTAGTGTTCCTTCCACATCACTCACAGACGCAGAGATTTGGTTTGTGGTGGACATTCGCATCTGCGATTGACACCCACATAGTGTCCTTTGCTACTTATAAGTCATCTAATAACAGGTTACTGTCACCATTACAAAGGCGCTTACTAGAGACCAGAATTGAGTAAACAAGCCTATGTCATTACTGTGGTGCTTACCTCGGATGAGAGTTCTGAGACCCTGTGCTTGACACAATTTAGTTTACTGTAATTTGGTCATCGGCCGCACCGTCGGCCGATAGTCATATACACAAACTCAACACGGTGACAAGAGTGACAGAAAGCGATAAGGCTAAACAGACCGACAAGATCTTGCCAGATGAGTCTCGGCTTCCCAATCTTTGACCCCTCGAGCGGTTCCACGTGATAGTGAGCAGTTGCATGACCTAGAAGGCTAAAAATGGTACGTATGCCGAGTTTACATATAGCATGTTTGTTTTTTTATTTGTCAGCTTGAAGACGACTCAAAGAGTGCACGTCGAGTTATCGACCAAGAGATTCGTGGTAGTCAACCACTTGAAGAAGGAAGAAGGGTATACCGTCGCATGTGAGCACACCCGTGACGCAGTACAACAACGGAGCGGTGAAACCCACGGAACCTGCTCGTCGCTCGATTGCACCTGATAATCCTCCGATTTCACAGCACGCTCGTCATGAATCAAGTCACAACTCACACCATTATCCTCTCCGGAATACGGAGAACGAGGAATTAGTCCATTCCCGTAGCCGGAACTATTTTGGTGTTGAAAAAGTACACAACGGGGCCACAGAACCGTTCCATATGGGAGAGTGCGCATGTGTGCGACTGGAGCGCTCATTGTCACACTGTCAATAAAAACAAGACATGGAAAGAGGCCAAACTTAGAGGACACAAGTATCACAATCAACTGTTTACCTAGTGCCGTGTGGTCGCTGGATGTCACGGAGGAGCGAGCGAAATTGAAGCAAAGGTCAGATCCTTCCTCTTCATTGCTGCTTGAGATTATACGAATAGTCATTGAGGTAGCCTTGCAAAGATTACACAATGGAAGACACCGATAAGATATAAATTCTACGTAGCAGCCGTAGATATCGATATAATGTGAATTAGTTTGAATGTGGAAGGCGACGAGAAAGAAACTAGCTTGTTCCTGGGGCGTGATAAATCATTATGTAAGTACGGGACCCTGCCGGGAGATGTACTGAACATAGCCGAATTCCTGAGTGGTTGGTCATCACAGGTATGTCTTGATACAGCATTACATGATTAAGAGCATACCGAAGCTGCCGCAGTCATGATTCACGGAGGAGTAGGAGGCGAGCAGGACAGGACTAGCTTTTACCGGTGGTGACGCCACTTTATGCTAATCATCAGACAGTAAGCCGGGCCCGGCGTGATGAAGATTTCTGTGTCCTTCGAGTCATACACCTAATCTTACGAAACTCGACGTTGCGCATGGCGTTCAATCCTGGGTTCCATTTTGTAACAACCTGAACGGTGCATCACATCGTGACACTTCATGACCACCGTCCGAATACTTCCTGAAGATGGACATGGCCGTACAAAGGCCACTCATCGAACCTTGTGTTCTGAGTTCAGTAATGTCCAAGAGTTTCACTAGAGTCCAAACGTTCACCGGCTCACCGACCCTGACTCGGACTCGGACGGATGGCGATGTGGCTCGTGCATAGTACGTAAACCACAGTCAGTTTCCCCTTTTTCTCTACTTACGCCTGGCCCTGAGGAACTCGTGACGAACATGACAATCATTATGCCACTTGTCAAATATTACTTTGTGCCTGAGCTAGCGCTTTCCCAGTGGCTTATGTGTTATCCTCTTTCCTGTCTGGTTTAGCTGGTTTGCGACACCACATATTCTCCTTAGACGAGTCGAGCCTTTACTTTGTCACGCCCCAGAGCTCCTGCTGGCCAAACATGCTCATGAGTTCTAATTCACAATGTCGCGTGTAGACAGGGTCTGGCGATCGACTCATAGGGGGGTATCGATTGTGATAAAATTCCGTGCTAATGCTCCTATTTCTAGCCGATAGCACGGTGTAGAAGATGAAATCATTCTAGAGCTTTTGCTTTTGTCGTGCCGCAGTCGTCGTATCATTATAATATCAAGAAACAGAACTTGAAGTTCCGAACGCATGATGCAGTGAGTGTCACCCGGAAATGAAATTATCATACCGTAGATGGTTTCTTCAGGGTCGAGACATTCTGATGCGCCCTTCTTTTCCCAGTGAAACGTGCACATGCAGAACCATTTGGCTAAGTGTATCCTCGCTATCAATATCCCGCAAGGCACCGTAGCCTAATGGTACGACTTACCCATGTGACATTATTGACGCTTCACTCATGAGTAGTAACGCTGTACGAGTCTCGACTACAACGCGCGTGAGCCAGCTGTAAATATTATCTGTGCGAGGGCAGGAAGTGAAGACAATCGATGTCGATGAGGTGTGGAATTATACTTAAGGTATACATATCGTTAATAGTGGTAGACATTTCGTGAAGACTTTAGCTGCACTTGCTTTTGGGGAGCTGGGATGTCTGTCCTTGAATGAGGACCGATGGCGGGACCCAGTTAGCAGCCATCATGCATAATGAATAGAGCATTGGCAGAGTTTCAAACCAAAATTTACTTGCAGGATCGAGGCTTAGCGCTTAGCTAGGGTCTGAGACACTCAGGGGCACATGCCATTCTGCAGTACTGGTGGATATTTATGCTGGAGTATTTCAGCGTCTTCATACATTAGCGGACCTATGACCTAACAGCTGTATGTCTCTTCGTTCGCCGTTGGAGCTTGGGCTCTCGAAAGCTTCAACCATATATTCCATGCCTTTTCGGCAGACTCCGGTGACCAAACAGAGCAACGCGTGAGTTCTCCCTCCACTGCTTCATCCAAAGGTTCCACTGACGCGGACGGAAGAAGGTTTGGTTATCTGGGACCAGAAAGTAAGTCGTAACAAGGATGATCGAAACGCAATCACCCAGAAAGATGATCAAGCGAAATTTGAAAGACTTTCTGACGTCAAAGTTTGCTTCGTTCGCTCAAGGGCGGGTCAGAGGGATGGCCTGGAGGATTTTGGGAAAAGTCTTCAAGAACCAGGCATACTCGAGAACAAATAGCGTCTAGAAGGTCCTGTAGGTCTGCTTTTGGCCAGGCGTCATTTGCCTGTACAATCAGTCAGTCCTTCCCATAACCAAGAAGTATGAAATTTTGCGCACTTGAATCTGAACATGCAGGCTGCCCTTCATGGTCCATATGTGGATTATTCTGCCAAAATTTTCAGACACACCCAATGTACAGAATTGAAAAACTTCTTACGGAGTTAAAGACGTTAGTCTGACTGAAAACAACACAGACTCCAGCTCAATGACCGGCTCAGCGGTATGCCTTCCTTTCCACGACAACGGAAGTCGCCGCTCCATGGGGCCAACGTTGTTGATAGAACTCTCGAAGTTTGGTCTTTCTGACAGAGCATCTGGTTGATACGCCCTTGCAGCCTGGACGTGGGGCATACAGGGATGCGTAGCAAACCTGGTGTATCTCTGCTCTATGGCTTGGGTAAGTTGCAGGAGCTGCCTTCTGGGCGATACCATGGGCGATATTTCAGCCATCGAAATCTGGATCGGTATATGCGAGCGGGAAGAGATGAAATGTGTTTTCGTATCGTAGGGCAATTTCAGGTGCGGAATCAGCGAGATACTGAAATTTCGTCAGTAGATTTACATCTCTCGGTTGTGGGCACTTACGCAGAGGAGTTGCCTGGAAAGTGGTAGGCATCCCACACGGATGGTGGAAGTTGATTGCGGGCGAGCAGCACCATGCAATATGCAGCCTCAAACAGATGGGACATCGAGCAACCGACGATCCGTGTTTTGTTGACTAGCCTACGCGTTAATGTCGGGTTGAGAACTCGCTCCAGTCTACATGTCTTTCCGACGGCACTCTGTGACATTCGAAACGGACGCACAGTCAAAGGTATCTACATTAACTGGTCGGAATGGGAGCAGGAGGATGAGCATGTCAAAAACATACCGTGTGGACCGCTTCGGAGTCTGACAATTGCTTCAGGAGCTCGATACCTGCAATATCCCAATCTTCGCGAGGACCACCTGTGGCATCAACAGGACCGAGAGGCAAGTTGTGCCATTCTGTCCCCCACGGCAAGTTCTCAGCAGGTTCGATGTCATCTTTCGTCATCCATTGGAGCATGAGTGCAAAGGCATTGAGCGTCGGGCCACCGTCCATGATGGCATGCGGACCATGAAAATAGAGGCCATATTTGTTATTGTTGCCCAAGAGAAGATAGCAACGAAACCAGATGGGACTTGCGTTCTGAGGCTGGTAAGGGAGTCGACGTTGACTGGTTTCTTCGACGAAAGCATCAACGTTCAGATCGTGTTGCACGATGCAAAAGGCATCGTTTATCCAGCCCGTGAGCTCCGATAAGCTTTGTACAGGCGCATATACCCATGATCTCGGAATAGGACCGGAAACATTACCCACTATATTGGTTGCAATGATTGGACACGAAAAGCTACGTATATGTTCGCTGTGAGGATACACCATGCACAGGATAAGGCAAAAACTATTACCGAAGCCTAGCGAAGGCATTGCGGGCGCGTTGTTTCACCTCGTCCGCGGCATATAGGCTGTGAAATGTGAAGCCGACACATGCGTCGGTCATACTGAAGAAAGAGTGAGCATATATTGGCAATAAATGACATTGATTGGGCTACCCATCAAGTAGAACGCTAGTTCGGTCATCAAATAGCTCAGATCCTAGCAACGGCCTTTGCACAAGAAGGTCAGAATAAGGGGATATGATATTTCAAACGGCAGATACCTGGTGTAGAACGGGGTTTTGCGACCAGATATGCGCATCCATGTCGGTTCTGGATAATGAGGGGCGTTCATTGCGATGGAACGTTGAGTGTGCGTTGACGCTTGGCTTTAAATAAAGCCGCCCATTTGCATAGCGCAGCACTGAAACCTTCATAATTTAATATTTCCAAGAGCTGTGGCGCTGATCGGAATGCAAGATATGATCCAGTTACCACGCGTAATTGAACGTGAACGGTATGTATTTGATCAACGTTCAGCAAAAAAGATCATGACAAGCCCAGGGGTGCATTTGCAAGGGACGAAACGTTGAATAACGACTAGTCGCAACGACGAACAGCATCGCCAGCATGCTTGGCATTTCTCGGCTCATATCTGATAGGCCTGTGCGGGCTAGCCTGCTATAGATTTGCTATTGATGGTCCATGTCTCAGTTTCGAATGGCCTGCCTAGATGTCAATGAAAGACAATAAGATCGATATCTTCAATGATACAATGCGGCCCGTCGTGTCCCTTATATCCAAAGGACGCATGGCATGGTGCGAGACTCGGAACCTCGAGGCTTTCAGTCACTCGAAGCGGATCATCATGGAACCGAGACAAAGCCAAACAATAACCAAATAATCCTTAGCTACCGCGACCATGTCCGAGTTCGCAGACAAAGCCGAATTTATAAAATGTATAAGTTCAATGTACTCTTTCAACCAATATCTTCACTAACCCACGTGTCCAACTCGCCAGCAAAACTCCAAGAACGCGAAGAGTTCGTTCGTGAGTCTTGGGTGAAAGCCATGGAAGCCCGACTTGTACGCGACGAGCTCGTGAAATGTCATCGGCTTGAGGGTGTTAACCACCTGGAGAACTGCAGATGGCTCTCGGACAAATATATTTCGATGCTCAAAGAAAACAAGGTATGTGTTATGCACACGTTTTCACTGATACCACTGAACGGACGTTGGTAATAGGTCAAGGGCTACAAAAAGATTGATTTCTAGATTGTCGTAGTGCTTCTTAGAATGACCACTCGAATTACACAGCGGCATTAGTCGATGTTTAAGTGGGTGTCCGCGGTGTTGTACTGGTAACCATTCCGTGCCCGATAACGCATCGCTACTCAGGAAACACGGAAGACTGAGAATGGTCAAATTGTGAGGGACAGGAAGAATTGTATTCCCACAAAGTCTCTCCCGGCTCTGATCTGCCTCTTCTAGCAATGCCGACTCTCAGCATGGAAAGCATATTCAAGATGCAGACGACTAATTGGCGACCGATGTCGAGGAAGGGCCCAGAACATGATACTTCCACCGATGTTAACATCCGGGACACTTCCATATCACATATACTGCACGTGAATCACCACCTGTATAAGTTATCCGATAGGATGCAAAAGATGGTCAAGTAGTTGACGATTATTTTACTCTGCCCATCATTACTTCTTCCCCTTCCTCGTCCTCTTCCCCTCTGTGCCGTTCGCCTCACTGCTCGATTCCTCACTGACCGCAACGTTGTCGGGCTTTGTCTTCTTTCCCTTTGTCTTCTTGAGGTGGTGCTCAGGAATCCACTCCTCCTGATAGCCACTCGAGCCACTCGCGGTCACTGGGCCAATAGGCGCGCTGACCTGGGTTGGACGTTTGCGTTTCGGCTTCTGCGAAGGAACATATGCATTGTATGCTGTATATGTCACACCCGCGAGTGCGGCGAAAACTATGAGGTAGGTGGAAAGGCTGTTGACGAACGCAAGGTTAGAGAGCAACAAACGAGGTGATTTGAAACAAATGCTCGTACAGTTTAAGATCTAGCCAGGATGGTTCAGGCTCAACAATCGTCACCACTGAGTCGTAAGCTGTCACACGGTATTTGTCGTCCTAACAGATGCGTTTATAAGCATGACAGTAGCGAGTTTCAGGCACTTACATCAACGGTGTGATCTAGCCAGATGTTGAGTTCAAGTCTCCCGGCTAGTTCATTTTGAGTCAAAGTGTAATGAAGAATGATTGGGTGGTAATACCTTGAATCTGGAACGAAACTCGTCAGCACAGATACATTTGCAAAAAATTGGAGAGAACTCACTCAGAGTAGAAAGAGTAAGGTATTTGTAGTTTTGAACCCTCGAGCAGGGGGATACCATACGCCAGTGAAGACGTCTGACGACAAAAACGTTAGACAACTCAGAAGTAGGCATGACACGACGCCAACGAACATTTTTTATGAGAGTTCCAGTCTCAGAATGATGGAACGACCCCGCAACCGACTGTAAGGTCACATTCTTGTCAGACTTGTTCTCAACCAGAAGCAAAATCTGGTTCCGCTCTCCGTTCACCACGTCTGTTATGCTATGTGTCACACTTTGCGAACTAGAGTGAGAAGCAGTGCCAGCACGTACGGCCAAATGGGTTGCTCTCGGGGAAAGTGGTTTCAATGACTATCTCAGGATCATCCAGAGCTATACAGCGAATATGTTTTCATTATTCGGTGGAAAAGTGAACAAACTCACAAGCAGAAACTCCCAGTGCCATCAACACGGTGGCAAGGCTCAGACTACGCGCAATGTAAATTGAGGGGCGCATATTAGATGAAGCAAAGTAGACGAAAGCAAGATGCGTAAATGTAAAATGGTGGAACGGTCTAGTCAGTTTCGAATAGCTTCAAGAAGACGTTGAACACGTTACGTCTCCTAGACTCTAGGGCAGGTTTCTCACGTTCACATGCATGCAGAAACCATGATCTTGCTCAGCCACTGGGTGAACATGCATCACCGGAAGGAAGACGAACGTGCAGCATCATTGCATGGAAACTATTCGTACTCGGTACTGATATGTAGCCTGAAATCTGTAGCAGGTTACTGTCACGGTATTTAAGGTTTTGGAACGGTCAATGTTCTCCCTATCGATTCAACTGACGCAGAACATTAAATTCTACAAGTAATTCACGTGCCCACCGGACCATAGCTCGGGATTAAGGAGAAAATGGCTTTCATGGGGTATGTCCACCAAATCTTGTGCCATGGATCGGCCCTCAACTTTTACCGCTGAACTTGCCAAATATTTAAGGACCTTGTCGAGGCCCGGCGTCCGGGAGCCGCCTTTGAATTTTGACTGCCGGCACGAGTACACATGTGTTCTCCTGCTCTGTGGATCCGACTGTGACATGGGCGAGTCATGGCATACGCCATGCCCATCCAGCCGTGTCTCTTACTCCCGAGATACCATCTGCCCTCCAGCTGGCGGTTAGGCCGTAGCCAGCATCTGCACATATCGACCTTCTGACATTCCTATTATATATACTGGTAAGCCGCATGTCGCCTATATCCTTGAGGAAATGGTTTACGCCTCTTCTCGGACGGCTCTTGCATAGGCGAGGGAACGTTGGTCGGGTAAGCTGAAGAAACCAGTGTCTAGTTTGGAAACATAATCACTCCTTTCTGTTTCAGTCTAGACACTGGTTTCTTCATCAGATGTTTGAAGGATATAGCATGAAGCTGTAATTGTTGTTCCTATGACCCTGCATCGCCCTTATCGGCGCAGTGCACGCCATACCGTATTTCCACTGCGATGAGCTCTTGTTGTGCTCGGGAGTGCATTAATATACGTAAGTATTATTTGCGGCTGCTCAATAAAAACTGGTGCGAATGCAATTTCACAGGAGAATGATGGATCACAAGAGATGAAATGAGTGGGGACCAATTCACTAGTGGTGTTGAAAGTATAAGCATGCGTTTATAGGACGGAGTACGGAGGAGCTTATCAATTCGGTACAAATGCTTGCAGTCCGCTGTGAGCAGAGTGGCTCGTACGTCATACGGCCCGACCACGTGTTTAATAGAACCGTCACGATTGGCCATGTAACCGTGTACTCTGATGAAAAGTCCACCTTGAAAGATGATGGCGGCCTGTCGACTCAACAGCGGACCGCTCCATTGGTGCATTAGGCACGGCAGGTGCTTGAGAATATCCACACTCGACACGGCGACACGTAAGTTCAGCACGTACTTGACATGTACATACTTGAGTCGCTCGGCGTGAAAACTTGATGCAGTAGGTACTACCAAAGTGACTGCAGCTATGCTGACGTGTGGCCGACCAAAGTGCGCAAAAGTATTACATGGATGCCTGCTTTCAGAGACAAAAGCTTTTAGCCTTCTCAAAGCCCCTGCCAGGTAAAGATGGCGTATGACAACGACCTTGGTCACTGCGGTGTACATTTTGCAACCGGACGCCGGCAACGGCAACTGGACGCGGCTGTAGGGCATTTCACACTTACGGAATGTTACATCCGCTCGCGAAAAACCGATACCTGTGTTAGAAGACAAGGGAACAGCCTGCCCTTGATGAATTGCGTCCTAGTCATCGCTTATAAAGTGAGTAGCATCAGGATCGAGAAACACCATAGTAACACCGCCTGCTTCAATTGTATGCGGTAGTTTGGACTCAGCAGTGTCGTATCAAAGTGATGAAATGCTCGATATCATTGTCCACTTGTGGACTACAAGTAGACGCTGACAAGCAATCCCCCAATTGCTATCATTGTCATTGTAGCGTCGAAGAGACGGCATAGTTGATTGCCTCGGACTAAGCAGTGAACAAAGAGAAGTTGTAAACACGGTCTTTGTTTCTATTATCACCTTCTTGTCACAGGGGCTCTGCTTCAAGGCCTATTGAAACTAAGATACATTAGCAAGATCTCAGGTAGTCAGCCTTCGAGCCTCACTTAATAGCCGCATCAACAACAGGGCCGGAGCTCCACAAGCTCACCGCGCGGATCCAATCATCATCAGGTGGTCGACCATAGCCATGGTCCCACCATCAGAATGGGCAGGAGGTAGCGTGGCTATCTGCCTCCATACGACGACCTGTCATCAATCAGGGTTGACTCGAGTAAGCGACAGGACAGCGCGACTAAAGCTGACTGCGTCAGGGACGGGGAGGAGAGCCCACAGTAAAGGTCACCAACCTGCAACTACTCACGCGCAGGACCCACGCTGAAATAACTGCATCGGCACGATCGCCGCTGTAGCAATTGCCAAATCAGGGACCAGTAGCCAATGGACGGCCGACAATCATTAATCAATTGATCAATGCAAGGAATGCCTGCATCGTCATATTCCCCGTCAAATATCCTGCTCCACAGGATTTTCTTCACGAACTCCGACCGAGCGAGGTGGAAGTAGCATGTTACATGTGTAGCAGGACGCCGCGTGCAAATGAGTAGGACATAAGATACTGCTTGACGGAAGCGGTAGAGAACAATTATTGCACTTGTTAGACACACTTGATTGGAACCTGATGGTAAAAACGAAAAGAGAGAAACCAGGGAATTAAACAGGTAGGAATGAGAGTGGGTGTGAGGCTTGTACATGACCAAGATGGATTATCATAATAACAATTCCAATGTGTGTGAGTGAGTGTTGTGGGGGTGAGATGACAGCGGCGGAGTGTATACCGGCAGGCAGGATGTTGGTCGGAGTGCGTGATCAAGTCAAGGAAGTTCTACAGCGTGGATATAGATAAAAGGCTACAACTCTTCAGCAATGTTAAAAGAAAAGTACGGATGGTGCAATGCGTCTCGAACGGTAATTCGCTGTGCTGGGTCAAAGGCAAGTAATCGCCGCACAAGATCCACAAATTGTTTGTTGATCTGGTCCGTCGGAGGTATTACGTCCTGTGAGGAGTCGTTAGGAGAAGCCCGGCCAGTCCACAACTGGTCGTCCTACCTGAAGAGGTCGGGTAGCTCGCACGTCCTTCTTGCTCTGCCGCGAAGCCTTCGGCTTCGGCCAGTCCAGCCGTGCACCGTCCTTGAAGAACTCGGGCTTAGCCCGCGCTCCGAGACGGGCGAACCGATCAGGCATTTTACCCATGACCATCTCCATCATTGCGAGATGCTCCAAGTTGTCATGCGTCTGATACAAAGCGACACCAGTGTAGAATTCAACCAAAATGCACCCTAATGAGTAGGCGTCACACGGGTATGACCACCCTAAACCTAGAATGAAATGAAATGTAAATATGTGTCGGAGAAAAATTGAAGAGGATCCCACTTACCAAGAATAATCTCAGGCGCACGATAGTGCCGCGTGGAGACGACGGTTGAGTGATACTCTTCCTCAAAGATTGCCGATCCAAAATCTATAAGACGAATATCTGTTGAAGAGAGCATCCTTTTCGTCCGTGTTGGTGCGTTACGCTGACAAAGCAGGTAAGTTATGGAACTCTGACACATCGGTCACATCAAATCGTACCTTGCCAGGTACAGATACCACAGTCAGTCGGTAATCGTTGCGTACAAGCAAGATATTTTCCGGTTTAAGATCCGTATGAATCAAGTGAAGGTCATGCAAGACTGACGCAACATGAGAACTTTAAGACGAAACAAAGGATACGAAGCACTTACAAGCTACGCTGCCAAGCAATTGCCTGGCGAACGACTGTATATGGTTTCGCGGGAACGGCGCAAATTCATTTTCCTTCAAAAAATCGTATACACACATGCCAAGTAATTCTGACACCAGGCAAATATGGTTTCGATGGTCGAACCAATGCAACAGATGAATACATTTGCTGAAAGATACGTTTAAAACGAGTAGATAGTTCGTTGTCGATACGCACTGGACGTTTGATGGATCGCGCTCCTTCAATTTCTGGAGGACGCGAATCTCGATCTTGCTGGCATCGCGATACTTCGGGATAGCGCGGATAATCTTGATCGCTACCCGGTTCTGGTTATGGATATCAACCGCTTCTACAACCTTGCCAAAGGTTCCTTGCCCCAAGAGACGAACAGTACGATCTAGAAGAGAGATGTTTCATCAGTTGAAAAGATATGATCGGGGTAAGAGGGTGACTCGCATCGATTATAAATAATGTCATCTGGGACAATAATGTAATGGCCCTCCTTATCATCACAAGGAATGTTGCTATTGACAGTCTGTGAGCGAAACGTGAGTATGCACTGGAAGCGATTCTGTAGAACGAACGATGATTACGTACATCAGCCGTGGCAGCCCCGCTGCCGCTGGCCCACGATTTGGTCGACGCCACGGGTTGCTGCTGGTGTAGTGGAGCAGCTGTCTTCTTTGTGACAATTGGACGGGAGTCATCAGCAGGCTCCCGTCTCCTCTTCTTAGGCGCTGGCGCCACGATCGCTGCGGACGAAGTGCTCGCTGAAAGGGTCTGTGCCTCGGCAGCAGCACGGGCCCTTGTCCGTATTGGGGCGGAATACACTGGAGATTGATATGAGGTCGAAAAGACATTTGTATGGGTTGTTGCGGGCGATATTGTAGAAGGAGGAGGAGTATCTTCAATGACTATGACTTCACGGACCCTGCCTTCTTCGTCGACCTCTTGAACTTCGCTGTAGCTCACAGTATATTGATGGGCACGCTTCCTCTTGCGAGAAGTAACTGGAGGAGTGGGCATGACTATGGAATTTGGGAGGGCTCTTGTACTATTGAGAGTGAGAGATTGTGGAAGATATTGAGGCAACATTGGAGCAAGCTGACGATGCAGAGCTGTCTGCATCGTCAAAAGTGATGCTGTAGCCGTGATGGCAATGGTAGAAGACGAAGAAGGGACGTTAAGGGAAGGATATTGAAAGCCAGCGTAGGAGCTGAACGGTGGACCACTTTGAGAGAATGTAACACAGGATGAAATGGTAGTTGTTGTGGTTTATTTATCACGAAGTTATGAAGTTGGTTTAGCCACTCGCTGATAGCCACAAACCACGTTAAACCAGCGCACGGACAGCTGTGGTTTGTCGAACGCTTAAAACTGAGCCGGGGCCCTCTAGGGAACCTTCTGCCAGAATTCTGCTATAGGGCTTCCTGTGGCCGCCGGTATACTCAGATCCCGACGGCATTCTGCGATATCATTCGAGGCCATGAGCTAGCTCAGAATCCAACATGGAACTATTTCGGAGTCCTATCGTGGCCTGTTGTGCAGGGCCTGATATATATATCTTGTTTCACTAACAAAACCCCTCAAGCTGTGTCATGATCATATGTACGGGCAAATTTATATATCCCACTTCTTGTTTTTAGGTCCACGTTTGTCCCGCTTATGATCACTACCTTTACCAATTCCCTTCTGTTGCTACCGACCGACCGTATCATGGGCCACCAGCCTAGAGCCGTTCCGATGACGTTCACGGACATGACTACTGCTCCAAGTTCTCCCCGCGAGTGCTCCGTCTGAGCCTCGATCGAGTGACTGACAACGGTGAGTACTACATTTCATTCCATCACCATCAGATGGGCGTTGCACGGGTGAAGGGGTGCCGATTGGCATATGAAGGATCCGAAATAACTAGCATGTCATCGTGGCATTACACAATGAACCCAAGCAGTGTGATCATGGGCTTTGCAATCAAGGAACCTTATTCGAGACGCCAGCGACCTTACACGGTAAAGGAAATACTAGATTTGGGTCATGTTCATAAATATTTATTATAAACTCTACCAAAAATGGCCATGAAATGGGCTTAGATTTACCCATTTTACTAAGAAACGTGACCATAATTTATTGACTACTCGTCACGCGCATGTGTCACAGAAGGCCGTCGCTCGCTGTGGACGACGTCGACTGCGAGTCAATCCCCCTTTGTTACCCCTCAGCTCATCGTTGCTTTTGGCGACGCAAATGCAATTATGCGGAGTCTTCCATTTCCAGTAGCTGCAACGTTCGACCACGAAGTACCAAGTGAACATGGAACACCGTTCAGCCCTGCTAGTGATATTCCTATTGATCCTGCACTCGCCGGGCCACTACCTATCGACCCAGCTATCATGGGCAACGAAGCCGTTCAGTTAAATGTTTCGCAGCAGGTAAGTTATGCTTGATGATTGAATATGTCATACCGCGCAGGCGCCAAACGCGTCGCGTGTTGTAATTAGAACTCTTTGCAAGACGGCTCATATACTTGCAATTAGGGTCCACCCGTGCACATTCCAGAGGATTTCATTCCACCTCACCCTCGACACTACTCTCAGGAGCCTTCACAATATGACCAAGGTCCCCGTGGCGATCCATTTGCGCCCCAACCTGCGCCTTATCTACATATTCAAGAAGAAGTTGTTCCGCCACCCATCAAGCCACTAAAGAGAAAGCGAAAACCCCGGCGAGAACCCGAGTGCGGGTTTTGTCAGGGGGATGACAAGAGGAACAAGGAGGCTGAACCCGAGGTCATGGTCACTTGTGTAGAATGCGGTCGCAGTGGTATGTGTAGTCACCCACAAAATTGAAATTTTGACAAAACTTACAACTAGGTCATCCGAGCTGCTTGCAACTTGGTGCTATAGCAGACACCATTCGTTCATATCCTTGGAAGTGCACCGAATGTAAAACTTGCGAAATTTGTCAAGAAAAAGGCGATGATGTGAGTAAGCCCCCTTAACTGTTAGAAATTGCTCATGTTCATAACAACACAGGAGAGAATACTACTGTGCGACTTTTGTGATCGAGGTGTGTTCTATACGTCATCTGTATCTTGGCCAATGACTAAGTTACCAAATCAATCAGGGTGGCATATGGATTGTATGCAGCCTCCCCTGGAAGAAACGCCTCCTGGAACATGGCACTGCCCAATGTGCCCCCCATCCATCTTTCCTTTAGAATCCGACGTTGCATCCACGACAAATTCCGATCCCCAAGATAGAGACGAGGCAACTGCCGAGCCTGAAGTGGATGTTGAAGTTGACGATGGCGATGACGATTCCTCTGAAGACTCTTCGGACTCTGAATCTGCATCCGATGATACCAATACTGTGCAAGCACCGACACCACGCCAGCGACCCAGCCAGCGAATAAAGAAGCCGCCAAAGCGCAGAATTGAACAGCCAACCCCACGGCCTCTCAAACGCATCCGCCTGCGCTCGCCTGCGGCACACCCGCTCGTCGTACGTCTGCGAATCCCTCCAAAGGGTAAGGGCAAAGAGCGAGAAGAAGACCCCGACAGAAATATCTTCGAGGACTTCCTCAATCCTGCTGATAGGGACATGTCAAAAACAGGGATCACAGACTTTGACAGAGCACGATTTGATAAAAGTTGTCTGGCGGCTGAGGTTTTCTCTTGTCCTCTCGTGCTCATGAACAATGAGCTAACTCCTCTACACAGGAAAAACTTGCACCACCTCAATCAGCACCATCAATTGACACACCTGATCCTCCAATAGCTGGTCCTTCGTCTCGTCCCCTACGGTCTCACGCTCTCCAACACATAACAATACCTTCCTCAATACCAGCTCGCTCGCCAGTGCCTTCCACACCTGGTGCGATTCCGCACACACCTTCCACCATCCCTGCTACCCCATCAGGTTTCCCAGCGCCTCCCTCCACGTTACGCATCCGGATCATCCGCTTCGGGAAGTATGATATCCACCCGTGGTACGATGCCCCCTTTCCTGAAGAGTTCTCAAATATCCCGGATGGACGACTGTGGTTCTGTGAATTTTGCCTCAAATATATGAGAAGTGGCTTTGCTTTTGGTAGACATAGCGTGAGTCAGACCCATCACATGGAGGTATATGTGAGTACTGACTACTTCGCAGATGAAATGCAAAACACGTCATCCACCAGGCGACGAGATTTATCGCGATGGTGCCATGTCTATTTTCGAAGTAGACGGACGCAAGAACAAGATATACTGCCAGAATCTTTGCTTGTTGTCGAAGATGTTCCTAGATCACAAGTCACTCTTCTATGACGTCGAACCATTTTTGTTCTACGTTATTACAGAAACTGACGATATGGGTGCGCGTTTTGTTGGGTACTTCAGTAAAGAGAAATGTTCTCCGAAGGACTACAACGTCAGTTGTATCATGGCGTTACCTGTGAGGCAAAGGCAAGGATGGGGAAATTTCTTGATCGACTTCAGTGAGCACTCGTAACATAAGGTCACAGCGATACAAGTTGACATTTGACTTTAGGTTATCTTCTCTCCAAGAAGGAACAACGCGCGGGATCACCCGAGAAACCACTCTCAGGGCTTGGTCAACTGGGGTACAAGAACTATTGGACCCTCGCACTCATGCGATACCTTCACACATCACCGGAAAACCCAACCCTTGAAGGTATGTTTTTAAGCTTCCTCAAATATCGAGCGCGTTGACATTCATTATCGACAGCTATCAGCAAGGGCACATCTATGACCATCGAAGATATTTATAATACCCTTCACGACCAGGGAATGATCTCTGTGCAATCTGTTACACCGCCTATGAGACCTACACCAGGGCAAGCTATCAAGTTCCCACGAGGGCGCAAGAACGGCATTGCGCGGCGTCACCTTCAGCGGCAGAGCACGCTAAACAAGGAGGAGGAGGCCGGAAGTAAGGCCAACACACCCTTTGTCCCCCCTACGCGGTATCAGATCACCTGGGATCCTGAGAAGGTGCAACACTACCTTGGGGCGTGGGAGAAGAAGGGATACATGAAGCTGAAACCGGAACGGTTGAAATGGACGCCGTTTGTGCTGGCACGGACAAAAGCTGGCGGGGAAGTTTTGCAAGCGGAGCTGGGTGCCGGCATGGGTGCTTTAAACGGCGTTGCGGAAACACCAATCCCAGTCACTGATCAGGTGGACAATCAGACGCCGGCCCCTGGTCCTACCGAACCCTTCGTCAGCGTATCTGAGGCAGCGCCTACAGACACTCATCATGTCGTAGACACTCCTGCAGCGCGTCTGTTTGATGACCTCATAACCGAAAACCCTGAAACTCCTGTGACAAAGAAGCAATTGCGGAGTCGCGTCAAAGGAGGCGAAGTGCCTCGGTCCGTCTTCTCGCGAACGCAGTCGAGTCGCAACACGATCACGCGCACTGCCCTCCAACGACACACACGTTCTGTATCGGCTCGCCCTATTACTGGCATCGACGATGCGGTCAACAATGCTGCCCTTCAAGCTAATGAGCTGGCAGAACAATCGAGTCCTGATATTCCTGCCAAACGGCGACGAGGACGGGCACGGATAAAGCCACCGGATGATGCGTTATCAGCGGTATCTGAGTCTGGGAGGATGACTGTTTCACCGTCACCATCAAGACCCCTGACTCGAGTCAAACGCAGGAGGATAGAATCGCCTGTGTCAGAAACCCCTTCAGAGCGTGTGGAAGGCCGTGCTGAGCCGCCTGATGGTCCTACTCACTCCAACGGTCACATTAACCCCGTCAGTGAGGTCTGTCAGGAGGAAGATGTCTCTCATCATTCATCCGGATCATCTGGTTCCGTCAATAATGGCGCTCAATCTCCTCGATCTCCTCGAGTGGAGACGACCTCGTCTATGTCAGAACTAGATACACGATCCTCACTTGCTCAGTCACAACCACCGGATCCCGAGATTAAGTCGGAGGAAGCGGATACGCCTCTCACCGGCATAACCAGTCGGCACAGCGTACCAAGCGACGACACCTTGTTCGTTGTGGAGACTGCAAACGGGGTAGGGAGCAAGGACTCTGGAGGCTCTGATATTATCGGAGCCGTGCACTCACCCACTTCTCAAATTACCTGGAGGGAAAGTGCTGGTCAAGACTCAGTGCCCATTTGTTCCGCTCCAACACTATCCAACGATCTCGATCAATATTCTGATCTGGACGCGGAGGGTGAGCCGGACGACGAGGTTGAATGAAAAGTTATCTACATTCTGGTCACTACTGCTACTATATCATGATCTTTAGTACTTCGTATTGCTACATACATTGTCTGTACCTTACTTACTTTTGTCGGAATCAATCGGAAGAATGTGAACTAGAACTGCCTGACACGACCTAACCTGGTCCACCCAGGCGAACTGGTACATCATCACTGAAAACCAAGATCTATGATAAACCCTTATATACACATTATAATCCCAACAATGTGTATAATCGTATAAAATATGGCAGTGCAGAAGCCATAGTCTTGTATAGAAATATATTGTTATCCCTTGCGACCAATCTTTATCATGATTACCTGTGCCCGGCATTAGTTGAATGAATTTGGCTGTGTAAAAACTCAAACGGATTGATAAACACGCTAATTGCTGAAAACAAGATATATATGTGTAGAACGCTATCCCCTATGACCAATAATCATCAAGATGGTTTTCATTTAGCATTAGCTGCATGAATCATGTTGTGACAGTACTAAAACTGTACTGAAGTGGTGAAGCATGTTCGAAAAAGTGTCTCTCATTTAGCATTTCTAGCACAGAGGCTCTCCTGTCCAATAAGTAAAAGAGATGGAAATTCTTGCCATCTGTACCATCATATGGACAATTGTTTCATTGGCATCATGGTATTGCGGGTTTTATACTTGATTGGCCAGGAAGTCACATTGGGTTGTATAGGATTATACAGAGACACTCGGTACAATACATGTAGTTTATCAATGCCTCGCCAATTCTCTACCCTAATCTCATCATCAACACCATCTGCAGGAACAATAACATGGGTTGAACCACAACAGATATCGTTAGTGCCTTGAAGTCCAATGAAAGCAAGGTGTCGCGGCAACTTGACACTATTGTTTCCTTATGCAAAATTTGCACTGCTCAAGTGGTTGACTGAGTTTGGCGGTGCCAGTGTACAATCAAGCTCGGCGGTGCCAGTATAGGATCAAGTTTGGCGGTATATAATCGAACTCGTGGTACCATAGGATGTAACAGGATCGAGTTCAGCCATAGGATCGAGTTTTTGGCCATGGAATAGAAGTTGGTCGCAGGGATCAAATCCAAATATGAGATCGAGTTCAGCCATATCATCGAAGACCAGTCATCCTTAGACAGAAACATAGACCACGACATGACATATCCTGTTGCCAGACCATGTAGTACAGTGCGACTTTCTGGATGGCATCCTGTCGAGAAACTTGCAGGAAGTAGCGTTAATGAGTGATTGAAGGCAGAGTAGGTGATAGTGGGGATTGTAAATAAAATCTGAGTCGGATCCTTACTTATCAATGACCGGAAGATATGCTCGGCCGGTGGTGACTGAGGTCTTGACCCTTCCCAAGGGAGTTGTACCTCGTTCGTTTTGAGATCCGGTGGTCAAACTATTTCAGAATAGGAAAAGAGAAGGAGCAGGGTCGGAGCCGGGTAAGGCTGCGAGCTTCGGCGTCAGTTGCAGACAGCTAAAACCAACAGAGATAACGGCAGTTTCGAGCATCGGTCGAGGACACATGGCCAATGTTGACTTTGAAGAAAGGCCAAAATGCAGAATAGGTTTCAAGTGGGATTGAGGGATCATCCAGACCACCATTCACTACTGCCCGATCCCAACAACCGCCAGTGCTTAGCGCACATGCCCAGCACATGTCAGCAAATGCTGATGTGGCTCGAACATATGCGAACCACACCGGAAGGCGCCAGAATGAGAGGAGTGGAGGAGGGCGAGAAGGAGATGAGGGAGAGGTAAGTTTAAGTCTTGAGTACCTATGGAAATGAGGTAGTTAGCAGCATAAAAATGCACAATACATATTACACGCACCTCTGCAGCTTAGAGAAAGGTACCCACAATCCCTCGGCCGCGTTCAACACCATCAATCTCCAGTAAAATGTCACAGCTCATTCCAAGCACCACATCCCTTCGAGCTTTTGACAGACCGGCAGTGCCTGTTCGAAAAGTCGGCTCAATGTCGAGTAAGAGATGTTAGGACCTCAGAAGCGAAGAAGGATGGCACTGACTGCGTCTTGAGATGAATTGTTGAATCAGAAAATATGACAATGACAAGCAAATGTAGCGAAGCCATGGAGGACGAGTGCAACTCACAGTGGTGTGTGTGAGTTTTGTGTCTAGAATTTTTGAATAGATCAGCGCCATATACGTTGAGCGTATGCCTACAGCATCGACGTCTTCCTATCATTCTGCACTGCTATATAGTATTAAGCAATTTTTACGCATGAATGCAAAAACTATACCACCAGCTTAGAATTCGACATACTGTTAAATTAATGTGTCGAAACGACAAACAAGCTCACGGATCAGGAAAATGATGCTTGATAAGTAGGCCAATACATGGGCATATAAGGACAACACAGATTTCGCCAACCTTATAAGGTAAATATTGTCATACCGGGTTATCCGGTTTTCAGTGATGATGGTGATTTGTTGTGTGACCGGTTTTGTTTGGCGGCGACTTTAGAACCAAACAGCCCGCCTTTTCTCAAGCCGAGCCACAACACACGTACGAGCGGTTCACGCTGGTTCATTGTGGTTCACAGCCTGGCCTATGGAATATGGAAACCAACAAGTGAGTGCTAATCTCGTAATGTCCAGACTCCACACCCCTTCCACTTGCGGTCACTGATGTGCAAGATGTCAATAACAATGCTTGTACCTGCAGTAGCGACCCAAGCATGGCTTTTGGCCATCTTCAACGAGACCCAAACCTGCAGACTAATGTCAGCAATGTCTCGGTACGCTGTATGTTGCTTCGAAGAAGCCTTAAGCCACTGATATCATATCGACTTCAATGAATGATATGTAGAGTTTGAATCAAGCGCTGGGGTCGCATCTTAACCCTACCATCAATGGGCGTCCCCAATTCCATGATGGCGGAGCATATAGGCTTTCTGATTCACCGCCGACAATTTTGGATCAAGCTTCGCGATCTACCCAACCGATAGGTGGTCCTTCTCATTCTTCACCCATTCACGAGTTTTCGGTACTCCCAACCAACGAAACTCAAACTACCAGTGGGCCCAAACGTAAGCAGACTGACGGTTTGGCCCCCAGTGGTAGTTCACAATCAGGCAAAAGACGGAGAGAAGGGGAGGACATAAACGACCCCTTTGACACCGATGGTGCGCACGGTTCTAAACACTGGACTGACGATGAGAAGACAAAATTGTTTAACTGGCTCATGGGTGTTGGGGAAGACAACCACTGGAGTGCACTTCGGGCTACAAAGAACTCGTGTCTTCGCGAGGTGTGTATTCACTTGAGATGGTGCACTAATGTGTGACTTACTCGGCGATAGTGTGCCATTGAGGTATTTGGTGGCAAGAAGACTTATCAGGCGCTAAAAGGCTGTTATGAACGAAATTTCAATTTATTTAAACAGATCTATGCATTCGAAAGTTTTCACGCGCAATTGGGGAATGGTCCTGTCAGCTTTACGAATGAAGCAGACAGGTTGCGAGAATATGAACGGCGATTACAAATTGCTCGCAAAGGCGGTTGCGACGTCGGCAATGTGGGTGTCAAGACGATTGACCATTGGCATAGGTCAGGCTGGTATACTTTGTTCCACAGAAGGTGAGTCGCCTTTCTCTTGATTGCAGGACGCTCTAAGATAGCGTGACTAGATGGAATGGTGATCCCGCCACTACTAGTACACGACCCGCAAACCGCCAAAACAACGTCCCAGGGGCGACTAATTCCCACGGCGGTGAAGATGACGATGACGATTCATTAGAAGCAACGGAACCAACTCCAATTCTTCAACCTCAGATTCAACCGCAGAGCGCACCACCTCATCCTCAACCTCAAGTTCAACAAGTTCATTCACAAGCGCGCCCTCCTACCTTCGTTTTCACATCACAACCCTCCATTGCAAATAAGACTAATACCAACGAGCTTCCGATACAGGAAGCAGGACCATCAAATACCCCAAGTCGAGCCGTCTTCCCCAACGTACCGTCGCCAAGCAGTGATACGTCTGTTATCAATTTTACTTTACCACAAAACATGATGGCTGCATGCTTGCAGCTTTTGCAAGCGCAGGTTCAGCACAGCAAACTCAAGCTAGAGTATCTTAGGAGACGGGAGGAAAGGGAAGAAAGAGACAGTACTACTCGCAAAGATGCCGAGCGTGCAAGACTGGAAAGAGAAGCTGCCGAGTGGGAGCACACAAAAGAGACAGCTAATGTCAAGCACAGAGCCCAACTTGCAACAGATGTGTTGGCGAATCCGGTGGTAGACGGATCTGTGCGCCAGGCTGCGGCCGATTATCTTAAAAGACTATTTGCTTCGGACTGATTTGGACGTATGGACAACAAGTACTATATAATACTGGATTGTGAAATGGTTCGCCACCATATCACAGACCGTTGATTGTGGGTCATTTCTTGTCAGTAAGTAGTTTATCGTTTTATCGAATTCATATTTACATGGTTGTGTTGTAGCTGAGTGTTGTTTCATCATGAAGCCAGCTACATAATTTTGATCCAATATAAAGGTGTGTCTAAGGAATTGTTCGGTGGTAAGTATTGTTAGCATTACGACTAGCAGATGCTCAACTACGTCCGCTAGCAAGATCTAGGCAGAATCCGGCTAGTATGCATACTCTGACGCAAGTACCGGTGAAGCTATGTCCCTCAATAATCACGGGGTGAGTGGATCTCTGACTACAAGCCAGACAGTTCCCACAAGCGCTCAGCCATCGAACGTTCAGAGACGATCAGCAAAGAGAACTTGATTGAACATCTAGATAGGGTTCCGGACCTGGTCCATCTCGTGTCAGCTTTTGCGCCATGTGCAGAACCTTTTCCATCAGCCAGTGCTATGCTGGGATCTCCAAGAGACGCATCGAACACAACCGGTGAAATATTAGCCACGATCCACCTGTCACAATCAGGCTAAACAGAACGTAAGACGGAGGACACCGCTATCGGATGGAGCAGAGACAGGCTGAACAACGGATTTTTAGAGTATTTAGCGTTGATGCGATCATCCGCGAGAACGAATGCCGATTTCGGGCAAGTTGAAGGAATGCACCTCGGTCGCCCACGGACTGCGAGGATTTGGGACTTTTTTCATGAAGTCGCAATTACTAGTCGATGCGTCTTATTGAACGGGTCTAACATGTATTCAGTTGTACTACCCTTTTTACAGCTTACGGTCTCGAAACAGCTAGTCCTACTCAAACGGCCGAACGTTGTCCTCGCATTACAAAAAGCCGTCGATTGATAATGTCCTTCAGATTCTTTGTCGCGGGCCCTTAGCAAGCCAAGCTACACTATCATAATTATTACACGCGACAGTTGGTTTGTTCTCAGGTCTCAGAAGTTAGATGGGTCGTCATGCCCATGATGTGCATAGGCAAGTCGTTATCTGCCGGGATGTGACACTGACTCCGTTTGTTCTCAGGAGTTACATATCGTGTGGGACTTGTAGGGACCTGTGAAACCCTGCGTTCCTGTCGAGTACGTATCAACACAGCTTAATATGCGAGGCCGCATGGGCCGCGTGCGTCCCGCCGGAATCTCTATGGTACGATCAGCAAGTTTTAACTTGGGCCCTCGATTATCTGAGCCACCATTCCCCAGCACTTCCCACTGCGTATCTCCATATATACAAATAAACAGTATAGCCGTCGGGAAATCATCTTCCCACAGCCGTTGGAGCACAAATGTACTAAAGGGATAGATTTTGGCCTTTCATGACTGTCAACTCAATCTGTGATCATGATATCTGGTGTAGCTATCTGCTTAGTTGCATTAATTGCCTACATAGCTTGGCGTAACACACAGCGGTACACTTTGAAAGATATCCGTGGGCCTGCTTCGCACTCATTCTGGCTAGGTGACACTCAATCTTCTTTTCAAACCGTGGACATACCTCATATACATCTGCAGGGAGCGAGAAGGTAGTTCGAAACGCTAAACAGGTGGGGGACCTGGAATTTCAATGGGCTCGCCAATATGGTTCAACTTGGATGGTTAAAGGATGTTTAGGGGTAATGTCACCAAGTCTTCCGACATTCCACCACTCACGAGTTGCATTAGGAGGAAGTTCTCTGGACCGCTGATCCCCGTGCTCTGCAATATGTCTTTCATACGTCTGGTTATAGGTTTTCAAAGAGAACCGTCGTCACTGAAACGACGCGCCTCTTCACGGGGGAGAGTATTTTGACTGCAGACGGTGCGTTTTTTACCTTTACTATCTTGGTAGTACACAACTCATCATCTTTCAGCCGTTGATCATCAAAGGCACAGAAAGATCATGAATCCTGCTTTTGGTGCTGCTCAACTTCGAACATTTTTACCTGTTTTTCGCCGTTCGGCAGCTCGGGTAAGGTAGTCAAGAAGTTTCATGGAAACCTGGCCGCTTATATTTTTATTTAGCTCTCACAGAAGTGGAAAGATATAATCCAATTAGGAGACAAGTCTGATGGATGTATAGTGAACGTCAGCGAGACTTTGTCCAGAATGACGTTAGATGTCATTGGCGAAGGTGTGTACTCGAAATATGTCTAATAGGTGTTGAATTCATGTGTATGGATTGCAGTGGCTTTTGACTACCGCTTCGGTGTCCTGAACGACAACGGAGTAGATAACGAGTTGGTGCAAGCGTTCAACAATCTGTTGTATGTTTCGCAATTTTCTGAGTCAGCTCCTATGTTAACACACGAATTTAGCATCGATACGCTGTTGAACCCATCTTCATGGGATATCATCTTCAAGTCAACCTGGAGATTGATTCCGCAACCGGTTTTGAAGTACTTAAAGTATTTGCCTTACAAAGAGTACCGCCGTTTCGCGACATACCTGCAAACAGCCATTCGAACAGGAAAGACCATCATCAACGAAAAAGCAGCTAGTACCGAAAAGGGCAGCAAGGACATCATCAGCATCCTCGGTATGTTCCTTGCCGAGGTATGATTCATGTATGATCGCTCACGAACCTCGGTGTCTTAGTACAGTCCAACCTCATGGAAGATGCACGAGCTCAGCTGAGTGAGAGAGAAATATTGTCGCAGATAGCGTGAGTGATGGATGGCATCGCGAATGATATGCCAGTTATTAATTGCCATATTCTAGCACCTTACTAGTTGCGGGTCATGATACTACCGCCTCATCTCTCACGTGGCTGCTATATGAACTCTCAAAGCACCCAGAGGATCAGCAACGCATCCGTGACGAGATTAAAGCAGCAAGAACGAGTGCGGCAGCCCGTGGCGATGATGATTTGCTGCCTAGTGATTTTAATAATATGGATTTCACTAATGCAGTTATTAAAGTTTGTCCACCGCTTGTTTCCAACATACTATTCTCATCTTCATTTATCACCAAGGAGGGACTCAGATTGCATCCTATAGTTCCTACATTGATCCGGGAAGCAGATGCAGATGATGTTATACCACTTTCTCAGCCAATTGAGACCAGATCAGGAAAGATTATCAATGAAATACCCATCTCGAAAGGCCAAGGCATCACAGCATCTATCTGCACTTATAACAGGTTGGTTCGATTGGTTATTGAGTTGATGGCCTGTAACTTAGATTATATTTCCCAGGCTCCAAAGCGTTTGGGGAGAAGATGCAGACGTGTGGAACCCAAGCCGTTTCCTGGACAATGACAGGGAAAAGTCATCGTTGGGAGTTTTCGCCAATCTGTGTGTATCTTCATTCATTACACTCTCTCGTGAGCTAAATTAGTCCGACACTCTCAGAATGACTTTCTGTAAGCTATTTAAAGCTCTTGCTCCTTCAAAAGCCAATCTAACGTGTTGTAAACCAAAGCGGCTGGTCTCCGTGGTTGTATCGGGTAAGCGAAACAGTCAACGAGTAGTATTATTGATCCTCATATTTCTGTGACTAGCTGGCGTTTTGCGTGAGTTCATGATCAGAGATACTGACCATTAGACTCACTCGTGAACTACAGAGTTCTGGAGATGCAGGCCGTGCTCGTGGAGCTTGTCGAGAACTTCGAGTACCGATTCCCCGAAGGTGTCGAGATGGTTCGATTGAATGCTGGACTCATGGTCCCTATGGTTGAGGGCAAGATGCATGAAGGTGTCCAGATGCCTTTAGAAGTCAGTGTCATTGCATGAATTGGGATGTCTCTGACAGAGGTGGTGGGTGCGGAAGATGACATTTGTAATAACTTGCATAGCATATGCTCAACGCCTGTTACGTCTCGTATCTCTTGGTAATCACGCGATATAGGGTAAAATAATGCGGACCATCATATACCTGACTTTGAGAAAACATTTTCCAAATTACCCGATAGGATATTCTATGCGAAAATAGGTCAATAGAATATCATATCGTATGTCAGTATAAAGCACAGCAAAACTGATGGCGGAAGTAATCGACGAAGAGTGTGAACAATAGGATCGAGCTGCGAAATGCGCGATGGACGTCCAACTTCTGTGTGATCCCAGGGTGAAGTTGCTACGTCCCAGATCGGTAGTGACTGTATGTAGCGCAGTCGTAGTAGAATTCAGTCATAAGTATAGAACTTCAATGAGGAGTAGTATCAGAGAGACAAGGGACCTAAACCAACAAATGCTCACCTTGTACTCAAAAGTGTCTCTTTATATGCCAAGAGTCCGACGACTGTCAGCTGTCGTCGTTCTGGACCTTCATGCCAATATATTGCAATGCCAAGGGTCCTGACATGATTGCTGTCCAACGAAATGGTACAAATACAGAAGGTAGGGCTGGAAGTCGAAGATTTATTGAGGTGGATGTGGTGCGGGAATACTGGCGGTATTCGTTTGTTTGCCCCCAAGAAGTCCTGCGAACCTTAGCTGACTGACAGTCAGGATTTCCTGCAAGATGTTCTTTTATTCGTGCAGTCAGATCAATCATTGTCCATCTCTTGGCAGCGAAAGAGCACCGGCGATAGTGATGAGGTCGTCCTTGCGTCTGTACGATGAAAGCAAGTCGTCGAATGCCTTCGTTTCGATATCTTCCTCAATGCGCGAGATCCGAATTCATGAGCTAGTCAACCCTTGACAGCTTCCTCTACGACTGGAGGAGCCGTAGTGACTTGAAAAATCCCTTCGAGACACACGCAGACTCTTGCTTTAGTCTTAAAGCTTTAAAAGTCTGCTGAGTGACCTGGACAACAAAATTGGCATTGCAGGAACTCGTGTACAGCTACTTGCAGGTGTCATTTGCAAAATACGCGAGCGCGACCTGGATCCTGGACTCATAGTTGGGGTCGGGAGTCGGTGGATGTCACACCACTTGTGCAACCGTGGTAGTATACGCCAGGCTGGTCACGAGCCTAGTGCTCACTGGCCTTGCT